GGCTTCGTTCCGAAGCAGGATCCGTCAGCGTTCGAGAATCTTAAAGGATTCTCTAGCTGGTGCGTCGAGATGCGGTGCTGCGTGATTATGTCCTGGTTGACAAAGGACTCACACGCCCCAGAATCTACGATCATAGATGTCGTGATGGGGTTGCTTCTCGTTCTGGAGATCAGGGTGGCATTCACCCGTATGTCCTCCTTAGCCCCGGCTTTCTTGATAGCGCGCAGGGGTTCTTCTTCGATCATCTTTCTCCGTGAGGTTCGGGTCCATTGAGGACAGCTCGCGGCTTTGTGTCCGATGACGTGGCACACAAAACATTTCTTTTCTCGCAGACAGAGGCGAGTCTCCTTCCCGGTCAGATGCGAGGCGGCGAAGGTGTTTCTGGTAGTTGCCATATTGGAGATGGGTTCTACGATCTTCGTGGTATCCTTTTCTTGGAGCTTTCCACAGTGACGACGGTTCTTATATTCTTGCGACTGGTCAGGCCGGTACGATCAGGGTTCTAAATCAGGGATATGAAAATCCTTTCGGGATCTAGGTTCGGGGTTCTACGAGTGTCGGTAGCGTTGACAGCAAGTGCGATCAGTTATCTTGTAGCCTGTGATGGAGGCGTACAGTAAAGGGACTTTAATCCTTTGTTACGACGTGTGTCGCGTGCGAACTGGGATAATCTAACAGCGACGATCACGACAGTGATACCTCGTGCTGAGAGTCCGAGGTCGGCTCCTACAGAAGAGCAGGAGTTGCGTACGTTCACGGAGGTGAACGATGATAGCGAGTTACAGGCAGAAGGGGTCTCAAGTCCTTCTGAAGGTATGGATCTGATGTCGAGCAAGTAGCTTTAGCAGGACAAAGGTTTCAATGGTAAACCCAGTAGGATTAAAGTAAGGAACATCTACTTTAATCTGTCGACCTTATATAAGGCTACTCTATCGTATCTAAGCTCAGCTTGAAGCTGGGTTCTAATCTGCTTATCTATCGAGTCAGAGATACCATGCATGAGGCAGGCTTCTATCTAGGATAAGGACCGCGAGGCGTCCTTCTATCAGTACATGAGGCAACACGAGGCTTGCCTTCTATCTTGATAACATATATAGGTCTTCTAGACCTATGTCGTCATATCATGTAAGCGATCCAGATCGCTTACCTAATCCGGCATCTTCCGGATTCATCTTCTATTCGTCATCTATCATCAAGGCCCAAGGGCCCGGGTATCGTATCGTATCGTTGCCGTGCGAGGTGGCAGAGGGCAGGTCGTGTAGCTGGGGGCTCACGTAGTGACTGTAACACACGCTTTGTCACTTCCTATGTGTTTACCTATTTCCTGTTTGTCTGCCAACATCATGCCATTGTCTGCAGCTCCCAGTCTATGACTGCCATGTCTTCCCTCCAAGTGACTAGAACCGTGACAGCAAGTTGACAAAGATGATGATATCAGCATGACAGTTGACATAGATGGTGGGACGCGTGCCAATCGTGGCTGACGTAGACGGCACAGTGGTTGCGATGGTGCAGACATATTATTGACCACCCAGGACTTTCCGATCACAGGCATGTCTCCAGATGTCCTGAACTTTGGCGCTGAGTCTGGACCCTGCACAGACTTCTTGCAGACTGTCCATTTCCTACATGTCCTCCTCTTAAGACCTCTTGCTCTTGCAACTCGTCTGAATCATTTGTATTTTTTTCCGGCATCGATGATGCATTGAGACTAACCAGACCACCTTTGACTCCGCAAAGAGGCCCCCTGAAGCTCCCTATAAGGTCTGTCCATCCAGAATCCCAAAATCAGCCCTAAAAAATGCAACTTTTCGACCGTCAAAAATGCTAAGTTGGATAGAGGTCAGTGGTCACAAAGTGTGACCTCCACCAAAGTGTGATATTTCCGCGTTGTGCACCATGCAATACTGGGAGTACATAAACAAGGTATGTTGGTGCTTGGGGACATCTAACTTCTAGAACAGGGCTCTGGCCTGCGCTGGCAAAGCCTATAGTATCTATCTCCAAGTCACTACATGACCTGCCCTGAAGTGCGCCTGAATCACCACCAAAAATGCTAACTTCAGACAGACATTGGCCCACCAAAAGCCTCAAAAATGCTAAGTCCGGACAGAGATTTGGCCAAATTTCGGCTTCAAAAATGCTAAAATTCAGACAAACCTATGGGGGAGCTTCAGGGGGCCTCCACAAAGATAGCCTTCTTTCAAACTCAAAAGCACGTCCGTCTTTAGCGATGTGTTACTTCTCAACCCTGCCAGGTTCCATGGCATCAAAAAGTATGTTTTCCACCCATTTGTTCCAAGCTCTTCCTGCAAACTCAAATACTTCATCCTAAAACTCGCCCCTTTCCTGATTTTGCCATCTTGTCTCTTCTGACAACATCTTGCATCCGCATATATGCACCTGTTTCGCACCAGTCTGTTGGCATGATTTCAGCATGCTGATTTTGTCTATCTCGCACTTAATTTAATACTGGCGCGGTGACAACGTAAAATCGCTCTTGACACAGCACTGCACACCTGTCCATCACTGGCAAGAGAAGCTGATACAATATTGTCCGTATGTAACCTGAACACATTCCTCCATTTGCTCCATCTATGTCCAAACCTCTCTTCCTTACATCAGGGACACCCTCCTGGGCAAAAATTTTAATAAATTGATCTAAATGATGTTATTCTGATAATTCTATCTAATTTCAAGTATTAGGAATAAAACGGCTAAAAGACAATAATGTACAATGGAATTATTGAGACTTATTTGAAGATACAGAAAGTTTATCTATCTAGATACAAGTTCAACCAAAAAGTGTTATAGCCATCTAGAACTGTATCACTCGACCACTCTCGTGGGACAATGGCACCAAAATTCAGCAGAAGATGGGCACTCCGCAGGATCTTCGACAAAGCCGCGGCTCGAGTAGATGGATGAATCTGAAGAGATTGGTGGAGGTGGAGGGAGATGCATGAGTAGTAAGGGAACACTGGATCGAAGTGAGGGTTATGGTGGTAAATTTTGACTCTAAAGAAGGAGCGCTACTGTACCGAGTTCAGACATGTGTATGTTAGATTTGGAAGGGCTGAAGGGGCAGCCTCCCAATGTGGGTGAGTGCCACCACGCCATTCCCAACACCGCAAACGCCCAGCGCACATCAGCAACTGCTGACGTGGCTCAGACGAATACAGACAACGCATGAGAGCAGGAATGACGCATGAGAGCAGGAATGATGCATGAGAGCAGGAACGATGCATGAGAGCAGGAATGATGCATGAGAGCAGGAACGATGCATGAGAGCAGGAACGATGCATGAGAGCAGGAACGATGCATGAGAGCAGGAACAGCGCAAATTTCGTTCAAGTTCATCATTTGCACATATTTGTTTCACTCACATGACTGTTTGGTTTGATATTGAACCATTTGCATGTATTTGTTTGGCTCGCATGACTTTGGTTTGAAAACTTTTGAACTTCCGACGTCAATCCCTCATTCCTCAATGTTCAATGTCGTCAGCCTCAATCATTAAGCTGATAGGTATGTCTTAGGTTTTTTTAAAAGTTCTATCTAACATTTGTAACTACAAAATGGGTATCAAGTTCATATCAACTTTGCTTGGATCCATTTGAAGTGAGTGTGTCAGTCCTTGTTCCAGCCAGAGCCATGCTGATCCAAGTTGTTGTCTGCCGTTTGCAGGTAGTGAGTGCATTGATCGTCATTCAAGCAACTGCCCAACTGCCATGCTGATCCAATTTGTTGTCTGCCGTTCGCCGCAGGTGAGTGTGTTGATCCTCCTTCAAGCTCGAGCCATGCTGATCATCATTGTTGTCCACCATTTGCAGCGTGTTGATCCTCCTTCCAGGGGTCACCATACATCCTTTCTATAAATCCACTTGTGCGTTTTACTAATGTAGCTTCATTAGCTTATGCTCATCCACACATTCACACCTGTATGTGCTTGTACACACTCGTTCTTGCTGCAACAGGTACGGCTTTGCTTTATCTAAGCCAGGGATTAGGTATTTGCGGTCAATTGTAGCTATACAGTAATTACTTTTGTGTCTATTATTCTATGTAATCAAATATCAATGGTTTTTTCTTGTAACATCGTCTGATTATTGTGGGTGATTTGCAATGCAAAGTTTGAAATACATTTTCTGCAGTTCACAATAATTGTGTCTAGTATCAGCTAATTCTTGATAATTATGCAAAACTTACGAGGGGGTAAGAAAGTCCTTCTAAACTACATAATTTTCCTAATTTTCCTAAAGCTGCTAATTAGACATAATTATTGGACTTTATCAAAGATTATCGAAATTTTGGCCGGGAGGTTTTTCCTGATGTAAATGTCCACATAACATCCGACCCAAAAAAACCCATGGAATCATTCACGCACACAAAATTACAATCCTTATGCTTCATGCTTCATGACCCTTTGCTCGCGCGCCCTTGATCTGACCTGTTCAATGTTCTATCACTCCCCAATTTGCGCGCGCTCGAAGCTCGCCGCAATAGCCACATTTATGCATCTTGGCCTCATGAGGACATGCAGTAATTTTTGGCACGGTCAATGTGTCCCCTGAAGACCCTGGCTATCAATGGTCGAGCGGCGATAACAGATGCGCAGCGAGCGGAATACGTTTCCCTTATTCCTTCCCTCGAAGCGGTGAATTACGGTTATAGATACTTTTGATAATCCTGGGTATCTACATATCGAGAAATGATGTTTCTGGGATGCAGTCTGCAGACAAGTCTTTTCGAAATGAATAACATTGTATTTCATGTGAGCTATTGGCAAGACATCGGAGTAAACTGAGTCTGAGATCTGATTGTGTACCGAGCTGCCGCCAGTGAAGTGCAAAGATCACGAGCAAATATGATACTATTGCTAATAATACGCAAACCCGACCGAGGAATAAGACCTCCATAGCCTACTCCATACAGCCATCAAATCCGTATGCTGCTTTGCGTCTGAAATTTGATCATTTGTGTACTTTGGTGGTTATATTTTAGTTGGTGGTGGCACCAGTGTACGAGGTTTCAGCAAAACCAACGCGGGAGTTGGCGGCATCGAACACAAAGTAGAAGCGCTCGAGGAATGTGTAGCCGTTGACAAAGTCGAACCCCGAGCCACTGGGCGTACCAATGTCACTGACCATGAGATATATGGCGTTGCTACTACCACCAACGTAAGAGTTGAGAGAACGAGGCCAAATTTGGGCATTAGGCGTCAGAGCGTAGGTTTCCTGTGCAAATGGTAAACAAGGGGCACGAGGGCTGATAGAAATGGCGTACGCTGCCAATATGGAAGTTCAGGTTCTTCAGGGCTTTGTACTGGGAAGAGGAAATGAGGAGAAGACCAGTCGCCGTATCCGGAGTACCACCGGTTGCAGACTGGTACTTGGCGTAGGCATCTACGAACGCTGATTAGACCATGATTACTCGCTGCATTCTAGATACATACCGCTGGCAATGTAAACAAAGGTGGTTCCAGTATCGACGATTCCAGCCGTGGAGGACATGATCGTCGTGGAGCCGTAGGAGATGCTCTGGTTGATACCCCAATAGGTCGATGAAGGGTAGGTCGTAGTGATAGGACTGAAACAAAACAATTGCTACCAGCCTGGATTGATCTAGGAGCTGAGGCAGCTTACGTGTACCCAATGGAGCCGGTGTACTTGGTAGCATCAGTTCCACCGAAGGTGAGCCCTCCATTGGTGACTGTCTTCGAAGTGGTGGGCTCGAAAGAGATGCCAACCACCTTTTGAGAAATGGTGCCTTGGCTATACAGATTATCAGTGACAGTCGGGATCGTCTTGGTCGGTTCATTTATCAAAGTGTCGTTTGTCAAGTCTACAGGCCCGATGCCAAGGATACCGTCAACATCGGTGAAGCCCGTCGAAGTAGAAGCAACACCGATCGACTGCGCGGCGATGGTCAGCCCACTACCGAGAGTGATGGTGTCGATGTACTCCGTTCCTGTAGATATTCGTAGGTATTTTCAACTTATGATATATTTATATGACATACCAGAGAAGGAGCCAGAACCGTAGGTGACCGCTACAGGCTCGCCGGTGTCGACGCTGGTCTTGGTCTTCACATATTTGGTGTTGGCACCAACCCATGTGTTCGAGCTGCCAGTGTCGACAATCAAGTTGTCTGTAATAGTACATTAGCAGCCGCGCGTTTTTTCAGTGCTGAACTTACAGGTTGTGGCGGGGCTGCCGATGCCAACTTCTATGAGGTATGTTACAGCAGCATTGGTCACAGGAGTGCTACCAGTACGGCCGCCCTGCGTGCTGAAGGAGTTGTCCTTGAAGGCAGTCAAGCGAGCTTTATCCTGTTGCAAGAGGTTAATGGGACCATCGGAGACGTTTAGCCTCCTGGCAATGGGGAGGGTGATGGGGGAATTGTCGATTTCAACGGGCGATCCCGCGATTGACAAAGCCAGGAAGATGATTGTCAACAAGGATGCAGCGGGGAACATGAATGATGACTGACTCGAAAGTTATATCATACTCTGAGTCAGTGATCCATTATATATGTACTGGCGAACGCGAATATTGGGCACCTTAGCTACGTATGAAACGTCCCCTCTCAAAAGCGATGACGAAATAGTGGCGGTCCGAGTTATCACGAGTGCATAGATTCGACTTCCTGATCAAATAAGAATGACAGGAAGGTTGTTTGTTTTTGATCCAAGGCGGCAGAAATTTACAATTCGCCTGTTTACCCATGGCCCATCAGTTCATTGACTTACCTCACGTTCATTTCCGTAGAAACGCTCACCCATCAATAATACACCTCAGCAGAACGTCAGCATCAGGCTGGTGTAGCAAGCGTTGCTGAGGAGAGCGGTCGTCCCTGGTTGTCCTGGCCTTGCCAGTGATCGAATTGTTGAACTGACGCCGTTTGAGGCCATTTTTCAACTCGACCCGAAATTATTCAATAGAATGATGGTATCGACGAAGATGAAGCAGTGACGAAGCTCGCCATTTTCTGAAGCACGACGGCTGTTTACACACGATCCGATAGTTCATTTATGCAAGCAAGAATTTTTTGCCGGAGGTTGCATGACTACAGGGTCGATTCCTCGACCACGAAGGCGCATGGCGAATATGATCCCGTAGCGACGCACACCAGTCTCGGACTCGTATGGGGAATCCACAGACCTATATGTAATGCATGGCCACCTACAGGTCAAAATGAATCACGCAATCATGGTTCCAACTTGTGTTGTACATACGTCATGAGCGAACACTTGATTGAAAAGCCTTGTCCTGAGAACTGGAAGTACTGGTAGATTGATCGTCCATATTCGGTTGACCCAGGTAGTCGGTTTTTAAGCACAAGTAGCGTTCAATCTATCATGATAATAATGTTACTGTATATGTGTGTGTGAGTTATCGGCAAGACATCGGAGTAAACTGAGTCTGATTGTGTACCGAGCGAGTCGCCGAAGTGCAAAAATTACAAGGCGGAGCAATACTGAAAATGCATCACGATTCACCTGTAGATCGAGCCAAAACAAGTAGTCGCAGACTGGATGTCGACGAACTAGAGACCCAAACGTTAACAGTGACGCGAATGATTTATGAATCATACCCCATGACGTGGCCTTACAGAGCAACACTAGTGTGCATGCCGCGTCAGACACCTCCACATGCCGCGTCAAACCTCACCACCTCAACTGTCGCACTGTCCGTATAACTTAGGTATATTTTACTTGACATCTGTCATAATAATTGATATTCTAACAGTGTTCCTTTTCATCCTGACAGAATTAGACGTCGTACACTGTAATTGTCCATAGGCAGTAATAAATTTATTTTACCAAGCATTGTCTCCTCTGGCCTAGAGAAGAAACCCTTATTATCGCGCAGATGGCCTGGGCTGATCTCACGATAAGCTATCCTACCAATAGCTTCGTGGCTGATGTCGACCTCGAGTGTCTGACCGCACTAGAAGCAAGGATGTTCGAGGATTCCGAAGAAGCAGGACCTGCAGGCAACCAGCAGTGGGGTTTGGATGCTGGCCAACATCACAGGCGATGGAATGTGTATCTCGGAATTCCTGATGAATGGGTTTCTGCAAGAGATTATAGCGAGAGTGAACTTGAAGTGAGGAAGACTTTACCTGCTCCGTTCGATAGATATCTAACTTATGTGATTGACAGCGCGGCCCCTTATTCAGTGATAACTCTGATGCTACATCTTTGGAGTCTGCAGACGAGCTATCCGAAGCTGTAGTTCCTTCTCTGCCGGCCGAAGAATGTCCGCCCGTTAAACGTCGATGTGCTCCACAGGCTCGAAGGGTCCAGAGAGGGAGGAAAAGAAAATAGTCATTGGCTTATGTATACCTAGTTGTACATGGCTCTGAGGCAAATAAAATAACAAAAGAATGGTCGTGAATTCATCCAACTTGATCTGGAAGTTGAATATATAATATAGGAATGGTGCGTCAGTGGCCGCGTCAAGGATCGTTAGTGCCGCGTCAAGCGTCACATGCGCGTCACGACCGCGGCAGGCGCGGCAGGACCGCGTCAAAATAGCTACGCCCTTACCCGTGCGGAACCCTAACGACAACACCCGAAGGCTCCACGCAAATGGTGGCAAACACCCGCCTGTGCTACCCCCGCTGGAGAGGTACCTACTTCACCGGTCCATTGGCGAACCCATGAGGAAGCATATAGCTACTAGGTTCGAGTTCGAGTTCAACGGAAATCTGCTCGAACCGGACCGACACTCGCTTTTGCGCTTCTCAAATCCCTTAAATGCCTACGTACCTGGCCTCTCAATGTACAATGTCCTCATCCAGGTACTAGAAGTCCACTACGTCAATACTATGGGACTACTTTCATGAGTATGTCGTTGTCTCGATCAATCAGTGTACCGCTACTGATTATGTTTCCCTCAGGGTTGAAGATATTCAAGAGTCCCTCCCTGTGTTTCTGCAAATCGCTTCTGCATTCTTCGTATCACCTTTCGGAATGCTGGCCTCCCCGACCTTGACCCGTTCACATTCCGAAAGCTGCGAGTTCGAACATTTGGTGGCAGCATCCAACTAGAGGGCTCGGACAAATTATGCATACATTGGAGGTTCTCATGCTCTTGATGCTTATGTTCACCACTATACACAATCTTATTCCTGGCGCATACGGCGGTGTCGTGGACAAATACCATGCTGCACTTGTAGCTCTGCTTACGGTACTTGTCTTCATATCGTATTCATGCAATATCATGCTTGTGGTTTAACAAACCTGGACCTGGTAATCGACAAATCCGATGACAACGCGATCAGTGCTCTGCACGCAAAAATCATAGGCTCGGAAGGATATGCTCGAATGTACCTCACTGCTTTGTACTATCATAATTTCAATGCAATTTCGCATTACATCGGTACACAATCAGGATGTCTGATTACCTCAAGTTTGAACGAGATTCAAATGCCTTGTCATAGGCAATGTCTGGTCTGTAAGTTGGGGACGGCACAGCCCGGTCGCCGCGCATAGGTGCGCACAACGACGTGAGTCTGAATGTGAAAACTGACGACGTGTAACGTGTGAGGTAGATGACAATATTAACGCCATTCTTGGCATCTCGTCGCATTTGGCATTTGAGTGAAGGGTAAGAGTAGTCGAACATTGTTAATACTGGTATGAAAGATCTAATTAGCGGAAAGGTATGGTAAATCTGTAATACTAAGTCAACAATCGTAATGCTGGGACGCATGGTATACAATCTGAAAGGTCTGAATATGAGATAGAAGAACAGTATTAGAACTCATGGGGGGATGCTTGGAACGAACAATTGCGAATAACAGATGAATAAAGAGAGGGCATAATAGTACGCGGATAATGTAGAAATCCGTCAAAGGAATGATTTTAGACGCCTCGGGAAAAGAGCGGTAAAAGGCGTTACATCAAATGAATGTTTTTCAAGTTTACGGTAATGATGATATCTCGTACTGTAGCAAAGTAGTAAGTAATCAGCCCTTGAAGACAAAACATCACGAACCATTCTGTATGATCGTGGCTGTCCGCCTGGTGTCAGTAACTGACGTAAGATGAACTGTCATGGGGCGTAAGAAGCGAATCCTCTGGTGTCAAGGTTTGCCTACTCTTGAACTCCCTCTCTTTATTCGACGAGAATGTTTGGTGAATGCTCCCGAATTTGTTATAAAAGTCTGCATAGAATCAATCACTTGAGAGGTACTCCCATGGCAAAGACCGTTGCCACCTACATGAAGATACATTTTCGTAATCATTTGGTCTGTCACCATAGCGTGGCATATGGTGGCTGAGTCGGACACCGCTCTTGAGCTTTGCCTTAAGTATCATCAGCATCATTACCTTGCTTTGCGAACAATGAGCAACAGACCTGCAAAAGATCGACCTTGTTCAGGAAAAGAATGATGCTGACGTGCGCAAGTAGTTTGTTTGATACGACAGATTTCCATAACAGCACGGAGTCTTCTAGTCTGTTCACCTCTGGATCCTGCATAATGTATCAGTATGTCACGTAGAGATGAGCAATCACCCGCTGACCTCTACTAATACCTGATCGAAAGCAGAGATAGGTGCCAGAAAAATAATGGCATTTACTGCATCGTGATATCAATGAATGATCGTCATAAAAACGACTCATAATTACCATCTTCGAAGTAAGGCGCCCAAGCGTGCCGTTGATTTCGGGCACCTCCTACGTCATAAATCTTCCACGGGATTAACCGGCGCTGGGAATCAGCAATTGAAAAGGAGTGCTCTACGACACCCGTGGTCTTGAGCCGGGCTTTCAAGACATCCTCTAAACAAATATTAGAAATGGCATGTTTTTAGATAGCCAATTGACCTACGGTCGCTCGGAAAATACCGTAGAGCGGTGATACGGGATATTTCGTCCAAAAAGCTGTTTGTTGTCAAGAGAAATCCGATATCAGATACAAAACACCCACAAGCCACTGCCCTCTTCTACTCTGATCCGTTTCTCCCGTAGGCGTTGCTTGACACTGGGGTCCTTCCATAATGCCAGCATTGGCTGAGCGCAAGAATTGAGCACATGAACAGGGTCGCTTGGATCGTCCCACCAGCCCTCAATCTCATTCGTGTGTGCACTCTTAGGACTCTTGATTCTATTGCCAAGGGAAAAGGCCTTTTTCCAGTTCGAGGTATGATGAACGCTAACTTCCACATTCTTTGATTTAGACGAGCTGTTGCTTGACCCACCAGGAGAAGGGAGGCTCGTTGAGGGTGAAAGTGGGGAGGATGTCCGTGAGGGGGGTATGGTAATGAATGGCGCGGGTCGGCCGTTCTTGCCAACAGTAACTTGGGTATCAGAGTTACCGTTTGCATAGTAACTCCAATCAGGCCTTGGGGCAGTGCGGGTAGGCTCGTCTTCATTCGGAGATGATAACATTCTGATCAAACGTTCCTCCAGCTCCCTCAGAGGTTCCAATGCATGGCGATATTGGGGGTACTTGAGGATCCTAGTCGCAGAAATCACGGAAGACTGACTAGTAAAGGAGATTGCACGACCAGATACAGTCTCCTGATCCTCTGCTTCGTCTGATTCAGGGGAAACAGCATCAAGGATGCTGGAATTGAATGTTGTTATCACGCATGCTGCTAAATTTGAAGTATTGACGGGACTCACCGGCGGACGGATCGCACGAGGTTAAGATATATTACAGCTCTCCAGGCGATTCGGTCAGCATGGAAGGCAGCCGTCGCATGCATTAATTGAAATTCTGGATGAGATAAGTCAGTGCGGCCCAGACATCCCAATGCGTAAATGCTGAAGAGTGCGGTTTCATGAAACGTATAGTATTGCGCGAACGAAGACCGCAATGAAGGTTCTTCTGACCAAGTACACATTCGTGCCAACCCGGTAGTGTATAAGGTCCAGACATGATGTAGTGAAACCAACAACATATCTCCAAACCGTAGCGACGGTTTATTATGCTCGCAGCTCGTTTTCGCACAAAACGATAGAGAAACGAAGTAGATGACGAAGACTCACGTTTCAAAGTCGTACTCTTGCCACTCTCGCTCTGCCCCAGAATCAAGACCTTAATTTCAGGTTTGGTCCTCTTCTCTTTCTTCTCTGCACGGAGCATTTCATCAATTCCATCGCTGACCCGCTTAGCCTCTGACTCTGCTTCCAATCTCCTTTCACGATCTGCAGCACTCTCGTTTGGAGGGGGCATGAGCGCAGCAGCCAGTGGATCGGAAAAGGATCGGCGTCGGTTTGGCTCCAGAGGCCGAGCCATTGTCGTGGACTACCACAAGACGGGCAAAGAGACAAGGATGGTCTAAAGAGAAAGCCGAAAACGTAATCGTGCTTGAGAAATGGCTTTTATAAGTGCAACAAAGCTAACAAGAAGCTAGGTCGCGACGACAAGCGCTTCCAAAAGAAGGTTCGCACGTGGATATTTTTTCTGAATTTCTTTTATTTTATTTTGTCTTGTCACGCCGCTATATATACGGTTACCTTAAGCTTTGCTTCCTGAGCGATATTAAGTAAAAACATCGACTCGGAGCCAGGCCAACGCCTTTTAGTACGCCGCGGAGAGCTACTAGACTCGAGTTGGTGCGGGAGGATTGTCATGTTACATATACACTGGAAATGTCCGACCGCCGATGTCAAGTCTGTCACACGTCGGTCTCTTCAAAACTCCCCGACATTGTACTTTATGCTTTCCATATGGCGAGCAAGATGATCATTCGTCTACTGTTCATGGGAAAAGCCTCCTGCCGAACGAAGGACTACATTTCATCCGCTACTTCTATGGTTCAGGGGAGCCATTCTCGGTATCTTTAGAACCATCCCAAGTATCTTCTCTCTATATCGATAACTTATCGCTGCCTTCTAGGGGGTGACACTAGCGACTGCTTTGGCACCGCTTGAACCCAACGTAAAAACCTCAGGACCGCCCACACCAACGCGCACGCCCTCGCCCACTGACATCCTTCTCACAGTAGAACGACTTCACGCACTAGTATAGCACTGCAATCAACGCCCCCATATACTGTGATCAAGGGCCATTTCAAAACACTACAAAGGGCCTCGGGGCTAGGCTCAATCGGGGTGCACTTTGTCTAGTTTTCATGGAAGACTGTTCTTCGCGAACTTGATCAATCACTAGCACCGGCGTAGAGCTTCATTAATACACGGCACTTATGCAATCTTTGGTTGGACTCTTATTTTAGTTCATTCTTTCCTTCGTGTGGACGTTGCGGCTTTTCTCTGTGGGTATTTGAAGATCTCATTTGGTTAACCTCAGCTGACAACTTTCTACGAAAGGGAACAACAGTACTTTTCGATAAGCATAATCGATGATAACACCTTCCCAAGCTTCTTGCTCTACTTTAGCATTTTGAAGACAAGCGCATAACTCGTCTTTGACAAGCAGGAATAAGGAATAAGCTTTTGCATGACACATATTCTGCGTATGTGGATTGTTCCCTGGATTGTCCTTGAACGGTGATGTATTGCTGTCCTGCTGTAACATATGCATCATGATGTTGATTACAATCCGAATCACTGCCACAATTTTATTCGCATGCAATTCTCGAGCGTTCCGGCCAGCAATTCATGCCTCAGGCTTCTCCCTTCGAACAAAAATGTTGACTGTCAGACATCTTGGCGATATCACGTTATACGAACGAGCCGACACTGGTTCTTCCCGTGGCTAGCTCATCGATCTTCCGAAACGTTACCGCTCGTCATCAAGGGGTAACACAGATAGCCTACACCGCACTCGCCATGCCGCTTGCAAAAGTAGATATTATCCCGCGAATGGGCTGATATGAAAGTGGCTTTCGCATCCTCGTTCCCATTCATTCGTATGTCCATTCGAGGGCCCTTTGTTCGTCCTGCGTCTTCTGGAGGTGGCACTTTCAATCCTCTCCCCACGGAAACCTCACCTGCGCCTACAACTGCAGGATTGCCTAGCCCAACAACCCCAGTTTCGTCCTCCAGCTACTCATCGGATAGGACCCAAAGCACGAATCAGCAGAGTACACAACCGTCGACAAATCCATCATCGTTGCCGGCGGTACGGAGTACTCTTTTATCCTGTAAAACATAAACATATTTCATCGCAGACGTCCAGACAAATCCCCAGCGCCTCAATAAGCACGCCATTCTCATCATTGTACGTTCCATTATCCTCATCCATCATAGCAATCTGGTGGATTTCTCACATGGGCGTCATAAGGGCACGGTCAGATGGCATATCAACTCATTATAAGAGGTCAAAGGCGAGCACGGATACGTTAACATCCATTTTGCCTTCTTCACACTCATCGATGAGCATTGGTGGAGGAGCACCGACAAACGGGCTACTGCCAGGTGACGGAATTACCACTTTAACGCCACCTGTAAGCGCGGGCCGGACTTTCGACCCTTCAAATAGTGATTCCACTGCGAGCGTCTCGTCAGATACTAGTCCTTCACCTCCTAGTGACGAATCTTGGCCTAGTCCAAGAGATCTTACCTCAATAAAACTGCCGAGATCGCTGCCTTCGGTCATATTTGCCTTACCTTCATCCACATCTATCCCGCCACCTTTGACTATACCGACTTCGCCACAATTAATGATACCGACTTCGCCAAGTATTAATTTATCCATACTCACTTCGCTACTTTCATCTATACTCAGCTCGCCACCTTCGTCCATACCAACTTCTCTACCATTTATACCGGAAACATTGACCACTAGAACCTCTTCTCCATCTACAACGTCGGTCACGAATCTTTCCACTCCGGGCCAAGAAACATCCAGCCAACAGTCAACTTCAGACAATCCCCAAAACGTTACTCCGCAATCCTCGCAGACTAGTTCCTCTGATTCACCAACTCCCGCGTTACCAACCACGTTCCCCGGAGGCTCTCCAACAACAGTGCCAGGTGCACAATCTTCCCATATCCCGCAATCTCCGTGTGGAAGCTCTGTGAACATTCCAATTACAACTGGGAATGATTTCACAGTCTCATCCACATATTCACCTACGCCCTCTGGCGGTCCCGTAGGCAACCCGTCTTCTACTACTCTTCACTCGCCGTAAGTCCTTAGAGCTATGACCGAAAGGTGTTGACCTTATTGTGTGATTCTAAGCTTCACCGGAGTTGCAAAAAATGTCATAGGCACGACATCGCCCATTACACACAGTGGGGATACGTTCTCTTCGATCACCTATACTTCGATTGGTACCTCTACTATTATAACATACTCCTGCTTTGTGTCTACCTCAGCGCTCGTGACCCTGACGTCGACATCGACGTCCGTGATTCGTACCACAACTCCAGTACCAACTTCGGGAACAAAGTACGTCATTTTAATCGTTTTACGTTGCATAGAACCTACTGGAATCAAGGTCAAATGAAGCCCTCATTATTGGAGGGATTGTGGGCGGAGTTCTAGTACTTCTGCTTCTCGGTATTGCAGTATACTGTCTCATTCGCCGCGGGCGGCGTTTGCGGGCCCAGCAGCAACTTTATGCTAGTGATCTGGCCGCGCCACTCTCTCCAGCAGAAGCAACGACAATGCGCGAGAATCACCGTTTCAGTCCTACGTACAACTCTGTCGTAGGAGTGCAAGGTGCGAGCGAGAGTCGTGGCGACTTGCATCAGGCCTCGAACTCATTTAGCTCATCGGCCTTCCTTCACCCCTCAATTGCCAGTTCCCCGCATAAATTCTCTCGTAGTTTGTCTGGCTCAGTATTGCACGAGAACTTCGACAGGGAGTCGAACGATGGGGACATCTCTTCATACAACGAATCAGAAGGCAATTTCGCGAGCGCACAGAGTTTTCACGCGTCTAGTGATGAGCAATCTAGCTTGAGTCGCGGTATAGGTATTGCGATCGGCTCTCAATCAAGCATGGATCTCCACTCATATCATACCGCCGCTACCATGCTTGATGCGGGGGCCCACGCTATTATGGATAATGATGAAGAATGCTATAGCCCCACACCAAGTCCTTCGGCATTCCCTGTTCCCCCCATGAACCCGTTCCTTGATGGCGCCGATCCTCGTTATTTTGTGGCCTCTCGCGCACCACAAATCTGTCAAGCGGTCCCAGCTTCATCTGAAAACGCCGCGCAAGCTCCAATGAATATTCGTCAGTTCTCAAAGCTACAAGCGTCTTTGGCGGTGGCTGTAAGCCCTGTAAATCATGATCTACCCACGCCAAAAGCAATTCGGAGTTTCAATGCGCTTTCAGGTGATGAAGACGACCATGATGATCCACTGTCAAGTCAGGACCTCCAAACGCCCACGCAGTCCCGTCCCCAAGTCACGCCATTCAATGATTCGTTCTCCACCATCAATCCATTTTTACGTGAAACGTCCCGGCAAAAATTCCGTGATGATTCTGGGGGCAGTGGCAGCTACGAGACTGTTTCCATCATATCTCCGTATCCGTTCCATTCCAGGGACAAGGGTAAGGGGAGAGAGTACCTGTCTGCTGACTTGAGGGATGATCCCAAGAATAACAGATTATCGAATGCTAGCTCCACTCTTGAGTACCCCGAGAATCCAGTAAGTCCTGAAACGGTTTTAGTGAATCTTATTGATTTATTACTGATGCAACGTTATATTCAGTCGCAGTGTGGTCTTGCACTCTAAGCAGATAACAGGATTTATAAATTATTATTAGTTGACCCACGCCCTTGGCTCACACTTTTTTAATCCTTGCAGACTAGCCTATTCAGACGGAAAATTTTTCCTCACTGAAGTATTTTACATCATAGCGACGCTCGGTGCAGTTGATTGATTTCTTCAACCAGTGCCATATTTACATGACTATCATGATAGATGTCGATTCTCATGCACGGGATGATTGCGCGGCTCCCGTCATCATAGTACAAACTGACATAGCCAAAAGGCCCCTTTGAAACCTTGGCGAATGATTTTTCCATTTGGAAATGTTGGAACGGACGTGGGTTCCAGATCAATAATGAATCCAACGCATGTGCATCAAGCTGATCGGCGAAGTAAACACGATTGTTACATTGTAATCTCCCATTACAAGGACACCAAGACGTAATCATGGTATCTGTGCATGTGGACATCGTTGCGATTGCAGGGAGCTATAGATCAACAGATGCAAACAAAACTTCATCTTCAGTAAATTTTAAATTTTCCTTTCCTCCACAGCATAATTTCCGAGTTATGTGTAACAGTCTCAAGCGCTCTGGCTTTGTTTTTTTTCTTCCAGTGGTACCCAACCAGATAATCTGATGGTAGTAAAGTCGATCGTTCCTCGAAACGCGTTCCATCTACAGTTCCCCGCGAGTCGCGAGTCCGATTTCTATTTCATTTTTCTTTCCCTGCTTCCTTCTCTTGGCTGTGCCGTTGCAATCCCCAACAATTCGACCAACGCACCATTGTGTACAGGCGCCGCATTGCCCATTGCAGCTCCTGAAGTGATTTTTCGGTGCAATATCAAATCATCCCACCTCATACCGCGTGCAGACGTATAATATATGTACACGCAAATAGTGTGTGGGACGGATATGCTCATATGCTGTAATTTAGTTGAACTAGGAATTGTGCCTTCGTGAGTACTACCAGTAGGATGCTCGTTATGCTACGCACATGGCGCTAGTTGTGCTTCATTGAATATATCGTTCTTTTCTCCTTGATACTAGTTCAGCTCGCACCATGAACCACCTTGTTGTGCCGCGTGAACAGGTGAACTTTCTCTGGCTGTTTGATACCATTTCAAGCTTACTACACGGTGCATTCAGTCATCTCTTCTGCCCATAGCGTGGGTGTGAAAATATGCGGTGATCACGTCAACCGGATACACATGCTCTACCTCAAGAGCAAAATCAAACCTGATTTTGACGCTTCCGATATTCCATCTCATTGGCTCGCAAGTGGATTCAGCTACAGCTGCAGCTCCTTCAATTTTCGTCCTTGCATTGACCCAGAGCGGTGCGAGCAGGACGGGATGACGAAGTGGAGTGCGACGAAGATCTTCATCGTTATGATTACCAAGAGGATGACATTGGTGTCCTTGCCAATCTCTCTGCTATCGCGGACCTCATGTCGAGCGATTTCTATCGATGGCTCAAGACACTAGTCGAGGTGTCATAGGCTAACATAAAATGATTGTCTGCGAGATATTCTGCAGGGTTTTCAGGTTTGTACAAATGTGGTTGGGCAGCTACTGGTCCTAATGATTATGAAACGTGATTTTTGTTAACGTCATGCATCTCTTCCAGATTTTCGTTGTAGTACGAAAAGAGAAGCATGTACACATGTAAGTACTTAAAAGACATCATTCAAGTTGGTCAACATCTTGCTCAAATTTATCTAACCGTGACGGTGATAGCCTTCATCTCGCTTGTCAAATATTACTTCGAGTCCCACTTTTATTTTATTGTAATGTCTGCATCTGAACTTCTCCGACAATCGATGTAAATTCCGAGGGTGAGCCAGTTTTGTCGTTTTCGTCCGTAGCTCAAGTATCAAGTTGACATAACTTCAGGTTGCGCACCGAATCGAAGTCCACCTATCTACCCTTCGTATCACTCAGAGTCCCCATGAGCTCATTCTCTCTCGTACACCCAGGAACCGTCACAAGCAATATTATGGCTTCTGGCTCAGCTATGAGTGGCCCGTTGATCTCGGAAAGAACGTCCACTATGGGATTTCAGCATATCTGCTGGGCTGACAAAATTGGTTTTCTGACTATAGAGATATGCTTCCAGCCCAAACAAGATGGTGCGCCTCCCAAGCATGTGAATGCCGGCAGAGAGTTGTGTGCGCTCTAATGACGAAGCGGACTACCTTCCCTTTCCAGAAGGTAGATTATTTGTTGACTCTTCTTGGTAGAAAGCCACGGTGGTGGGACAATGTCCAGCTGCGTAACTGATCGGGAGTTGGGCAGATATAATGTATTGTAAGCACGCTGGCTTACCTGAGTTCTCATAATCAGTACATATACCGTCGCTGATACTGAAAGCTAAGCTTTCAGTATTTCACCTTTTGGTGTAACGGTTATGCGTGGCGGCGGTCTGACCATGTTACATGTATCTGCCGTTGAATCACCTGTATATACATGACACCGCACTTCAATTGAGTGTATGTTCGAACTGTATCAAATCCGTAGTATTAGTAGTAGTATACGTACGTGTCGCACGTCCCCTATGTTGGAGTACACATTTGTATTCTTTCGGCCTCAGTTGCGATTGGGAGACTACTCTGCCCACGTTGTGGTTCCAAATTTAAATTACGTACGTAAAATCGTTGAAAATATTAATTAGTGACTAGTACAGTGAATGTTCCTTGACCCGCCTGTTAGCTCAAAGAAGACGAGGAACCAGCGTATCGAGGATATAAACAATGAGAGACAGAGACGAGAAGGGCTATAACTGAAGGCCTAATAATTATGCAAGACTTGAAGCCTGAAATATTTTAATTGTCAAAGGTAAAGCTAAGGTTAAATGAGCGTGACATGAAGCACGGATATGTCACACGTGACAAGACGCGTCTTAGATATCCGCGACGATGAGCATCATCCCGAATCCTCCGCGCTGGCAAGCTAGCGCTGATCCTGCATCCATAGATGTTCCAGGTCTCGACACTAATGCATCTGTAAATGACCAGATCGACCAGATCGAACAGCTGATAACCATCAAACTTCAGGTGCTGTTAATCATGTGCTTCTTGCCGCCTAACACTAATAAAGTCGTTAGAACATCGACACGAATTTCTCGAAGATTCAGAATATTATGGCGACAAAGCTACTACCAGCTGTGAAGCGATATGCCGTGAGCACTGAACCCGTTCGTGAGGCTGCAAAGGTAAGTTTGATTTGTCCTGTTTTGTTGTCGATGAACCTACTATATTATCAGTTCTGGACATCGTTTTACGAGAAAGCCGCACAAGTACATATTCCTACGTATGAGGACTACTCCTCTTTGCATGAACAGCAGTCAGAAGCAACATCCCAAGCCGAAAATTCCTCCACCCGCCCCGACGCAGAGGAATCTTTGTTCGATACCGAAGACGATGCAACGCCTTCTCATAATCGCAATCGCACTTATGGTCCAAATTCTACTGCATCTGAATCCTCTTTCATGCCATTGAATGCAGTATCATCTACCCCAGCTCGTGCTGGGCTGTCTGGTAATGATACTGTGGATGATCAACCTTCTTGGAGTGCATCATTAGAATCTCCACTCGTTCGGCTTGATCGCGAACTCCAGAATTTCACTCTTGGGGAGGATAGCAAGGCCTCAGCAGGCCAAGATTCTACCTACAATAGCTTTGCTTATGAAGAAGAGAATACTGTCCAGCAATTTTTGGATAAGGGAAAGTCAAGGGATTATTCGCATGAAGACTCTGTCTCACAGGGAGCATCGCGCCCCAATTTTCCATCCTTACGGGTTCCACCCAGTGTGCTTCCCACTCCTCGTGGCCTCCCGACTAGCGCAAGGGTATCTCCACTGAAAGTCAAGCCCAAGACACCTATAGCAATCCCACAACATCTACATGCATATCTTCCTCCACGCAATCATCCAGACCCCCCGCTTCCGTCGCCTAGGAGGCAACGATATGAGCGTTCTCCACATAAGCCATACCCCCCGCTGTCATCGACTTCTAATTCGTCATCCATGCTAGATATACCATCTCTAACGAGACCATCCGATGACTCAAATAGATCATTTGATCAGTTCAACGACTCTTTCGATGATTCCGCAGAACTCATGCGTGGTCTTTCACCACCACGAACGGTGGCATTTCCCCGCGGACCGAGGTCTAGCGTGGGACTGGGCCTGCTACCTCCACTTGGTCGGACACCAGGCAAGGACTTACATCATGCGTTGGGAAGGACACCCAAGAAGGAAGCTGCAGAGCGTATACGTCGCGACCTTCTTGGAGATGTTCAATCTGATCACAGTTCCGTCCGAAGTAGTGCTACCGTAGACCGGTTTGGTGGCTTCAAGAAATTTGGTTATTCCATTCCAGAAGGCACAGAAGACACCATGTCTACGATCCCAACCCCACCATCCATAACACGATATACCCGCCACACTTATCTCTCTGAGCACGACAGCAACGATGCGAGCGCAAGTTATGCACGGATAATGCGCAAGACGGGACTCAGCATACCCGAATCCACCTCTGCATCAAAATCACATTCTCACCAAAGTCTTGAAACAGCGCGGCTTTCCCCTACTTCTCAATCACAGGCCCTCCATACCCCCGATCCACACCCTGACCTTTTCCATTTTCAACAAGAAGAACTCAGTACACTACAACCAGTTGGTCAAAGTCCGGACTCCGACTCTGACTCTGACTCTCTTGGCGAGCCTGCACACCCAGGACAGCCATCGACTGCATTCCTAATGGCCTCCGCACGCAATCAAGATGCGGACGATTCATTCGGCTCGTCGAATTCAAACCACTCCAGCGATTCGATCGGAGAGGGCTTCGGCGACGAAGGCGGTGCAGTGCATCCATTTGCGCGCACCGTGGAGGACGATGGGGATGGATTTGACGATAGTTTTGATTCTGTTGATGGTGATGCCGGTGGATTGGAAGTGCAGGAAGAGACTGTATTTGGTATCCCCCCTGCGCAGCGCAAGCACGGGAGAGGTCCTGCTGAGCTCAGGCTTCTAGGGGAAGATCTTTTGCAAGATACGATTGGTATTGGAAGTCAGCTGGCGAAAGCAGGGAGAATTGAAGAGAGTCCGACTCCGTATGGGAGGGTCTAGCTGTGTCTCAATCATAACTACAAGCTTGCTTCATATACTTTTTTTCGTCAGGCTCATGGGTGGTCCTCAAGGCTCGGTTAGTATTGACTTGGAATTTCAGATTTCAATGTGAAGACGCCATCGGTGCATTTACTCCTGAAAATCCATTGACTAAAATACAAATAGGACTCAAACCACACCTACTATTCATCTTCCTTGATGTTAACCAACTCCCGCCCCTCCTCCACCATCTCTCCCTTCGCACACGCCACTGCATCTACAACGCCAGCTACCTCAGCACGCAACACAGTCTCCGTCTTCATACTCTCCAACACCACCACTGGCTGACCCTTCTCAACGCGATCACCTATGTTGACTTTCACTTCTACTACTAAGCTTGGCATCGGTGCACGCAAAGCGCCCTTGGATGATGTGAGAACATCCTGTCCGAGGGAGAGGAGGTACGCAGGAGGTGGGATGGCTAACGTAGTCTTGGTTCCCGACGCTGAGAACACGTGTAGGCGTTCCATGGTGTTCGTCGCGTGTGATGCGGGGTGGGAAGGAGACGGGCGCTGCGACACAATCGTCAGTTCTGTCGAAAATCCATTGAGCGTCGTGCTCAATCTTGTAGGCGAAAGCAGGCGAGCCAAGACACCCGTGAATGTCTTTAGTGTGGCAGAGTGAACAGCTATGTCGAAATGGCCTGGAGATATGGATTTCAGAGAAACTCGGGTGGGATCTGCGGAGGCATCATCGGGTTGGATGGAGATGGTGCGCTCGTAAACATCTCCGCCAAAGCGCCTTGAAGTCAGTGTTGCCCATGGTGTCGAAAGGCCTGTAGATTGAATCGGATGTTCTCGTAATGCGACGAACAGCGCTCCTTGCGCCAATAACTCGGGAGAGGGAGTTTCAACAGCTGGGAAAAGGTCTTCGTAGTGTTTCTATTCATAGGACACTATAAACTTGAACAAGATGGCGAGATGAATAGGCACACCTTGATGAAGCCAGTTTCAACCTCTCCATTGATAAATGCGCTATTACCAGCAAGCATTCTCAAAAATTCAACGTTTGTCGAGACACCAACCACTTTATATTCTTCAAGCGCACGGCGGAGAGCACGAAGCGCAGAGGACCTATCGCGTCCGTGTACCACCAGCTTGGCAATCATCGGGTCGTAAAACACACCAATCTGTGCGCCCTGCGTGAACCCTTGTTCTAAGCGCATCGACGGTGCCACATGCGTTGAGGTATCAGGTGACCGCTTCACCGAGTCAAGTTCTGAGCACAAGTCGTTGTGAGGGAGTGATGGGATAGGAGGGGCAAAGATATGGGTTGGTTTCGGGGTGTCAAGGTACAACAGTGGCCCAGAGTCAGGTAGGAAATCGTTCCGCGGATTCTCAGCATATATCCGAGCCTCAAATGCGTGCCCGACGAGAGGGATTTGTGTTTGCGAAAGTGGAAGAGGGTTACCAGCCGCAACTTCCAGTTGCCACTCGACAAGGTCGAGGCCAGTGATCATCTCTGTGACGGGATGCTCAACTTGCAAGCGGGTGTTCCTGAGATTTCATGAGTAGTGCGCCGCACAACTAGAAAGTGCATACATTTCCATGAAGTAGAACTTTTCTGTATCGTTGTCGAAAATGAATTCCACGGTCCCAGCACCTACGTAATTCACGGCCTTTGCAGCAGCAACTGCTTTCGCTGATAAGTCTGCACGAAGATCGGGGCTCAAGCCAGGCGCCGGGGCCTATCAAGATTTGTCGATCTATACACCTTTGGTACAATTTTCAAACCTACCTCCTCGATAATCTTCTGGTTTCTCCTTTGCACAGAACAGTCCCTCTCCCAAAGACTTACAGCATTCCCGAGTGTATCCGCAAATACCTGTACTTCAATATGTCTAGGACGCTCGATGTACTTCTCCACAAGTACATCTGCATCACCAAAGCTTTTTAAGGATTCACGTTGTGCGCTAGCGAGAGCATCATTGAACTGAGATGCAGATGAGACGACACGCATGCCCTTGCCACCGCCACCATGAATGGCTTTAATCAAGACTGGGTAACCTGCGTGGTATAACGCGCTTAACAAGGAGGTTCGGGAAGAGCTGGATGAAGGTGCATACCGATCTTCTCGGCTTCTGCAAATAAGAGGTCAGCGTCTTGGTTCACGCCGTGATAACCTGGCACACATGGAACGCCGGCAGCTGTACAAAAGAATTGAACATCAGGCTTTCAGGAGCACCCTGTATGATGCATCATACCAGACATGATATTCTTAGATTCGCTGGAGGAAGATTAGCTCTATATTGGCATCGAGGGTGCTTGAACCGACCTTTTCGAACCCATGCTGACTATAGCGCTGGAGGGAGGACCAATGAAAACAATACCCTCTTCTGCTAGTCGCTCCGCGAACTTTGCATTCTCGCTCAAGAAGCCATAGCTAACAGGGACATCAGCTTGCCATGCACGAACATGGAAAATAATCTATGCACCCCGGGTGGACCGCCTGTGATTGGTACAATGCAAGTTCAAAGTCAAGCTCCGTCTCACATGACAGAACTTGAGACTGAACCAACCTGAGCTCCACTTCGATGGCAAACATCGATGATCTTGTCCATGCGTAACTAGGTAAAGCAGCGTCAGTAAAAGACTACTAGATGAGTGGGATTATGAACGGACATAGCTCTCAGCTGAAGGCGCAGGTCCGATACAGTAGGCTTCATCTGCTTCCAGGACATGTAGCGAGTTCGCATCAACCTCGCTGTATACTGCTACAGTCTTTATTCCCAGCTTCTTCGCGGTACGGATTACGCGGCACGCAATTTCCCCCCTGAGGACAGGTTAGGCAAGTTAGGCGATAAGAGAAACTGGAACGCTACCGGTTTGCGATAAGTATCTTGTCAAAGTGAGGCTTTCTTTCAGATGATAAGGTATCTAAATGACACTAAGTGTATTTCACACAGAGGAAGAAAACCACATACTCTGAACGGCAGTTGCAAATCTTCTCCATGAAACAGCAGGCTGTACTAGCATTCTAGGTTGGCACACCATGGCTCCGGTTACAGAAGCCTTCGTTTGAAATGTCCGTGCATATTTCGTGCTACTGCTCACGTCTGTAGCCAACAAGGGCCGTGGAATGGAATGAACATGGATGGAAGAGCGTAGGAAAGAGGAGGCTGCTGCTCGGTTTGTGGGTATCATCCTGCGCGTTGTTTGAATCAGCTCTTGGATCTTGAACGCAACTTCAATGACAAATAATAAGAGAGGTCAATAAGTAGTCTCGGACCTCAACTGACACGGAAGGTCCTTCCGCGAACCGGTCACGTGGAAAGTGTACTTCTCGGTTGCTTCTCGGCTCAGGTCATTCCGATAACCGATTGATGCGGCTATTTCTCCGGGCCATCTCAGCACGGTTCGTATACTTTGCCAAGTCAAAAAGCGACTGTATTGTAATTTTTAATGCTCGCTCGATTTGTTTGTTCATCCAGAGCACATTCAAAACTTTTGCACATATCACCGAGCTCCGTGTTCTTAACCTGTGCGATGTCTCGTCGCCCAATCTCAACATCACCAACCCCTGGGCCTCAGGGCGATTCGGAACGACCACCCAAACGTCCGCGAATTGACCATCTCACACCAGATTCGTTCAGAAATGGGATATTTCTCGCTCCAATGGTTAGATCTGGTGCTCGTACGTCCCAGTTCTGTGTTTGCAGTCCGATCCGAGTTAATGCAGCTTTTAATCACAGTACCGACGCGATTAATGGCTCTTAAGCATGGTGCGACGCTTGTCTGGGGCCCTGAAATGGTAGACAAGGCTATTCTACATGCAGAACGCGAGATTGACCGTATGTATGACCTATGTCTCATTTCCACTGATCAACTGATGTTCTTCAGCTGTTACTGGTGTCATCTCGTACAACGGCAAGACTCGCGCCATGTTTACGACTCATCCTCTCGAAAAACCATACCTAATATACCAAATCGGTTCCGCTGACCCCGAGCTTGCGGTGCAAGCCGCAAAAACTGTCATGCAGGACGTTTCAGGCGTTGACCTCAACTGTGGGTGTCCGAAACCCTTCAGCACACACGCTGGCATGGGCGCGGCTCTCTTGACGAATCCTGACCTTCTTTGTGGAATATTAGAAGCTCTGAGGAGGGAATTGCCGAAGGAAATCAGTGTATCGGCAAAGATCAGACTACTGTCAACTCAGGAAGAGACGAAGAAGTTGGTAGAAAGGATTGCAAGGACAGGTGTGAATGCGATCACAGTGCACTGTCGGACGAGAAACATGAGGCCGAGAGAACGAGCATTGGTTGAGAGGCTCAAAGAGATCGTTGAATTTGTGCAGGGGTTGGGTTTGGACGTGGCGATAATTCAAAATGGAGATTGTACAGGAAGGGAAGATGCAAAGCGCATTAGAGACTTCACTGGTGAGTTCAATCGTGGAGGTTATACCACTGCACGTATTCTAATACACCGTTCAGGCGCAGACTCGGTCATGATTGCAACTGCGGCAGAGTCAAATCCATCGTGTTTCTCCACGACACCACTTCGAGATGTTGAGTTAACACTTTCACCTGCATATGTGCGCCTCTGCAAATACTTGGATAACCACTGGGCCTCTACGAAATTTTGTGTCACTCAATTCAAGGGTACACGCTTAGAGGTGTCCAAGACGGATGCACACGAGCTGAAGTCGAGGATTGCTAAAGCCAAGGGGTATGAAGACATCGAAGACATCGTTGGGAGCTGGACGGGCCAGGAAGAATTTCAGGAGATTTCGAGGATTGTGGAAGCACGTCCGCCGAGGATATCTGCAGAGGCAGAGCAGGAAGAAGTAGCCGAGGAAGAAGATATACCCCCACCGTGCATGACACCCCCCGACCGCCCCAATCCCGAACCGCCAACATCTGGCGCACCAAAAATGGGGCTCAGAATGCCTATGCCCGCAATCTTAACAGGCAGCAATATGGTCTCACCTACACCCACTCCTGGTGGCATGCGTTAATGTCTCTTTCACTTCATAACATTCATATCTAATACTTTTAATAGCATTTAATTGATCAATGGTATTTTGAAGCAGGTCCCAGATATAAGTTGTTGTCGAAATGATATTAGAAGACTGCGTCCGATGCATTTTTTGAATTCTATCAAGTATGCAGCGCTCCTGTTTTCCTCCCAACTCATCCATACTATTCCCGGATTGTCAATTCTAAGACGCGATCCACATGTCGAATAGTTTTTAAATGCGAATGCGCATCAAGGGGTGTAAGCGGCTTGTAGTGGTTGTGCTTGCGCTTCGCCGATATGGTGGTTTGAGAGGGCGGTGGTAAACAGTGCCTCATTCTGGTGGAGTTACTCGGAAGATGAGAATAATCTCAACACATCGAGCGAGAGAGCTTGATCTCGGATGGGATAATGCGCTTGAAAGCGCGTGTTGTAGGCACTTGTTAATTGGTACCAAAGATCTTCTTCAGCACGCTCTTGCCCTGCTTCTTTTGCCCGTTGGAAGCGTCAAGCACCTGGCGGAACTCTGCGTACATCGCATGTGTCTCACGTGGGGATTGTGTTGGAGCGAAGACAGCAAATACGTTTGAGGATGCAGGCGGGGAGGGGAAGAGGGAGAAGTGGGTGTTAACGTTAAGGGTGGTGTAAGACATCTCGAGCTATTTGTTTGGAGACGAGTGTGAGATTCAGAGATATTTAGTTTGAAGGCTGAGGGCGCTAGTGCTGATGATGAATAAAGTGACGGACATCGCGTTGCTTAAGTATCTGGGTGCTGGGTGCTTTGACGACGGAGTGTCAGGAAATCAAGAATCGAGTGTCGACCGTCTTCAAGCAAATTAGCCTTTTTAGGAAAATACGGATTGCATGTTACACATGGGCCCATGATGATCGATGATCTACGGGCAATCGATTACGGGACGGAGACAGTGCTAAAAGAGGAAATAAATGTTGCATTGTGTGCCAGACAATGCTGTTTGCAGATGTTTAGCAAAACCTTTTGAAAGTAAATACGACCAAACATCCAGTTGGCTTGAGTTCTTCGACAACGTTCTTGCGATTCCTTGTATCGAATTCAAATCTTATGACGATTCAGTATGATTTGTGACATCCGTTGTTCACGGAAGTACCTTAGTGAGTAATGATGATATCTTTGTAAGCACCTCAATCCATGACTAATTGTCTTGTAATGCTGACTGAGTCCAGTAACCGACCAAGCCACTATCACTCGCATCTTTAAATGACGACATTGTTAGGAGTGGTGCAGATTTGTGATCATCCCGCTGTTGGATTCGTAAGCGTCGCCCTGGTTGTGTCAGAATTCGACAAGGCGCACCCTGTAGGGAGCTATAAATACATGACAGTATCCACCCTACTTTCGACTCATCGGCCTCCCAGTTACTGCCATGTCGTCGCAAACTCATCTTGCATTCGTGAGTACAGCTGTTGGGATAACATCTGTTATTCAGGTCCCGACACCATCTCCTGGACCTGGTGAGGTGACGGTAAAAGTGGCATTCAGCGCAGTCATACCCCTTGACACATACGTTGCGGATTATGGTCGAATCATCAATGGCGAATACCCACTCATATTAGGCCTCAATCTTAGCGGAGTTGTGGAAGCCGTTGGCCCTGGTGTGGGCGGCCTGCAAACGGGAGACAAGGTGAACATAAATATATGCGCAAGATGAACGAGCAAGTCTGATGGCCCCATCTTGTTTTCTAGATTTGTGGATTTACAACGAGTGGATCGAAGGGGAAGGGTTTACAAGAACGTGCAATTATACACAGTTCCGCGTGCGCCAAGGTTTGGAGTAAATCATGGATTTGATGCAGGTCCTGATCAGACTCACAGCTCCCCGATGATTACTCCCTCGAAGCAGCTGCAACAATTCCCGACAACTTTGTAACTGCATTTTACACGCTGTTCGATCGTTTGGAACTTACTCCACCGACATTCCCCGTCTCTGTACCACCTCATCATGCAGAGACTCCCATCCTCGTTTATGGTGCGGGAGCTACGTCTGGTCAATACGCTGTTCAGCTGTTAGCCCTTGCTGGGTACAAGCGGGTCATTGCAACAGCATCCCCTCGCCACCATTCTTACCTCAAGTCTCTTGGCGCCGCCCATGTCATAGACTACAGCGCTGACGACATGCTCGAGAAGATCCTACTTGCCGCAGGCACAAAGCTTCAATTTGTCTTGGACTGCATCAGCGCTGAGAGCACACTCAAAAGCATATCCAATGTCGTTGGCTCTGACGGTGTAGTCGCCATGCTATTGCCAGTGACGGACGGCACTAGGCATGTTGCAGGGAAAGATGCGCAAATGTGGATGGAATTACCGATGGACAGAAACCCCTTCCCAGATTCGGTGAAAGTTGTAGGCGTGAAGGCGATACTGTACCAGCAGGTGAGTATTCTTGAATTTTTTTTGATTCAAAATGTTGATAAGTTGGCGTAGAATGAGTACCTTCGTGACAACCTGATGCCAAAGATTCTCCTTCGACTGTTGGAGGAAGGCATCATTAAACCCAATCGAGTTCGCTTATTTGATCAAGGATCATTACAAGATCGGTGCCAGGATGCTTTTAATGTAGTACGAAATGGACAGGTCAACGGAGAGAAAGTGATCGTGAAAGTAGCATCCGAGTAGCTCATTGACTGGTATTGGAGCGGATAAGGAACATAGTCATTTGGATACTGCCTGTATATGAGATACTTGTAAGACCCAGAGATGTAGTACTAAGTAATCGTAATCTTATCTTATTGTTCTCATGGTATCGTAGCACATTTTCGGGTGTATCGGATTCGTCACTTGTGCGGTTATAATACTCGATTCAAGTTGAACGTGGATGTTGGGTGTAATTCGCCTGTCAAGATCTTTAGTTTTCCGTGGTGGGCCTCCCAGTTGTAGGACAACCGCTCTTCGTCTCGCGCAATACCCCGCTTTTGCACTCGCTGTCAGAAAAAACCGACAAATGTCTACGATCACAGCCGTTTCGACGCCCAACGCGCCCTCAGCCATTGGGCCCTATTCCCAAGCCATCAAAGCTGGCGAATTCGTGTTTGTTTCGGGTTGTATCCCCCTCGTACCTTCCACGATGCAGATAGTCGAAGGCGGTATCGAGGAACAGACCAAGCAGGCCCTCACAAATCTCAAGGCTGTTCTTGAAGCCAGCTCTAGCTCAGTTGGCAAGGTCGTCAAGACTACGGTATGTCATCAGACAGTCGTCTGTCTCCGAGTCGAATTTGATGGATGTATGATAGGTCTTCCTGAAAAATATGGAGGACTTTGCCACCGTTAACAAGATTTACGAGGAGTTCTTTAGTGGTTCGGAACACAAGCCTGCACGGTCAGCCGTTGAGGTTGCTCGGCTTCCGAAAGATGTTTTGTTTGAGATCGAGTGCATAGCAGGTTAGTTTCTTGTACCATGAACATCTTCTAATGTGCTAATGACGCGCCATTTATCTTCAATATCAGTGGCAAATAAGTGATTCACGAGTCTTTATGACAAGGAGTACCGTGAATTGATACGTAGATCGTCGGACACACGTGCAGTGGCAGAAACTCACGCAATACGCGTTCGGAAGAGCATCGAGCACACAGAAGTTAGAAATAGGAATGACATTTTTGTCTGATATACTAGGCCTAGTGCGTATGAAAGATCAGAATGTCATATTTTTAGATGAATCTCAGGCTGTGTTGGAACTTAGTACTGATATTCTGATCGCATTAGTTTGGACGCAGGAGGTATCCTTGCAATTATTTCTTAGCGAAAACAAAATACCTTCGGTGAACTGCAAAGCCTCCGACCGTAGACACTAGAGTCTGGACAGGATCAACCATTGAGATTGTTGATATATTTCAAGCCCTTTGTGACTGTAAATTCGACATACGTGTAGTGAGGATAACACATACAACGAGCAATGATTACAGCAACGAGATACCAGGGAACAAGGAAGTTCCAAATAAGTTAGAAACAGAAACAAAACCGGCCGCTTCCATGCTGTCCGGAGTTAAAAATCCCTGGGCGCGAGCCAGGATTAGGGGAAGGGGGAGAGACATAATCTTCGTCGCGTATCAATTCATCATCAGGGCCGGGAGCGCCCGCTGCAGCATACCGCTATACATACATGGATGAGAATTCGAATACGACAAGAAAAACGCGCACATACCAGTCTACCCGGCGCGAGAGGAACATCAACGATAGTTGGCGATGCACGCCACCAGCTTGATAGTCGATTTGATCTGAAGGTCGAGGAAGAATTGATGACAGAGGATTGGGTGGTGGGTGGTGCCGGTGTGCGTCGAGACTGATGGAATGTAAGTTTGACATGTGATGATAAAGGTCCCCACTCACATTCTCGTCGTGGGTTGGAAGTGGACGAGGCAGGGGTGATGTAGCAGGGAACTGTGAGTCAACTGTAGAGTCAACTGGGAGGCAAACAGGTAAAAGAAACATACATCCAGGAGATTAGGCTCATCGATACGAACCGCGTCTGTACGAGAAAAGAGTTTGCGTAGAAAGCGGAGGCGAGCATGTGGATTCTTGGCAGGCAAAGGTCGAGGGATGGTAGACGTGGCAGGTATTATCGCTGGTTTACGTTGCGCGGGACGAGGTGTTGCATTGGACTGTAATGAATAAAAGTGCGGTGCAGATGAAGGAAAGAGCAGGACCACATACGTTGAGCAGACCAGCGTGGCGTAAATCAGCTTTCTTGGTCTATAAAATATTAGCATACAAATTATGGATGTATGTGGGAGATACATACACTAGGCCGTGCAAGGATGTTGGCTGAAATATTACATATGTAGATTTTGGTGTCATCGCAGGTCGTGTAAGCTAGTTGGCGTGAATTGGGCGAGAGGACAAGGGTCTTGGGAGATTCTGGGATGTCAAATGAAGCGAGGAGTTGGCGGGACTCGAAGGCCTACAGCTTGATCAAGTGGTCGGAAGAGCTGGCGAGAAGAACACAATCAGACGAGAGTGCTAGACCACTGATCTTCTCAGTGTGTTTGAAAGGGGCTCCGACAGTCTTGAGCGTCGACGCGTCAAACTCATAGATCGTCATGGGAAAGTCATTCCTGAAGGTGAATGCGGCTACGATAGCTTTGTCTTTTGTTGTCCAGAATACTGGCAATTCCAACCCGAACGGCTCGCTAGGAGTAGATTTCTGTACAAGCAATTTCTGTGCCTGAACATCCCACAATGTAACCTTATGATGACCTTGGAGTGGCGCATCTTGTGTGGTTCTTATGTGTCAGCACGTAACGGATTGCCAGTTAGGAGGAAATTTATTTGTCTGTGAGAAGCTAGCGCATGGTCACTTAGAATCGCAATCCATGCGTTAAAACTTGAAGGTTACGAAAGATGACTTGATCTCGTTTGAAAGCTCACTTTATTCAACTAGGTCGCATTCTCGAGCAGTTCTATGTGGGCCAAGTACTGGGCGACGCCTTCGGAACAAGAGCCTGTCGGGATTCGGATGCTGATACACCAGGAGGCCAATTTCTCTCTGCACGACACTACGCATGTACCGTGACTATTGTGACACACACCATATTTTGCTGAATCCACGTTGATGGACGTCTAAAGTGCGTGTCGTGACACCGCCGTCGTCATATCTGAAACCACTGTCAAGTTCATGCGACTCCGAGTATGGCCTCAGAGAGCATCAATCTCATCAAACATGATGCAGAGGATTTTTGACGCCCACCGCCCACCGCAAGCTGTAAGGCGCATTGGCAGGAGAAGAATATGAAGGTCATATGAAACCAAATGATAAGCAAACTTTACTCATGGTTGAAACTCTTCAGTATTGAGAGCTTTTGGTGATCGTGACTGGAAACATTACCTGGTCGACGTCTAGCTGCACCCTGGAAGCCTATGTCAACGCGCTCGGTGTACATCGCAGTCATCAACAATAAACCCATGTCGTCAGGTACCACTTTCTGCTCACCAATAACGCAACTTCATCTTTATAGCCAGTCATTTCCTGCGCATACTGCCGCTCCATCCGATCCAGATTTGTGGACTGAGCAGTGAGGTCGCGCTAGGACATGAGGATGCTCTGTGTTTACGATCTGTAGTGGTGCAAAGTCATTCCCGAGATGACTGTTTAACAATGAAGGAGTTTTTCGGTGCTTTCTTGAGTCGATGGCATGGGTAGTAACTAATTTTTTGCTTCTTTACCTTTCACCCGTCCTTCCGGGCCAGGAAACCGTTCCTTGAATTTGGTATGTCTTTGTTTTCTTCATAACCGCATATACAGGCACTCAAAAGCGATCAGTTGCAGGCTCTCAGCAGGGTGGCAAAGGCACACCTTTGCGTCAAGCGACCAACGTTGCAAGACAGCAATGTTCCTTCAACTTAATGGTGTAGTTTTGCAAGTATCTTGGCTAGAACAGTCAAGTCGGGCCAGAATCTACGACGGGATGCGATGTATTAAGGACAAGAATAAAGTGTGAGTACTCACAAGGAAATGCAATGACAATATTATTGTCCGTGACACTTGGCGCTTGAGTCTTTCCGAGTCAGGTGCCGGTGAGCCGATTCTAATATCACGCGTTCAGAAGATGATGCGAGACGTGCATCAAGTTTTGCATCGTCTATTGCACTTCGCGTAGGTTCGTTCTTTGTGATTGTTGTTGACCAGTTCACTGAACTCGAGCTGTTTCTCCCAAAGCACCGACACGACTCACGGAGACCTGATAGATCTCGTCACTCACGCGAATCTGCCTTCAATCTACTATGATTCATCTGTTCGCTATAACTTCTTATAAGTTGCAGTGCTCCAATCAGATTGTCAGCCTCAGGAGGATCTAAACATTCACAGCGCATTGACAATCCACTGCTCGTGTTTACATCGCGGACTTGCAACAAGAACGAATAGCTCAAGCGTGCATGCAAAGCTGAACGGATCGGTCCAAAGGACCATCGTCCCATTTAGTGAATGATGGTGGTCCACAGAAATTTTCTCCTCAAAGGAAGGTCCTTGCAGTGGAAACACATCTCGAGGATATGCCTTCAAAGCGGCACTGAATGAGCATATAAATATTGGTTCGGTGGCCTTCATCCTCTATCCCTCACCCACTGCACCCACTGCCACTGCGACCTCGTACACACACCCTAACATTTCAATCAACTATCTGCTGGCCCCGGTACGTGTGTTCAGAGCTTCAACATCTACGTTTTCTCACTGTATGTACTTCTTGCCACCAGATGAGACACTTCACTCCCCATGTCTCCTCATCACATGGTTCCGATTCTTTCAATGCAACACAATACACGCCAAACACTTGTATGTATATGGGTCGATTTCGCTGGCCCCAGCCCTCACACATTCCTTATCTAGGCTTCTACTACCCGTATGATGTGTCAGCTAACGGGACGCATAGCGCCCCTCCATCATACGCGCCGGTCGCACCTTCGCCCAGTGTCGGTGCTGGAGTCGTGCATCACGCGTTCCAAACGGGACAAAATGGTTATTACCCCCCTCCAGGAGCCGATGTCTCGTGTGCCACTTATGGTGGTCCATACTCACTGCCAACTGCGGCTACTCATCCCCCACAAGACCCATCCGCGACCCCCCTGTACCATCAACCTATGTCTTTTCCAGGAGCCGCAAACCCTTACGCTGCACTCATACCGCACCAAGGATACCTCCACCAGAATCACGGGCCTGTGCTTGCAACGAGCTCTGCTTTTTCGTCTCTCCCTCAAGCACCAAGCATCAGTCAAAAGGGCGTCGCGGAACACTTCCATCACTGCGATGTCAAGCAAGCCAAAATAGCTCCCGGCGGAATGAAGAACGACCCGTTATTTGTGAGTTTTCTTTTCATCTTGTGAAGTCTGATTCTCAAGCATTGTGACAGACACCCGTGTTAGATCAACTTGGTCAACCAAACGGGACATTCGTGTGTTCTAGGGACGGGATGGTGCTCAATTCTGGAAGCTATCTCAAGCACCTCAAGACAAAAAAGCACCTAGGCTTCAAACTAGAAAAATTCAAGTGCTCTGGTTGTTCCAAAACGTGCGTATTTCAACTCTCAAATAAGCTTCTCGCATCATTAATATCGTTGTGATTAGGTATACGAGACGCGATGCCTACAAGAGGCACTTGATCAATAGCAAGTGTGGACAGACAGCTGTGGGCGCTCCGCCGCCATACTCAGCTAGTCAGGACTCCACGAGTTCTGCTTCTGCTGCACCTGCAATGGCGCCTACCACTACGCTCACTTATTCTCACCCATACCCCATGTTCGCCGCATCGATGTCCCAGAACGTGGAGATCGCACCCCCAGCAGCTTATATCTCGCAGTCATGTGGCACGCCCAGTTTTGCGAATCCTGCAGTTTTCTCTCGATTGCCAGAGAATGACATGGTCACAGAGCCCGCCGAAGACGACAATAACGACGAAACTGCTTTTTGGGATGCTAATGAGATAAAGGACGGCCATGAGATGTAGCCATGTTTCAGTTCTGCTACTGACTATTTTCTTTGTTTTATTATCTGTTGTCGTTTATTCACTTGTCTTTCCACCTACTACACGCATTCTCTATTCTCTATGGCATAACACATTATTTATTCGTTCACACTGTCATGACTGCTATCATCATTATCATCATCATGGTGATTCGGTGATTCGTTGGTCACTCTTCTCTCATGTGTGCGCGGGCTGAAATATCTAAGGAACGAGCGAGCAGGTGAGATGAAACAATTTGTGACATCATCATCACCCGTCCCTCCCGAAGACACACTTGAGAAGCATCAATATCAGAGAGGTCAACATATTTTCTCTGTCGAGAGAGCGCCTCGACCTAAATACACAGATATCACAATGCGAGGTGAACTATTGCAACAAGGTTCGGACCCACAATTGACTCAACACGATGAAGTCGCTTCAGCGGAGGCCAGCTATGTAGCAATGTACCACGGATGTTGAAAGGTTCTGGAGTCTGGATAGTAAATGCTCATGACAAATCGAAACGCAGGGGCAATATCTCGGAGCGCCGTAGACACTGGAGTCTAGACAGAATCGACCATTGGCACTGTGTTCATATCTCAAGCGCTTTAGGGGGCAATAGCGATCATGAATTCGACATAAGTGTAGGGAGGACAACACACCGTGACACAATGAGCAGCAATTACAGTAACGTCGAACGAGATGCCCGATAACTAGAAGCAAAAACAAAACCGGCCGCTTCCATGCTGTCCGGAGTTAAAAATTCCTGGGCGCGAGCCGGGATTAGGGGAAGGGGGAGAGACATAATCTTCGTCGCGTATCAACTCATCATCAGGGCCGGGAGCGCCCGCTGCAGCATACCGCTATACATACATGATGAGAATTCGAATACGACAAGAAAAACGCGCACATACCAGTCTACCCGGCGCGAGAGGAACATCAACGATAGTTGGCGATGCACGCCACCAGCTTGATAGTCGATTTGATCTGAGGGTTGGGGAATTATTGATAACGGAGGATTGGGTGGTGCTGGTGTGCATCGAGACTGGAAGAATGTAAGTTTGACATGTGATGATAGAGGTCCGCACTCACATTCTCGTCGTGTATTGGAAGTGAACGAGGCAGGGGTGATGTAGCAGGAAACTGTGAGTTAACTGGAGTCAACTGGGAGGCAAACAGGTAAAAGAAACATACATCCAGGGGATTAGGCTCATCGATGCGACCCGCGTCTGTACGAGAAAAGAGCTTGCGTAGAAAGCGGAGGCGAGCATGTGGATACCTGGCAGGCAAAGGTCGAGGGATGGGAGACATGGCAGGTATTATCACTGGTTTACGACGCACGGAACGAGGTATCGCATCGGACTTGTAATGAATAACAGTGTGGTGCAGATGAAGGAAAGGGCGGGTCCACATACGTTGAGCAGAATAGCATGGCGTGAATCAGCTTTATTGGTCTATAGAATATTAGCATATAAATGATGGATGGATGCAGGGATACATACACTAGGCTGTGCTTCAAGCCCAATGCTAGCAAGGATGTTGGTCGGAATGTCACATATGAAGATTTTAGTGTCATCGGAGATCGTATGTAAGCTAGTTGGAACTTGGCGTGAATTGGGCGAGAGGATGAGGTTCGTGGGAGATTCCGAGATGTCGAATGAAGCGAGAAGTTGGTGGGACTCGAAGGCCCACAGCTTGATGATGCGGTAGGAAGCACTGGCGAGAAGAACACAATCAGATGAGAGTGCTAGATCATGGATGGCAGAAGTTTGTTTGAAAGGAGCTCCGACAGGCTTGAGCGTCGACGTGTCAAACTCATAAATCGTCCTGGGGAGGCTATTCGTGAAGCTGAATGTGGCTACGATGGATTTGCCCATAAGACCGGTAAATGTATCCCGAAGTTGGCAGGAGTAGATTTTTGTACAAGCAATTTCTGTGCCCTCATGAGGCTTTTTACATTTCCCTTTAACGACAGGACCGCCAGCTTCCGAGAGTCTTCCGAGAGTCGAACTGACCTTATGATTGAGCTAAGATGATCCTCGCCTGTTTTGAATGGACCAGCCACGAGTTCTCCTGTGTCCAAACTCCATATCCGTGTCCCATTGGATGACCCACCCACTACCAATGTGCTGTCCGCGGAGATATCAACTTGAAAGCATCCGGTCGACCGAATGTGAAATGTTCTCACGATCCCCGTCTCAACCTCATTGACTTTGAGCTCCCCATCAACAACAGTGACAATCCATCGACCATCCCTTGATACCCCCACCGCATTTATACGATTCTCGTGAACCTCTCGAACCTCCTCGATCTCCTTACCCTCCCGCAGGTCCCATCGCCGAATCGTTTTATCCCCCGATTCGCTGATCATTTGCTTTCCGTCGGAAAAATAGCAAATGTACGAAACATATTTGAACTCGGGCCGGTCAGGTTCATTTTCCAGATAGGAAGGGAACTTCCATGGTTTATGTCCCTCCAAGAACATGACTGGTGTCAGAATCGATTTGTTTTCAGCTGCATCGGGCTGCGTCGAGCTGGAAGCCATCATAGCTGTATTCGCCAGACAGGTTGGCAAGTATATTGGTTAATGGGTATGTTCGGTGGAGGTTCTCCTCGTGCTCTCTAAGGCAGCTAGGCCTGATGTTCAGTCATTTTAAACTCCAACTCATTCGAGAGCTGACGCACTAGTTATTGTCTGCTAATTCAATCGTCAGGTCATCTGTGCCTAATGCTCATATGGACTTTGGTCTTACCAAGATGCTAGCCAGGACAAAGAGCAATGATGGGCATGTGGGTGCGTTCTTTATATTTATTCTTCTTCATGATGACTGTGCATTGTACAGCATGTCCTCTTTTAACTCCATACTATTTCTAGCTTCAGTCACATCTCTCTTTCTGCGTCAGTGATTGTAACAAGTCACACTTCAGTACGTCATGGTACTATCTTTGCATATTGAAATCATCTTGTCGATAGACTCGCTCGATGAGACTTAGGTGGTTCCTAAAGCGGATTCTGCTGTTCATACATCGTTGCCAGTCCAGGGCGAACCCATCCAATATTATAGATCTCGATTGCCTTTGCGACGTAGGTGGTTGCACTTATCATTTTTGCTAGGTAAGAGCACAATTTGGCATAGTGCGCTCGCGCGCGATATCGGAGGTTAGTTTGGTACCTGTTTTTGTACCACTTGTCTCCTGATCTGTCTTTTGCATCTATACTCACTTAGACTTGGCACCAAGTTCCTCATTTCTTGCTATCCGGACTCTAAAGTTCAACCTCCGTGGAGCACCTGTTCCAACGCTGTCTGCATGTTTCAAACGGCTCACTACGATCTATTCAAACAATCGCATGCCGCACACGGCTGAATTCGAGCCGTTTTAATGGATCTAAACGTCATGTCATGAAATCAACCTGCCGTAGATATTATAAGATACCAGTTCGGATCCCTTCTTGAGCGGCAGTTTTGTGCGATAGCAATCGCGTGAACATATCTAGTATATCTTGATGTTTGTCAACTTCGAGTTCTGTGTGGTGAATGGACTGGTAGATGATGTCATAAATTGCTTCACCTCGTCCGTTCGCCCACTCGTTAGATCTTCCAGCGCGTACATGCAAGGAGTGTGTACTATTAGCTGGACGTATATTTAAATTGTAATATTTACTCTCTGCATATTAGTAACAAGATCACCCTTCGACGCGTGGCATTTCGATATTTTGCAACACACGATCGCGAGTAATTCGAATGGATGCTCACCTTGCTTGCAAGGTCATGTGCCAACTGTAAATCGTCCACAATTACAAACAACGGCATTTTCCGCATTCAACATTTGCTACGATTGTGACCAGTCTCTGTCCTTCCATTCAGCTGCGCTCATTCCCTTCGTCTTTCCAATTACAAACGAAAGTAAGGTCATCGCCGGCAACGGCGCCTAATATTGCAATTGACTCGTAAATTGTTCAAGGAAGCAATGAAGCTTTTTGGAAAAGGAAAGATGATGTAATTTTCACGTGATCCCAGTTGTTGGCATCATGAGCTAGAGCGTGTCTTAGACTCTCAGTCAGTACTAAGAATGTAGTGAGGAGAAACGGTTGACTGAAAAGGGAATCGGCCGTTCAGTACGTACGGTAGGGATGTGGAGAGGTGCCAAGGAGACTCGAATTGAACCAGATTTTCGTGGGTACCGGGACAAGGTCTTGAATGGCCCAGTCACTGGTGCCGATCGAATGTGCTGAAACCATTGAGTGAGACCACCCTTCCACAGGTGCTCGGGCCCACACTAACTACCATTGTAACAAGAAAATACAATAGAATTTCAGGTGTGTTTGTTGTGGGCCTTTTTTTTTGAAGTGTTGAATTAAATAGGGACACGGCAGTTGACGAAACGGTAGAACTTTGGTAGAATTATTTCCTCCCCCAAATCTCTGTATCAAACATCTAAATCTTCTTCGCATCAGCATGCAGAAATCCAACTCAAACGTCGATTCACCGGTCTCAGCTACCACTGGTGAGCCGCAGAAACCTGTAAGTGTCTGGTTTTGGAGGTATTTTCGTCTGGATATAATAATAAACATCTACTTCAACAGTTGAATGAGATGATCGTGCGCGAGAATTCGGGCCTTGAAAAAGTTAGGAAGGGCGTTTCCTATCGTCAACGGCAACTCGTCGAAGAGAGGGCCAACACCGTTCAGTCCAACACTTCGCGCAAGGCATTTTCGTGGCACCCGCCAACAGAAATACTCTCAGAAGTTTTCCTTTACTGTCTGCCTCAAGACGAGTATTTGTGCCCCACACCACAGGCGGCTCCCCTACTGTTGACCACAATATGTCGACGATGGAGGGAGGTCGCTGTGGGCTTGCCAAGTTTATGGTGCAGGCTGCAGATGAAAGCCGAGCACGACAATTGGGAGAAGAGAGCTTTATGCTACAACCTCTGGCTCAAGCGGTCTGGAGGATGTCCTCTCTCGTTGAGACTCGAGTGCCACACTAACTGGAGCGAGCTACAAAGCCTGCTCCAGCCATACATTCAGCAAATCTCGTCTCTCAAACTTGATTTTTTTGCCTGCGACGGCCCCTTCATGATGGAAGGCCTTCACGCACTCAAGGAACTTACCATCCACAAGTATGGGTTTGATCCTAAATCAACTATCGACCGCTCTCTGTCGAATTTGCCGCTGAATTTGCGCAGGTTGGATATGACATCACTGTTATACAGCCGCAAGGACCTATATTTTGTCACTGACTCCGCATGGGCCCGTCTCACGCATGTTGAGATCAACGTGAATGGATTAGATACATTCCCTCGCATACTCCATCTATGCCCCAACCTCTCTTCCGTGGTGATGATTGGAATACTCGACCCAATTCAAACTCCAGAACCGGTCACGCACGTCAACCTCCAATCCTTGCGCATGTCTGGGGACGTATTCCTGAGTTCAGCCGGGGCCCTTGGCCTATTTGATGTTCTCACACTCCCCAACCTGCGCGTGGTCGAAGCCCGCAATATAGGGCCGTGGCCACATGAAGAGTTCAAGGCATTCTTGATGCGGTCAGGATGTCCCCTGGAGAGCCTTATTTTCGGCAATGCAGTGCATTCAACAGACCGGCAGCGAGAAGAATATGTCGCCCTCATTCCTACCCTCAAATTGATCGTAGAACCTGATAGCAACTTCGATATGCACGAATTTCTAGAAGATCTCGGCAGTGAAGTGGATTCAACAGACCAGCCGCAAGAAGACTATGTCACCCTCGTCCCTTCCTTCGAATTTATCATTGAACCTGATAGCAACTTCGATATACACCAATTTCTGCTATAGACTACTTTGCTCAAGCTTTCCTTATACCCTTACAAGTGATTGGCGCTATATGGATACAAAGAGATCTTTATACCTGCTTTTCAATGTCGAAATGACTTTGCCTTGTGTTGATGTCCCACAGCCTCACTCCACCATCCAACCGTCCGCTAACCACTTTGATCCGACATCTGTTTCCCACTCTTTAAGTTCAAAATACCCGCAGCGAACAGTTATATGAACAAGTTGTCGGCCTGGTTCTGATGGGGCGTTATCACTGATGTCTCCCGCCTCCCTGCGATGGGTGAAGACATAACGGACTACTGGTCACGGCTCCGTCTCAGCTTTCAGCCAATAAAGTCAAAAATAAATGTTCAAGCCATACGACAGCTTGTTTCTCTGCAGGTCTACATATGTTCTCTAACCTTCGCGTGCTCGGTGATTGTCTATCATTCAATCTATATGCTTACGCTTAGGATGGACAACTACGCATACACTCCAGCAGGAGTGCTCTACCAGGAAATGTCCTGTTCTTCCTTCTCGTCAACGGTACCTTAAAATCCAGGTCTTCAAGAAAGATCCATTCACAACGGATGGTGTTAAACAGGCGCAGATCGACCTGACAAGCAGAAGAATACAAGAAAATTTGTATTCAAAGTCAGCGGTTGATCGAACGTTGCGTGACGAGACCAAAACCAACATAATGTAACCTTGCTTGTATTTGTTCGGATAAAAATGCGAGAGTATGCACGTCATGATAGATGCGGTTCCGGAAGTGGGCCCTGGGGATCCGTGTCAAATATTATTCTAGACACGGAGCCAATTGAATGGTTCGTTCAGCGCCCTCCGGTACTCGCTATCATTACCTGCTTGTTCGCAATGTTATTTGACGACATGAACTCAGATGAGGCATGCAATCACGTTCCTCTATATTTTCGCTGATTTTATATATTGTCAATGACGAATAAGATGATCCAGACTCGTGGATAGGATGAAAACAACGGAACTTAGCCCGATTCGTATTACGTGCGGTGAATAGATATCCGACTGGGATCCTCGGTCGAAGCGAAACCGAGCTTGTGACGTGATGGTAACACTGCATCGATCAGGTGACTTGGATGTGTATTTTAGTTGCAAAATGCTCGCTGCATATAAAAAGACTACTCTGCAAGGCACTTACGATGTCGTGCAGCCTACGAATGATATTCGAGGCCGGTAAGAAATTGACTGGTAGTTTAGCTGTCAATAGTGAGTCATTTTAGCTTTGTGTTTGATTTGTTAAGGGCATTTTTGAAAAAGGAAAGGTGACATTCTATTACCACGTGGTATGACCGACCTTCGTATGGTTCTGCGAGTCCTGCGACCAGTTGTGGGATGGTAATTCATTGGTTATAATACACACCCCTTGCATCTACGTGCTAGCTGGAAGATCCAAGGAACCAGCGAGGAGATGAGATTGACTGATTTGGCATCCTCCCAAAGACGGACCTGACAAGCATCAACATTGATATCAGAAACGTCGACACATTTTCGCCGTAGAATATTGTGAGGTTGCGCAGGATTCAAGTGGAGACCTAGGCGCACAAATCATTGACAGGCACGAGCCTCGACCAAAGTCACACAGCGGCATTACAACCTCAGTCAAACTACTTGAACACGGAGCAGACACACAGTTCACTCAGTCCCTTCGGTGGAGGCTAGCCATGCAGGAGGACGTATCATGGAGGTTGAAAGGTTCTGGAGTCTGGATGGTCAATGTTTAATGAATAGGGAATGTGGGTGCAAGTCTGAATGAGTACAAGCTATCAAAACATTCAGGGACAGATATGCGGACTCCAGAGTAGGAGACAAGCAGTGTCTGAGGGGGGAAGGCGTAGGCAATCACTAGATTGACATTTGAGTCCGTGTCGCACCCATTCTTCTAGCCCTGGTACTAACCCATGACAGAGTGCTGGAGGTTGAAATCACATACTTTGGTACTTGTCATCTCAGGCAGTAACATGCCTACCACGAACGGCCAATGAAGTTGAACAAAAACTAGTAACAGGATACGTGGTCAAAACATTCCTTCCCTTTGTGGAATAGCGACTGGAGGGGGTCTGATAGCGTTCCCAGGACGATCTGACGAGCGTGGTGGAGGAGCTGGGCTATCCCGCACAGATTTCGACGAAGGATCGGAGTCATGCATCTGCCTGATTGGGCGCAGAGGTGTCGAAGAGCGTGTAGTAGGGCGAGCAGGCGAGTCAGGTGTAGGTGGAATTGGAATTGGAGGTATGGGAGGCGTTGAGGAAGACACAAAGGATAATGTAGATTGTGGTGTGTGCGAGCGTGAAATGGAGGGCGCTAGGGAAGGCGCATGGAAGGTAGCGGAAACAACGCAGGTGTCGTTGGTCTGGGGGTCCTGGACTAGAAGCTCGTCAAGGAGATAGCGGAAGTCAAGCCCAAATTCTTGTAGGAGCTGAGCAGTATGTAAGTGGATGGGTTACACAAACAGGAAGAAGGAAAGACAGGAGTACAGATGAGTATGAATTGATGGCGAAGATAATGGACAAACCTTGCGACTCTGATTGTATGTGATTTTGAGTGCTTCTTTGATAGTCTGCTGTTCAACATCGGAACTATAGACCTGCTTTCTGAACCTTTCAGCATACATCTCAATCTGTTTCTTGGCCCAGTCAATCAAAGCTTGGTGCCTATTAGTAAGGAGGATTGCATGAAAAATGCGAAGAATCACTGACTGCTAGTCATATCATGCTCTACAAAGCCCGCGAGGAACCAATCTGCTGTGTGCTTGATCCCAGTAAACACGACTAAAGCCAAATCATGCACATACATCCCGACATGTCCTTCGAATCTGATGGCCCTGACGTACCGGTCCACCGCCCCCGCTCGTGCATTTAAGAATGTCGACCTCGCAGCTGGACCTTGTCCAAGCTTTAACAAGTGACCAATGAGGTTCACTGCAGTATTCTTGCGGTTCCCAGGCGCACTGAGTGCATCGAGTAGTGCTGAGGTGAGGCTCGCCGTAAGAGGAGTGAGCTTGGCGCTCAATGACGGTATGGAAGAAACTTTGGCACGACCTTCCTCCACTAGCTGAACGGCCCGTTCCCAGGATCGTAGAGCGATGGCGACTGTGAGGTCGTCCGAAAAATCACTGATGAAGCGAGCATCGCTCTCGGATTTGTCCCGTGCGCTAGTATCCCCGTCAACGCCCGCTTTGCGGGCAAGCTCAGCCATCCAGTCAGGAAGGGGCGGCACCTTGTCAGGATGCAATGTCATAGAGGTGCGCTGCTTAAAATATCATGTCAGATACCGAATATGAATCACTTAAGGCATGAAGGCTGACATCTCCACTGGTCCACATGCTCTTACATCGCTCGTGCTCGCCTTCACGCTCCCTGCGTTTGCGGATTGCAAGTTCTTCAGCAACCTGGCGGAACTGTCCAAGCAGAGTCTTCTTATCAGAGGGTCCCTCTGTTCTGTAAACATATGTCTCCTTTTGATGGCGAATTTTAAAGACGTTTGTCATGGCTTCAAGTTGGCAGGTCGATCAGATATTATGTACATTTCTACAATCAAAATCACACTCACTTGCTGTATCTTTCGTATCCAAAACTAACATCTCATTCAAAGGCCAACATCTCTCTGCTACCAGCCGTCCCCCTTCTCCGTTATTCCTCCTCCTCCTCTTCGCGACGAGCACAGAATCATCTAGTACGACAAACTTAACAGTGTTACTAACCCTGTAAGTTGCCGCGTTGAGAGCATATATCCCGTCCATTTCGTAAATTACATGTCTGCCTGGCGTTGTTGGAGCAAATTTCGCAGAGCCCTCGATTTGAGTGTGCAGTGTCTGCATCTGATTCGCATAGAGCACGCGAAGGTCCGCAATAGATGAACGGACGTTGCGCCGCCGCTCCGAAGCAGAGGCGGATTCATCAATGTGCAAAAGGCTCGGCATAGACTTCCATTCAGAAAGACTTTCTTTGAGTTCGAGCACTTCGTTCTCGAGGACAGAAATTTCTTTGGAAATATGTACGAATTCGGCATAGCTGTAGTAAGGTTAGCGAATTCAACGGGGCAGAACATTCGGAGATACTGAGAGATACTTTTTAAACACATTCCGCTGTAGTTCGACAGCAGTATCATCCTTGGACGATCTGAGTGAAGACTGGAGAGACCTAAGCTCCGCTTCGGTCGAGTTAGCCAGTTTGGCCTTCAAATCTGTATAGCATGTCGAACGCGTAAGAACATCCAGACTACAAATGCATAGTACTCACAAGTGTCTGGATCAAAGTCTTCCTTGTCCAGCAACCTCTGATCTATAACTTTCGGGTCCTCTCTGATGCTGGCACGTTCCAAGACAAGCTCATCTGGGTCCCTCACTGCACCTGGACGCAGCCCAATGGGAACACTTGGCACATCCGGAACAGAAGCTTCGGTGGGCGCAGATATATCTGCATAGCGCAGTGACATGCGCTTCTTTATCTTGTCATCGACGGTGGACTTGCGAACATTCTTATTGATAGGTTTCTTCTCGAGTTTGGACGCCTGACGTTTGACGGTGCGCGTCTCAGAGGGCCTGCGTGTGCGCAATGACTGCATGATAAAAAATGTTTGTGCTGGTCGTCCTAGACGTTGAGGACGACCACGGCTGATTGTCGGAGTCGGTGAAGACCCGACACCGCATTCGACATCATGTGAACCGGCTCACACCGGTAATATTACATAGTTCACTTCATCGTCCGCTTCTCTTTATCCACTGCAAGCCTTGCAGCTGCCTTGAGGCCTCTCCTTACTGGCGATCGACTCCGTCGACGTCAGACCACACCGAGAACGATTTAGTGAATAGTCCCCTCATCGACGACTGCAGCGACGACCGTGTGTGGTGTTATTGGTCCAATAGTCAGCCACTCCGTAGGCAAATCCGTGCCTACCTCTTGTAACCATAATTAACTAGAGTGTTACCAGTACAACACTTGGAACGACCACATAACTCCTTTTCACCAGGTAATAGTGGGTTCAAATCTATCCTGAAGGCTTCGCTGGTCCAGCCTAACATCATTTTTGACAATCGAACAGCTTGATCTAAGTATCAGCTCAACTCTTCGCATCGTACTAAGTAATGTACGCCCACGCTCAGTCACGGCCCAACTCGTTCTATGCTGCGGATGATGCGGCAAATCAACCAGATTATCTCCCAGAGCCACCGCGCCGTCATCGCCAGCCCCGTGCTCAAGGCTCCCCGAACCATTACCAGTCCCCACAACAGCCAGTAGATCCAGACTATGATGACGATGACCAACCCTTGGGACTCGCAGGTCAATCACTTGATGCTGCGGATGAGTTTTATGGTGCTCAACAGAATAACGGCACAACCTTCCCACCTCAGCGGTCTCATTCTCAATCACAACTGTCCCAGGGTCCCCTTTTAGATCACTCACACCTCCGCCCGGGAAACCAAGCCTCATTACTTTCTTATGAGCGTACCCTCGAGCTATATCGTGCAAATGCAAAGAAAACACAGGATCCAGACATCCAATTCGAATTCGCAGTATTCATGATTGATGCATCTAAATCTTTCCCCATCCCGGCTCCCACCCCCGGAAATGTAATGGAAATTGAAAAGGCAATCGAAAAGCGCGATAATCTTGTGCATGAAGCCACAAGCCTCCTCAAACGCCAAGCAGACCGGGGACATCCAGCATCACAATATTTCCTTGCAGACTGCTACGCCAATGGTCTAGGCACTTACAAGGGCAGGCAAGACTTTGATCGGGCGTACCCACTATTCGTACTCGCAGCAAAACACGGACATCCAGATGCCGCATATCGCGCAGGAACTTGCTGTGAGAATGGATGGGGTTGCAGGCGCGAATCTGCCAAGGCTCTCCAATTCTTCCGGAAAGCCGGGGCAGCACTTCACCCTGGCGCTATGTACCGTCTTGGTATTGCTGAACTTAATGGCGAGCTCGGACTCTCAAAACGGCCACGCGAGGGTGTCAAATGGCTGAAACGCTCTGCGGAGCACGCAACGGCCGAGTTCCCGCACGCCTTGCATGAGCTTGCCTTGCTGCACGAACGGGGGATAGACAACGTTGTGTTTGTTGACGTGGAGTATACTGTGGAACTACTCGCACAAGCGGCGGAACTCGGGTATGCTCCCAGTGCTTACCGGTTAGGGGAATGTTATGAGTATGGGAAGTTAGGTTGTCCCCAGGATCCAGCCTTGTCAATCCATTACTATGTGGGTTCCCTCACCGATTAGCGCGCCAAAGTTAATGTATCTGCGCAGAACATCGCAGCGCAGCAGAATCATCGTGATGCATGTTTCGCGCTCACAGCCTGGTACTTAGTTGGTTCACCCGGTGTGCTACCCCAATCCGACACCGAAGCATATCTCTGGGCACGCAAAGCAGCAGATGCTGGACTTGCAAAAGCGATGTACGCTGTCGGGTACTTCTTGGAAGTAGGGATTGGTACCCCGCCAGACCTCCCAGAGTGAGTGATCTTGTCTTAGTCCCGAATTCGATACCGATGTATACGTGCAGAGCGATGTCGTATTTCAAGAAAGCCGCAGAACTGGGTGATAAGCGTGCCCAACAACGGCTCAAGGGCCCACCTATCGGACAACAAGGCGGAGTCATGCGGGACGGATCCGATGCCAAGAATGCAGCCACCAACAAGGACTGCACAATCATGTAGACTTGCCTCATCTGCTTACAGCCTGTTTATTTCACGGGAATCTGCTTTAATGTCGATATGTACACAGACGATGGACTCGGAATAATACTGGACGTACTTACATTTCATACTGCCAGTCACATTGCCCATTTTTCTACTTAGTTTCATTTCATCTTGGCCTACCACCACGTCATTTTACCCTACTCTCATTAACCATGTCCCTGCGTTTATTTTGAGACCCATTTGCTCAATTTGCCTACGTAGATCGATACCCTTACTTACAGGTGTGGTAATCATCACGTATCACGATCAGCTCGTTATGTAAATAAATACAACAAACCATCACCTTCAAGCAAGCTGGATATCCTTCCCAACATCGATTTCTACCAGCTCCTTGGGATAACATACGATGCCCCGCTGAGTACAATAAAATCAGCGTACCATAAGGCTCTTCTTGCTTCCCATCCAGACAAACGATCATTCTCATCCACTATACCACCCGTAGATGTCGACATCGCACTCCTCAAAGAAGCATATACCACCTTGTCGAATGCGTCCTCCCGCGTAGCCTATGATGATATTCTTCGAAATACTCGAGTAAAGACCTCCACTGGCCCGCGTCCTGCACAGGTTATCTCACTGGAAGATTTTGAGGAAGCAGAAGAGGGTGTATGGACACATTCTTGTAGATGTGGTGGAACATACAGGATCATTGAAGAGGACATGGATGCGGGAAGACACCTCGTCGGTTGTGAGAGTTGTTCCGAGGTTGTGTGGGTAGGATATGAACTCGTCAATGATGAGCGTCACGCTACCAATGGTTAATCAGATCGCCAACTTAGATGTTGTGCAGGTTGCGATTGTGCGGTATGGAGTCTGGACACCTTACATTTGCTCGCTAATAATACTTAGGTTGTATTGTCAGCGTTACACAAGCTCAGTCAACCACTATGGCGTCCTCCCGCTCTTTCCACCATTTCTTCACCAGCACTTTCCTTAACTCGCGGCCGATCGCCATCGCGACTGGCCATGGCACGGCATTACCAATCTGTCTATGCATCTATGTTGTTCGATCAGTGCGCAATGGGAGGGGGGTTGTTCTAGCACACACTGTGACGACACGATCAAATTCCGCATAGAACACAAACTTGTCGGGAAAGCCTTGTGACCGAGCGAGTTCGCGCACCGTGACAATGCGTTTACACTGCGCGATTCGTACTCATTTGGTTAGGTGCACTGTAGTGGAATCAACGACGCACGTAAGGGTTGAGCACACGGGATTGCTTTGCACTTGGGTCAACGTTGGTGACAGTAGCTTGAAAATAACTGTTCTTGTTAACTCGTCCATAAAGACCTATACACCATAAGTCAAACATCACGAATAACTCTTTATCGGGAGTAGAGTACCTGGTTTGAAACCCGTGCGTGCAATGGCTGAGGATGGATTTGCGAAGTGCCACTCCCAGAGATGCCCCGCCAGTTCTAAATTATCGTCAACATTGTGAAGTCCTGCAAAAAAGGCACGTACCCCTATAATCTGCACCCGCCCTCATCGGGATACTGACAACTCTACGCAAGTTAAAGACATCTAATGTGCGAGGACGTCACACACCTCTCGACTTTGATGGCCTCGTAGGTCCGCGTATATTGTTGCAGATCTTGAGAAGGTTCTTCACGACACCACTTTTGGAATGCCGTCATTGGCTCATGCTCGTACTCTACATTCGCTCCGAAGTATCCGCACCATGGGCGATCTTTCTTACATTTCTTAGGTGGGATCGTCTGAGCGCGTTCCCGTTCTTCCCGTCGTTTGGCTGGATCCCTGGGTGGTCTCGGGTTTACCCTGCAACCAATAATCAGTGCACGCAGTACATTTTAGGATAATACGGCTGTACCAATCGAATCGAGGAAGGTCACTGATGGCATCGTCAATACTGACAAATTGGTGAGGCGCGTAGCCAGGCTGTGTCAAAATAGGTCTGATATAGTGTCCAATTGGCAAATCGATTCCCAGCGCATCCACCGTAGGGAAGGCATGCGTAGGTTGAGGGAGCTGAGGAAGGGGTTGACCGTGCTTTGCTGCGACCATAAAAAATCGCACACGGGTTTGAGGAGTACCGTAGTGACCAGCTTGTAGGATCCCATAGCGCACTTGGTAGCTGAGAAGTATGATACTAGACAGATATTTGATATTTGAGCGACACTTACTTCATGTCAGTCATCGCCCGGATCAAGAATTTCAATCCGCCCATGGCAATACCCCCTTTAACTCTATATGGCCCGGCTTGCCGTACCTTTAGACCGAACGACAAGAACCCACGCACGTTCTCAAAGAAGCAGTATTTTGGCTGCATGAAGTCAACCCATGATAGGACGTTGAGGATAAGGTTGCTCTTGCGGTCATTTGCCTTAACGTACATGTTCAGGCGCGAATGGGGCTGGCTAAGGTGAAGCTTCAGTATGACCAAATAGAGTGTGAAAATACGCCATCACCGACCAGGGAAACCCAGCAATGATACAATCAACCTCCTCTGGTTTCGGAGGGGCGGGAATGTATGGGTCATCTGTGATATCAGATTGTATTGTCTCCAATCGTTGAACGTTAAGATTGGTGTGTGATCTAATCGCTGCTGCGAGTACTAGATTGCTGCATTGGTTATACACCACCGTTTTAGGAGAGTTAGCTCTGTTAACTCCTTGTTAGTGTCGCTGAAACGAGTAGCAAAACGCGCACTTCAAGGTCTTTGCGGCACTCGGGGAAATTTCGACCGCATGTGTAACTTCGATGCAGCCGGATTCCTCCAACCCCAACCCGAAAGCTCCAGCCCCAGCGAACGGGTCTAAAGCACGGAGGGGTTTTTGCTTCTTCAAAAATTCCTTGATTTTCTTCCATTCATCCAGGTTCTCTGCAGCGCAGTATCCGCAGACTAGGAGATCTTTAGGCAGAAGTTTGTGTTTGTGATCCCAGGAGGTCACATCGAGGCTTGGGAAGGAGTAGCAAGCATAGAAGTGATAAGGCGACGTTTCGAGCCATTCTTTGAGCTCTGGCACAGCTGCTCGCACGTAGACATGACACATTCCAATAATGCTGGAGATCGGAAAGTTCATTTTATCTCGTGTGACAAAGAGATGGCGCTGGGGACCTGGGTTAAAGTGAAGTTCATACGTGAATTGTGTACACTCACCTCATCCTTGACTTCATTCTCAGGTCGAAGGCCCAACTTGTCAATCCTTCCAAACATTCTTAATCGAACCCAACCATCGTCATCTGACTGCTGAATATGAATACGGGTGATTTGACCGATATGACATAGTCCCTCCTGAGCCTTGATCATAACAATGTCACGAAGATGATATTTAGTGTCTTTCCATGCAAAGCCGCGGTGAATCTTGTGGGGAACGAGTGCTTCCTCTCCCTCGTCAACCATTAAGCACACAGGGCAGTGGTCTGACGGGAGCTCTTCCCGTTTGTGTTGCAGTCGTTCTTGTGGTATTTCAGTGAATGAACCATCAAGGCTGTTATATATGAACCTTCGGGCGGAAATATCAGCGAGGTTCTCAAAAGTTGTGGAAGGTGCATGACTTGTAGAAAAAGTTATAAGGCCCAACGACAGGCATGTCTTTTGAAGGATTGACGAACTGGACCGGAACTTTTCCGACGATAAGGTCGAATTCGACAGAGCTGCATGTATTGGTCAGAAACAATTCTTGGGGATGTCCAAGCTGCTCCATAGCCGTCTTCGTGCTGTGCTCGAACCATTCGACATGAACATTTTCAAACTCGTCACTGATATACATAATTTTTCCGAACCTGAAGAAAGGGAGTCGGTGAGTGAAACGGATCAGCGCTAGGAGCATACCAAAAGTAGTCTGCCAGGGTTGCATATTTTGGAATGTCTTCTGGGTCCGGCAATTCGGGAGCCCTCTTCTGGTCATCGTTCCCAATGGCAACAACAATGGTGTCTCCAACCTACAAGCAGTGTGAAGCTAGACACGATAGGAATCAACAATACCATACTGCATAATCATTGCCATCTATTGTGATGTACTTGAGCCAACGTGAACCTTGACGAAGGCGTTGTTCCACGGGACGGAATCGAATTTCCCTCCGCATAGATACTCGCTGCACAAATTCCTTTACCCTCTTCCGAAGGTCATCATACGGGATCCCAGGTTCAACACGAGGTTGTGGACCGACAACCACTAGCTGTTCCCTAAACCACCCGGTCGCTAACTTTGCAATTCGCAGCGTTACATGCGTCGCGTTCTGATTTTCTGGACGAAGGACGGCGATATCTTTGCATCCCCTGGTAGTAATCACTGCTACTGGCGGAACTCGTAGCCGAGGACGTGGTTCAACGGATCTCAATATCGGAGGCGCAGGCTCTGTCAAAAGATGTCGGATTATATTCGTGGCACGCAGTTGTTGAGAATTTTCTAGACCCTCGAGCGCATATCTCAGTTCAGCAACCTACGATACGTTGCAGTGAAGTCCAGTAACAACCGAAAAAATTCTCACACTGTCCCAAAGATATTGCTCGCCAAGTCGAATACTGCCAATCTCTATGGTTGAGAAACTGGCCAGAAAGTCATGATATTGCATATCCGGTTCCCGTATGGCGGACGATACAATCGCTTGAACGACACGATGCGGTAGGAAGAATGCTCTAAACTCCCGTCGGTAATCCTTCGACGGAGCACCCAGACGATACCGAGCGTGGCCGGATTCGATGTACATTGGACTGGACACAATAGGCGTATATTATTGAGTAAATCCAAAGAAGAAGAGCACCTACTCTTCATCGTCGGTGTAGTCGATAGAATAGCCGAGGATATTTGTGATGCGAATAAACTGGGGATCGTCGTCTTCAAGGTCGTCTTCCTGGCCCTCATCCTCATCGTTCTCTGGCACTGAAGTAACCTCACCTGCACCCTCAAACATATGATCATCGTTCTCGCGGTGCTTATCGAGATAAGAAAGGGAAACCATAACCATGTCACGAGTAGGGTCGAAAAACGCAAAGTTATGTAGGATCCGGGTAGGTTTCTGCCCATTTTCTAGTGCGCCTGGATCTTCGCCAATAATGAGAAGGTCTTCAGTCTCCAATAGTTCATTGTTTTCCGGTTGATAATATCTCGCTGGGATGGTGCATTGTAAGTCAATCAGATTTCAGCGGAAATGGATGCCAACACACGTGCTCGAGGACGTTCGTTCGTCTTCTGACGTTTTAAGCGCTGTGAGATGGAGAGGACAGTCATTATCAAACGTACGCTTTCGCGATCTTAATGAATCATAACACGCACTGAGTCATGATAGTCATCCGTGTCATCGCGCTGACGCCGGCGATTATTCCCCCCATCTGTACCACTGCCGGATTCATCTTGCACTTCACCTGGATATGTTATCTCGAACGCGGTCGGTCTACGACGAGGGGGCATCCTTGTCACGCTTTCTTGAGTCCGATACTCAGTCTGGTGTTTGCTGAAAGAAGCAGGCCGAGTCTGTAACAACTTGAAACCTAAAAAAGGGAATTTTTCCTACCGTCTACGTGACATACACACTGATATAGGTCTTATCAGGAAGTCCTATTTCAGTTCACCTTGCAAACTTGCGAAAGTGGGTCTGCTCTAAACCAAGGTTGTTCTAGTAGTATATATTCAACCACACGAATGAGTGCGGTTCATGTTCAAGGACCCACAACAATACTACCCGAATCCAAGTACTTGTGAGTAGTAGTTCTATCTGTGCGTGTATTCGAAAAGATATCGATTGATACATACAATCCTGCTTGCTCATTATGTAAAATTGAAAACATTACAAGTGATTGGTTCTGGAAGAGATAGTAGTAGTGAACGATTCGTGTCCGGAAAAGCGAAGGCACTCCAAAACCTGTACTCCTTTAATGCAACAGTGACAAAAAGATATTGCGTATAAGGATCACGTCAAAACAGACATCCAGCTGAAAACAATATGGGACTATGGGAAGATTCACTTTGCTGGTGTAGTTCCTGCTGGTGCGTCTGGTCCTGCTAGTGCACCTTCGGGTATACCGCTCGCTGATGTAGATGTGTCCCCAACCTGATGGAAATCTAGAAACGCACCAAAGATATCGTAAGCGCTGTGACAACTGAATGTGGCAGAAACCCTAACCCAGAATCTCGCTGTACATCATGACCTTCCACGTGTCAACGGGGAGGTCGGCATCATTGAAGCTCCAGTCGAATTTCTCAGAAGCTACGGGCTCATCGGTTGGATCATGATATGGTGCCACATATTCGTGAGCAAGTGACTCCGCAGCATCTATGCGTTTCCGAGGGTCAAACACTAGCATCTTTTCTAGAAGATCCAAAGCTGTGGTGGAGCATTAGTGGAAGTACGTCACCAGGAGCCAGAATGGTGCCATACCATCCGCATCGGTAGTTCGGAGTTTTTGACTGAAAGGCACGCGTTCGCGTTTGGGCAGACTTTGCACAAAGCGGAGAGTCTACAGCGATCGATCAATGTGAGAATGGGAATACCTAGCCCATAGCTTAGAGGTATCACCCACGTTTTCGCTTGCGATAGTTTCGATGACATCATCTGGAGGTGTGCCTAATAGTTCAGTAATGATGGAAAACTGATTGACATCTTGAAACGAAGGCACAACGTCAGAAGGTGAGAATGAAAGCGCGTAAACGCTCACGGTCTTTCCCGGGGAACAAGGGTTTTCCTTCGAGCATCTCAGCAAATATGCAACCTGTACTCCAAATGTCGACCGCAACATCGTACTTTTGCCAGGTTAACATAATTTCAGGGGCACGATAATATCGCGTCGAGACATAGCCTGTCATTTGGGGATCCTGGATACGGGCTAATCCGAAATCGCATATCTGTAGAAGCGATGACATCATAAGATATCCCATGATGATGTGATGAACCTGACGGACCTTCAAGTCACAGTTCTCGTTGACAAGTATATTACTGGGTTTCTGTGTGCCTGTCTCAAAACTGATCACAGATATAGACAGAACAAAAGACGCACGAGGTCTCGGTGCACGACGCCCGCGGAGTGAACATATTTTAGTCCACGCTAGATCAGATCAGACCGATGGACTAAGAGTTACAACATCATCACGTACCAGAATCTGATATAGGAAGTATTGGACAAACTGTTTCTCCAGAGGTCGCGACGTCAGTAGTCGATGAAGGTCGGTTCCAAGGAGTTCGGTAACGAAATACCTGTGATAATCAATCACTTTAAGGGTTTAGGGTTTGGAGCAGGGACATACAAATCTTCAAGTGGCGAGATGAACACATCACTAAGACTGATGATCTACACGTGTAAATAGTACATGTGAGTAGGCAATTCTGCGTGGCGCGTCTGAGACGCACATTCTCATGTTGTATGTGCTTGAGGAGCTTGAGCTCACGATATGTTCGCTTGCTCAAAACTGGGGTACTGAAGGGCTTCATAATCTTCTTGATGGCAACAGAAGACCCAGTGAGTTGATCCTTAGAAGAGCTAGACCGCCTATAAGTGCATGTGTCTGTCTCAAACGTGCAACATACCAGACAAGGCCAAATGCCCCTACACATCTCGGTTAGTCTAGAGTTTGGACATCGAGCAGATCGAGAGGATGGTTGATACTCACCCATTCCAACAGGCTGCAGATCGACATAGCGAGTAGTGACCTATGAAATCAGCAAATCGTGAATCAATTATTTTCAAGGACATACACAGGCAACACACCTCGAAAGAGGTGCCAAATATGCTTAGCTTGACAAAAGACATGGCACAGACTGGCTGGTGTAGGGTTAAACCGAGGTGGATGAAAAGATAAAAAGGGATTCGGCGGTCAGTAGAAAGGTTTACACAAGTGTGTTTGTTGACCCGATGAACGAGGAGGAAGAGAGAGATGTTAGATAGTGATGACAATAATGCTGACCACCGAATCTATATGATTGGATATGAAACTGCTACTGCCAGGGGTCCCGTGACGCCCTAGGCTTCTAGAGTTCTCCAGAGTCTCGATTCCACACTGCGGAGAATGACCTCCTCGGATCCTTCAGATCTTAGAAATATTTGGAGTCAAAAGTCAATGGATTTAATGATGCAAATAATGTGGATAGTGACTGGTGCAAGTATCAGTGACCGGGGGCTTCCAGGAATACAAGTAGCGATCAGGTTCTTGAGAAAAGTTGTGATCGATCCGCACCTGAATACACGAGGTGCAAAACGGCAGGAATCGGTCAGTTGCCAGAAATAAGTCGCACAGCTTGAACGCTAGTGGTTTTACGAAACCCCGTCGCGCGCCCGTCTGGCATGAGCTTGTCTGACAACCATCGATTCTCAGGCTCAGACCGAATTTGCCCGAGACAACCGTAACGCTCATTTCATCCACTGAACTATCATGTCCTTCATCCGAGCAGCGACGCTCGCCCGTTCTGTGGTAAGCAATTATGAAATTGTGTTAGTCTTAGTCTCATGTGCGGTATTAGGCAACGAGCAGCTGTAGACGTTATTCGACCGAAGCTGGTGCTAAAAAATCATCCAACCTCGGATTTTACCTTGGTGGCGCTGGTCTTGTAGGTCTCGGCACGTATGTGTACATGGGCTTTGGCAAAGGGGAGGCAGTAACTGCCAAGAAGGACCTGAAGAGTCCTCTTGACCCGTCAAAATTCATTGACCTCAAACTGAAAAAGGTGGAGCCTTGCAATCACAACACCTCTAAGTGAGACCTCAGGCTACCTTTTACGTACAACCCCACGCTCATATATGTCCCTCAGGTTTGTGCTTGAGCTCGAAAAGGGCGAGGCTTCGCTTCTTCCGATTGCTTCCTGTGTTTACATCGAAACTCCTGATTTCAAGGATGACAAGGGTCAACCTATGTGTCGCCCGTATACCCCCATTTCAGCGTCTGATTTGGAGGGAGAGCTCACTTTTATCATCAAAAAATATGAGACAGGCGTGGTCTCCAAACACATTCACTCTCTCAAGGCTGGGGACATCCTCAGAATTAAAGGTCCTCTGCCAAAATGGCCTTGGAAGAGTGATTATGGTTTTTTTTGATACTTTAAGATGATTGGATTCTAATTCTCTTTCAGTGAATGAGCTGGAAGAAGTCGGCCTCATTGGTGGTGGAAGTGGAATGTAAGGATGTCGGTCTCTTATATTTACATTACTGACTTTACTCCGCAATCACAGTGCTCCACTCTACCAGATCCTACAACATGCTCTTGCAGACAAGACGAACAAGACGAAGTTCAAACTTTTGTATGCTAATGTTACTGAGCAAGATATCATACTTCGCGAGGAGTTCGACGCCATGAAGAAAAAGTACCCCGAAACTTTCGATGTCGTATATGTCCTCGACAAGGGCGATACTAACTGGAAGGGTCCCACTGGATATATTAGCGCTGACCTCATTAAGCAGCACGTTGCTCCGTCATCACTGGGCGAGAAAGTGAAGGTCTTCATCTGCGGTATGCACAACACATTTGGAATGCGCCAATAGCTAAATGCCCCATAGGTCCGCCTGGACAGGTTGCCTCGATTGCAGGCGCAAAGAAAGGCAGGGAGCAGGGAGAACTAAATGGTGTTCTCAAGGAACTTGGTTACACCAAAGACCAGGTAAGTGACCGTGCTATCCAACAAGCTATCATTTCCTTGAAGTATTTCTTTGTCAGGTGTATAAATTGTGAGCAGCAGATATCAAGTAGATCTATATAGAAGTCCTACGACGATCAAGTGTCGAAACCCTTTCTTGCAATAGAATGCGAGCTGAGGTATCGAAACCTTATTTCAATCACGTTATTCCACCTTTCCCAACCAAATACGTGACACTTTAAAACCATCGTCACCCGCCGCATTCTTCGCTGATATTGCTCCATACACCATAGTATTTCCAGCTGGTAAGTATCAGCATGAAACTGAGGGAATGAGTACGTATGAAGGTTTTACATTTATGCTCCCCCATCTACAGCAAGTAATATCAATAGCAGTTGCTGCTTCCTTTTATCTTGTATCTCTGCACATCCACACCATGATAAAGGTTGTGGGGTTGTATTACATAAGCATACGCGTACTTGGTCTACTCGATCTCATCTCTCGTCACTGAGATCACAGGTAATTGGGCGTCAGAATCTGCATGGTTCATATCTGAGCAACCAGTGCGAGTCTTGGTTAGCCCGCACAACGACAAAGCTTATCTCATCGTGTTATTCGTGCTGCAGGGCTTCTCCTTGACAAGTTGAATCTCGACATCTTTACCATCGTATTCGGCGCACAGCAGTATGGATATTAACAGCGGTAGCAGCAGCAGCAATAACAAACCCGTGCGTCACCAACCGACTTCCCCGGGGACGGTTCCTCCAGAAACCTTTTACGCGTCAGCCTCAAAATCGAACGCAGGGCTCACACCTCCACCATTGCCACTGCGCCCGAAGGGCTCTGCAGGATCCGCTCACACAAAGGTCAACATCGAACCCCCGCCAACCTATGACACTGTATTTCGCGAGCCCCAGCTCGTTTCAGAGGATACAATCGGTACCGATCAAGTCCCTGCGCTCATCCCAGCTGACGACCATCACAATTGGCCGACTGTCGAGCACAAGTGGGGTGAAGATGACTGGAACAAAAATGATGCTTGGAATGAACCGATGCCGTGGGACAGTTCTTGGGCCGGCGGAACATCCCAAAAGGTCATGGATATTGATGCGCGGGACCAGGAGGAGGAGACGAACTGGTGGGATGCGGAACTGCGGGGAACGAGAAACCGTCCAGGGCCGGGAATGCTGCCGCCTTTCGTTGCTGAATTGTTGCATAACGCTGAACATTCATTGTTCTCGGTGAGCGTTACCGCACCTGACGTGAAGCCGGCTGGGGATGTATCCCCTTTCATCCCTCCAAGCCATGATGAAATCCTTCGCGCTGTTCCTCATGCCAATACATACTACTGCAGAAGACACCATGGTTGGGTGTTCCTCCAGTGGAAAACATCCACCATTGTCCCTCCCTTTGCAAAATCATTCGACTTCAAAAAGTACCCGCCCCTCCCTGACCAAGACCGCCGTAAACGCACCGTCTCTTGCACTGACGACTCTTTTGACAAGTCCAAGAAAACGCATCACTTCCACTGCTATCCAAAGGCCGTCGATTCAGGCCAGCTCAATCCAGCATTCCACCGTGCCCCTTGGGAAGTCGCTGCGCAGAGGAAGCAAAAGCGTCGAAAAATCACTTCTGCTAATATCGATGACTATGCATTCAAGGAATCAGATGTCAAAATGAACGAAGACCTGCCCGAGGGACGCGTAGAGGGCGAACTGCTTGATCTTTATGTCTGCTGTCAGTGCTCCGTCTATTGCATTGCATCAGAAGCCATGCCCGGCGTCATTGCCCTCAAATACCTGGAGGATTTTACGAAGTATAGATATGAACACCCTCCCATCGGGAGGCAGCCTGACGAGTCTGTTGTCAGTGGGTGGGAGACACTGAACGCGTACGCCCATCAATTCGCTCCGTGCCTGATGATATCTCATCTCTTTACAGAATTATCGAAAACAAATTATGGAAAGGCAAGAACGGTCAGCTCTCCATTTCTGGGAAGGCGTTCCAGAACAAGATCGGGTGGTCCCCAACTACGTCAGGAGCTTTCATTTTGTTGTTCAATACAGCTCACGAATTCATTTACAGGAGCTATATCTTCAAGCAACTTGGGTTCGAAATCCTCACACGCATCGAAGCTCCTGGCACACCTGAGGAGAAAACAGACGAATTTCTGTCACCCCCCAACACTGAACTCAGCAGTCCAGAAGGTCAGGAGGCACGTATGAAGCTGTTGCGTTTCTGGGTCGAGACGAATGCGTATCTAGTAGACTACCAACGTCGCTTCGGTAAGAGATACTGTTGGTTTCCTGTATCACTCACTCATGAAGCGCAGCATCTGCGCTTAAGTCCTATACGCCACACCCTTTGTACGTCAAAATCGACAGTGCCCGAGAGATGTACCAGCAGGCGATCGGTGCACACCCTGATCAGAGTAAGGTCAAGTTTTGCTGTGTGGAAAGGCAGACCTGAGCTATCTGTACAGTGCCGAGATCGTCCTTGTCGTATCCGTTAGGTTCATTGGCGGAGTATACACCTCTGCTGCAGACGTGGAAGACGTTAGGAATAACCCCTACAACATGTTCTCCGGGTAAGCAGTTGAACAGTCCGCTCGTTTAGATCTGCTCAGTATTAACGGTGCTTAGATATTCTCATCTTCGCCTATATGGCTCAATGCCGTTGCGACCCTGCCAATACAATACTCTACTTCACCCACTTCTACGCAATCGTCGCCGCAATCCAATCCCTCGGTGGCGTTCCGTCTCAGGAATTGCAGGCCCTAGTTTTCGAAGAGCGCTCTCGTGGGCGATTCACGGAGGAGGACCTGCAAAATGCTGCCGCAGTTCTTGGGTTTGGCAAGGACGGCGCGCTACGCTTGGAGCTTGAAGATGACATTGAAGACGACTTTCTTGCGGAAGCGTGGCGGACGGCCATCAAAAATGCCTGGCGTGACGCAAAGGACTGCACACAGCTCCAACGTGATGCGAACGAGGCGTTCAGGATGATTGCACAATCGAGGGGTAGTAAGAGGCTTATGAAGCTGTTTTCTGAGTCGTCAAAGAACCAAATGGACCCTTCACGTGCATACTCGGTACTAGAGGTGTCCGCGGATGTGGACGATGAACTTGTGTTGACGGTGTTCATGATGCGGGTATGCGAGGCTCCGTGGCCTCATTTGCGGTTCTGATGAACGTCAATAGGTCGAGGAGCAGCCCCATCAATCTGACAAGTGGCGCGAAGCGTTGAGAACAATTGCAGAAGTGAGGGACAGCAGCCGGCTGCGTCATTTCCTAGAGGAAGGCAAAGATCGTAAGTACCTGCCCAGATTTTGATGTACTATCTAACTGAGGCGCTTCAGCTGGAGATATTGTGGCTTCAACGCGTGCTGATCTTCCAAGAGGCCTGAATCAACTTGGAAACACCTGTTATCTAAACTCGCTGCTCCAATACTTCTACACCATTAGGGAGCTTCGTGAAGCTGTCGCTTCCATGGCCAACATTGATGTAAAGGCCCTTGAAGACGAGAAGTACTCGGAGGACGACCTGAAACGGCATCGGGTTGGCGGACGGCTAATTACGCGGCGCGAGATACTGCGATCGAAGAAATGTATGTCTGCCACCCACTCCTTTTACCTCAAGCTAAAACTATCATCAATGTAGTCGTCAGTCAGTTGGCCGATTTATTTTGGCAGCTCCAATTCTGTGAGAACCAGGCTGTCACACCGACTATCGATCTTGCGAAGTTAGCACTCGTAACATCAAGAGACGAAGAGGAAGAGGAAGCTGACAGAGGCGGTACCGATTCCTCGAACGACACAGATGCAACGCTTGTTGAGGACGGGCCCGTGCGGTCACCTGACTCAAATGGCTCGGTTCTCGGTAAGCGGCCACGCGACGAGCAACGCATGGATATGGATGTTGACACACCCACGTCTCCTATCACGGAAGAGAAGAATGGGTACGTCATGATATCCCAACCATCTCGTGGGTCCAAGTCTCCTCGCTTGCATGGGGAAAGCTCGTCAAGCACGATGCCACTACCATCCCCGCTTCCAGATGTGGAGGTTGTGAACCATGAGAACCCGCAGGTTGAGGAGCAGAAGACGGCTCCTCCCTTACCTACACGCAAGCCTACTCAATCAGACTCGGTCATGATGTTTGGTGAGGCACACTACTCCGAATGATGGCATATCTAAATACTTGGATGTAGGAAAGCAACACGATGTCTCTGAATGCATGGACAATTGCATGTTCCAGATTGAGATCGCGCTTCTGAAATTCGATGGGCTGGGTGACTCGGACAATCAGAATAGTGTTGTGAAGAGGCGAGTACTTTGAATTCCATCAGGCACATACATGAACCTGTGATTCGCCAGGCTATTCTATGGGAAATTGCGGCAAAGACTTACACAAGTCCCCGCCCAGCGACATCCTAGAACTTCGACACACGAGAAAGAAGACCTCTTCTCGCATCTTCCCGTGAATGTAGCCGATAGCGGCTTTGATATCTACGATGGCTTAAGCGGATACTTTGACGATGTCGTTGACTACGAAGGCGAGAAAGCTAGAATGGAGGTGACACTGGTCGATCTACCACCATTATTGCAGATTCAACTCCAAGTAAGTGCCTGCCCAGATAACTCAGCGATATATATTAAACAAGTGAATAGCGGGTGCAATTCAACAGAGAGACCCTCCAACCATACAAATCGCAAGCTTATGTCAAGTTTGGCGAGACGATATATATGGACCGGTTCCTTGATACCGCAGATCCAGGCAAGAGGGCTAGGTCAAAGGAGGTACAGGCGGAATTAAACATGCGGCGTGAACGTCTGCGCTTGCTGACACAAGATAAGGTAAGGTCCCTGTGTGTATCTCTTGTGAATTAACTGCATAGATTACCTTAGCACGCACCTTTCCCTGCATCGCTCAAAAACACGCTTGATTTCTTGTCAAAGCAAGAAACGCTTATCCTCCCGGATGTCGATGAAGAGCTCATTACAAACATCAACGGCGAACAGGATATGATCGAGACTGAGATTGTCGAACTCAAGGACACGATATCGAAGCTGAAGGAAGAACTGGAGAATATTTGGAAAGATGATACCTCGGTCGCATATGAGCTGACCTCCGTCTTCATACATCGTGGCTCATCACCCTCATTTGGACACTACTTCTTCTATTCAAGACATATACCGGAACAACCTGATAATTGGTTCAAGTACAATGACCATCAGGTTACGGAGGTGTCGAAAAACGAGGTCTTGGCTGACACAACAGGGTCTACTGCGAATCCGTACTTGGTAAGTGTGGACATGATACCATTCCTGATGTGATACGACTAACTGCTTTCTAGCTTGTTTTCGCAAAGAAGGACCGGGACATTGTTCGTACTGTAAATCGCTTTGATCCGATGGCTATAGAGGATATTGATGCATGATCCGTAATGTTGATATCCCATGATTCCTCTCGTACACTAGTTGTGTCCCTCTATTCCCCGGAGGATTTGAACACATACCGCGATAGTGTATGCTCACTTACATGAAAGACATTTCGATTTTTCACTATCAAGTCATTTGTGGACTCGTCTATGACCTACAGCCCGAATCTCCTACAGACAGTGTGCATTTTTAAAGAGTCCGACGGTCATGGATACCCTACAGCAGTCATAACAGTCGAAGACAGGACCTGACATGAGTATAGTACTCTGAGGACTGCGACCCCGTGCTTATCCAAGCTCTCCGCATGGGTCAAACAACATCTTTCTCGAGATTGAGTAGGCCCATCTGCAGAATGATTCAGAGATACGACTAATGACGACTTCGTCATGTGTCATGACTGATGTTAGGCATATTTGAAGGACTTGCTGTGAGGTCGCTTGTGATGTCGCAGCACACTGTGAACGACTGCGACAAGCGGTACAGAACAGTGTCAAGCACAAGCATATGATCAATAAACTGTAGTGCTACTTACTGCAGAGACTGCCTTGCTAATGCGAGGGAGTAGGCCCGTCAATAGTCTTGCTCTCTGTTGATGAGACGATGACTTGTTCTGCCTCTACTGATACTGCTGTCTCCGCGATGCTCGCCTCATCGCGGGTCTCGAGGGATGTCAAAAGATTATCCAGGGTTCCCAATATCCCGTCCAACCTCCCTTCAATGCCCTCAGCTACACCATCAGCACTATCCAGACGTGCCAACATTTCCATCAGGTCTTCTGTTTCGTGACTACCGTCCAATGAGCCGTTTAACAAAAGAGTATTCAAATGAGTGATGTCTGCTTCAAGATTGCTGTCTAGTCTATTGATCGGAGAACCATTGGATCCAGTGTCGGCAGTGTTGTTGGGCATAATCGTCGATGCAAAACGACCTTTGAAGCGACGTGACAGAATAGTTAAAGTGTAACGCTCGTCAAAAGCCGTCGACGATACGTCGACGGTAGCAACCGAATATTAGACTTTATCATTCTCTCTAGTTACTCATTTAGTTTCATTCTCCTTTAGTCCCTGACTTTCTTACCCTTCAGTATATAAGCCATCGCGTATTTACTTGTAGGGTAGTTGATTTTCATCCCCCCCCCCCCCCCTTGAATAACATTTAGTTAGGACAGTTATCCTGTTCGAACCTTAAGACAATTCAAACCAATCGACTCTTTCTCGTGTGAACGTTCACTGAACGCCACATATTTTTAACTGCCTTCAAATCTAAAATCTATTCCGCTATAGTCGTTGTCTAAGAGGCTTGATCACCCTCCAAAACTTCGACTCTTGTTAACACACAAAAACTCTCCCCCACCCCAACGATATCGTCAAGAAAAGGAAATGCCTACTAGTGCACTAGAAATTGCCTCCCCACGTTCCTCGAGGAACGTGAGCGTTGATGGCCGCGCCCACGAGCAAGACGGCGCGAGGTCTCGAAACAGTAACCCTGTTTCTGGAGACGATGGGAATGACAGCCCAATGGCTGAGCTTCCCTCCAGGTTCGGTCCACGCGACCTGAACGAGGTGGACACTGAGTCCACCCAGGCGAAGGACGCTGTGAGCAGCCCCGCCCAGAGCAGAGCCCCGTTGCTGGTCAACGCAGGAGCCGCCACCATCCGTACCACACATAGTGACGAGGGTCCTGTAGCACCAGTCAGCGAGATACCTCCTGGTGGCCCTATAATTGGGCGATTACGTACCTTCACATCGCCCGATAGTGATAATGTACCACGCCTGCAAGCCGTCTTCGATTGGTCAGAGGTAACCGACGACGACGAACTAGGAGACGTACCTGAGTTCCCCGTACTAAAGCCCAGTCCAACGGCTAGTGAAAGTAAACCCGAAATCAGTAAAGATAGCTCTGAGAAAAGTAAAGAAAGCAACCAACCTAAACTCAGATCACTGACGGATCACCTGCTCGACTGGACAGACTTTGATGAGGAGATGGCAGAGCTCAACCGGCCAGGGGAGAACGAGTCCGATGAATCCCTCCGTCGTCTATGGGATGACGATAACCGAGCAGGATCCATTAGGATCCAAAACTTTGCACTTAAAGGTTTTAGAAAATCTGCCAAAGAAGATTACGCGCAAAAGTGTGAGGAAGTCGACGACTTACTCGACCGTGTCAAGGAGCTCGAGAGGCTGGTTATCGAGGCACAGTCTAGGGAAGAAATGGCGCAGAAGCTGATCCGAGAGGCGCAACGCGCGCCTCTTCCAGATCCGCCCCCAGACAGCGCACCTTCAGCGCCAGTTCCCCCATTAGAGAATGCTGCGAACTTGAATGAACGACGTCACGCAACGGTGATAAACGATGACTCACCAAGCATAAGAGAACCTACTGATAGACCTGTCAAAGAGAACACCAGGTTCTGGAGGGCGTCTTCCCTCCTCCCAGACAAAAGCTCGGTCAAACGCGCTATAGTTGGTGGTGACCCCAGTGATCCTGACTCGTCAGACTCGCCGTCGGGACCTGGTTCTGACGACGACCGGTCATCCACTGAATCTGCCAACGAAGAAATGAGGCACACCAGCAAGGACAAGAAAAGATTGAAGACACTTACGCGTGATAAGCAGCTACGCAAAGACAAGAGGAAATCGAGGACACCTCCCAAGTTCATTACCGGTGCAGACTCAGAGGAGGAATCCTCGGATGAATTCAACGTGAAGCTGCTGCAAATGGAGCCAGAATCAGACCATAGCAGCGACTCTGAGGACACCAAGCGCCTCAAACGAAAGGCCCGTCGCAAGCATAGGTCCAATTTGAACCTGCTAAAATATCAGCAAGGCTTCTTAAAGCATGAACCCCCGTTTACTTACAATGGGGAAGCTAACGCGTCCACTTTTAAGAAGTGGGTCCGCGAAGTAAGGGAATGGCGGGACAGAGCCAGACTCTCCACCAAACAAACTATTAGCATGATTGGCAAGTATCTGGGGGGAAATGCCTATCGATTCTATGAGCGCGATGTCCTTGATCTTAAAAAGAAATATACGCTTACCGACTTCTTTGAACAATTGTTCGATTATTCCTTCCCAACGGACTTCAGGATGATGCAACGTCAGAAGTTCCTAGAATGTCGTCAGGAAGGGAAACAAGGAGTGCAGGACTACATACGACGCCTCCGAAACATCGCCGATACGACAGGTGACGTTGACGAGAGGGAGCTCGTACGCCAGTTCTGGATGAACTGTAAGCCATTTATCAAGGCTTCGTTAGTAGATAAGGGTTACGACCCTAACACCGTTAGTATGGACACGATCGAGCGAAAAGCTCTACGCACCGAGAGAGCATTCCTTGAGAACGCTAAAGACCCTAGCGTACTTTTAGCGTTGACACCAACTCTAGCTGCAGGCCTAGCAGCTCAAGGCAGCAGCAGCGTCAGGCCAGACCATCACTCCCGTAGGCGTGATAGGAGGCACCGCACCCATTCACTTTCTGCGAACTCAGTGAACCCGTCTCTGCACAGGAGCCATCAACGTGATAGACGTCCTGGATCAGAGAAACGGCCTCGCGAGCCTCACAGAAGCCCCCGGACAGGCAAAAGCGCTGACACTATACGCAAATTAAGAGACCTAAATCAGTGCTTTGAATGTGAGCAGACAGGCCACTTAGCTAAAGACTGTCCCAAAAGACACCGCCTACCTCCTCACAATGCGCCCAGAATTGGCACACTCAGATCCAACGCTGTTGGGGTAACCCCCGCAGACATCCGATCAGCCGCTATCGATGAAGGTAACGCGCAAGGACTGTATGGATTCGCCATAGAAATACCTAAGTCTGTGAACCCATTAGTAGAACCTGGGATTAGTGATCACTTACTGGTCACGCACCAAGCTATAGCCAAGCTGAAACTGGCAGTACCGTTCCCCACGGACGAGCTCGTTGATCCGTTGTATGATCCGTTCGGACCGGACCGATTCTGCCTCACTACTTGGGGTGGCCCTGAGACATACTTACTGTCAGACAGGCACAATTATGACGAATACATTGTCTATTACTCACAATTGAGGGATCCCGGCTTTGACATAGTGTCGTGGCTAACCGATATGAAGCTACATAACTATCAGTATCTTGTGAAGACGAAGACATCCTTCAAACCTACCTGGTTCGGCCAAACTTCTACCGCGCCCGAAACACCCGCAAACGACGACGAGGGCGATAACGAGTCCTCTTGGGTCACAACTGACTGCGAAAGCAGTGATGGTGAGGAAGACGACCTCCCCGGACTACTAAGTTGCGAGTCCAGCGAAGGGGACGAGTCTGACGTTGGAGGTGAGCTTTACTGTGGGATGACTTCCCGTACAAAAGCTGACTTACCGGACTTACAATCCCTACAGCGTCAATCGGCGCGCCCGAAGAACTCCACGAGGATCCTTCCGAGATCCCTGGTCGTGGTCGTCCTGCTAAACGGTAAACCCTGTCGCGCACTGCTGGACTCCGGGTCTCTAACGGACTTCGTGTCAAGTACTGTAGTAGACCAACTCAAACTAAAATATGACTTACTGGATAAGCCTATCCCCTTGCAACTCGCTGTGTCCGGATCCAGGAGTGCTGTGAAAGCTACTACCTGCGTTGAGTTAACATACCAAGACATTAAGGGCCTACGTACCTTCGATATAGCCAACCTCGAATCTTATGATGTCATCCTGGGGATGCCGTTCTTATTCCAGCATCAAGTGTTGCTGGGATTCAACCCCCCGGAAATTAAGATCCGTAGCCTGGAGCCGTTGCCCATACGTGGGTCGCAGACCCAGGTCCTCGAGCTGAAGGGGATGAGCCTGTCCTCAGACCAAATTGAAGCCTACTCGAAAGAACTGCGTGAGTACGCCAAGGATATTTGTAAGGAAGCCATTGAGACACCCTTACCTCCGCTGCGCGCGATAAACCACGTCATACCCCTCATCAACGAAGACCAAGTTTATTCTTGGCGTCAATCTAAATGCCCAGAGGCACTGCGCCCACTCTGGAGGTCCAAGCGAGACGACTATATCCGGACGGGCAGGTGGGAGTTCTTTAGTGGTACTAACGCTGTACCTATGATCATGATGAAAAAGACCTCCAAAGACAATGAACTGCGTTTACGCACCGTCCTCGACACCAGGCAACGCAACGCGAACACGCGAAAGCTCGCGTCACCACTCCCGGACATAGATACTATATTGCGCAACGTAGCATCGCACCCGTATCGCTCCCTTCTTGATGGTAAGGACGCATACGAGCAAATCCGTATCGTACCTACTGACGTGCATAAGTCGCTATTCGCGACGCCTGATGGGACGATGATCAGTCACGTTATGCAAATAGGAGATTGTAACGCTGGAGCGACTTACCAATCGCTGATGAACCATATCTTCGGTCCCCACCTAGGAATATTCATGGACGTCTATTTAGACGATATAGTAATCTATTCGGACTCACCAGAGGACCACGTCCGGCACGTTAAGACGGTTATTGACACCCTGCGCGACAACCACTTCTTCCTAAGTGAACACAAACTACAATTCTTTAAGACTGAACTTACGATTCTTGGCCACGTCATAGATGACGGGGGAATCCGTCTCGATCCTCACAAGGTCGACAAAATCCTCCACTGGAAGACCCCCACTTCCAAAGAACTGCTCATGCAGTTCATTGGCTCAGTGGGGTATCTTGCTGCCGGATGTGAAGGTGTCCGGGTGCATATGCAGCACCTTTCTAAGGTAGCTGCACGGTTGACGCGATGGGATTGGACTCCCACGGATCAGCGTGCATTCGATCTAGTCCGCGCATGCGTCAATGCCCATCGTGACACCCGCCGGAAAGCTCTCGACTTACCTAAGGCTATCAACAGCACCTCCCTAGTTAACCTTGTTACGGACGCGTCATTCACCGGGGCGAGCGGCGTCCTCTCGCAAGGCGAACCCCTGCCAGGTGCTGACATAGTAGCATTCTGGTCTGGGAAGTTCAATTCCGCCCAGCAGAACTATCCAGTGCATGAACAGGAGTTATTAGCAATTGTAGAATCCCTCAAGAGATTCCGTCACTTACTGATAGGCGTACCGTTCCGCATCTTCACGGATCACAAAGGCCTTGAGTGGATTACCACCCAAAGCAAACTCTCGCCAAGGCAGGCGCGCTGGCTGGAGGCCCTAAGCGAGTTTGACTTCAGTATAAAGTACCTACCAGGGAAAGACAATACCTTAGCAGACGCACTGTCCAGAATGTATAGCAATGAACCTAAGGGAACCGTTAGAGCCGCTAGTGAGTATGTGAGTGTCGAGGAAGAGGACGTACCACGCACACTCCTACTGAACTTTGTCACCGCCCCGGTCTACACTGGTACACCACTCTTCCTTGGAGCGACGGAAGAACGACGATCTACTCGCATTGCAGCGCGATTGCCCAAGCAGATAGGCATGGACGAAGTGGCCCCAATGAAGATGGCCAAGCCCCAAGGCAAAAAGGGCGCGAAACCTGAACTACCGGTCAGAAAGGTTAGCAATGCCCAAGGCACAAAGGGCGCGAAACCTGAACTAACGTTCAGGGAGGTTAGCAAGGTTGCCACTGCGCAAGGCACAAAGGGCGCGAAACCTGAACTAACGTTCAAGGTAGTCAGCAAGACCAACACTGCCCAAGACACAAAGGGCGCGAAACCTGAACTACCGTCCAGCCAGGTCAGCGAAGTCGCCATCGAACCAGGCAGGAAGGGCGCGAAACCTGAACTAACGATCAAAGGTGTCAGCGAAGTTGCCACTACGCAAGGCAAAAAGGACGCGAAACCTGAACTAACGTACCTGGTAGCCAACTCGAGGCAACACACCTCCACCTTGGAAATTCCTCACCCGGTAGACCGGGATATCACGGAAGTGAGGGAAGCACCAGTCACCAAAATAAAGAAAGTGATCCTGCGAGTGAGTAAACCCCCTCCAGAATCACTGGAGGGCGGAAAGGTGACAGCACCCAAGAAAGACTTAGACAAACAAAACACAGCGCACCGTGTGACAAACAAGGACCTACAACAAGCTGACCTAAGCAATGATGTCAGAACTCAGCAACCGGAATCAAGTGACATCACCTCACCTGACATAAGCAATGGGACCCAGACAAACAAGGACCCACAAACCGAAGTTGACGCCAACGTTGCACCAACGCTATTGCCCATGTCCCCTCCTCTTCTGACGGAAGTCATAGCTATTGGCGACCCTAATACGGACATTCACGAACGGATCACCAATAAATACGGGGAGGACCCCTTCTTTGCGAAGATTTTAAGCAGCCCATCCGCGTATAAGAACTTTGAAGTCAGTAACGGCCGGATTTTCCTTAGAGACAAGGGAAAACGTATCTTGTGCATACCGGACATTAAGATTGCGCAACGGCGAGTAAGAGAATTAGTTATATCTCATGCTCACTCCATACTGGCGCACCTAGGCCCATCCAAAACTTTACTATACCTCCGCGAAAATGTATGGTGGAAGGGGATAACCGCGGACGTTCAAGCCTTCTGTGAGTCATGTCCAACATGTCAGGTGTCCAAACCGTCGAATCACCAACCGTACGGTCTGCTAGAAACTCTCGAAGTCCCAACGCGTCCTTGGCAGACTGTTGGAATTGACTTTGTTGGACCGCTCCCTGAGTCCAAAACCCTACAAGGCGTGTTTGACATGATACTTGTAGCTATTGACCATCTAACGTCTATGGTACATCTAGCTCCAACGAAGCAAACCTACCGCGCGAAAGATATCGCCGAAGTCATGTTCAATCTGGTGTACAAGCATCACGGTATGCCCTCCAACATCGTTAGTGACCGGGACACGCTATTCACCAGCACTTTCTGGCAGCGCTTTCACCAACTTACGGGTGTTGAGCTACGTATGTCGACATCGTTTCACCCTCAATCTGACGGTGCCACCGAACGTGCGAACCGCACCATAACGCAAATGCTGCGGCAGGTCGTTTCGCCGAATCAACGGGACTGGGCTATCAAGCTCCCCACAATTGAATTCGCGATTAATTCAGCATGCTCCGAAACCACGAAGTACCCTCCGTTTGTTCTAAACTACGGTAGACTACCTCCTCCCCTAATTTGGAACACTAACTCTGAATTCCCTGGAGTAAGAGTCTTCGCGCAGAAGATGAAAGACGCGATTATGGACGCGCATGACTCCATTATAGCAGCTCGCGTGAAGAGCACCACTAACGCTAACCGTCGTCGTACTGAGTCTCCCTTCGTTAAGGGAGATCTAGTGTACCTATCTACTGAAAACTTATCGTTGCCCAAGGGCCGTGCGCGCAAGCTGGCGCCAAAATACATTGGTCCTTACAGAATACTGGAAGACTACAAGAACAACGCGTTCCTACTGGACCTCCCTGCTCAGTTGAAGCAACGTGGCCTCCACCCCTCCTTTCACGCGCACCTACTGCGTCTCCACGTGCCAAACGACGATAGGCGATTCCCTGGACGACAGCTTGACCAGGTGTCCGATATTGGACACCTGGAGGAATGGTCAGTGACCAAGGTCACTGACCACCATGGAGCTGGACCGGACGCTCTCTTCGAGGTCGAATACTCCACCGGAGACAAAGTCTGGTTCCCTTACCACCAAGTCTCCCGTCTGGAGGCCTTGTCTCAATACCTTGAGGCTCTCGGCGTCCCCGGGATCGCACACCTGCCAAAGAAAATTAGCACGCCATCAACCACTATCCCCGTCAGCACCATAGATCAATTTTCTGCGGCCCGGCAGTCTGTTTTTGGTATCGTCGACCGAATGGTCGACGATTTTGCATCCGTCTCTCGCTTAAGCGGGCTGCAAGATGCCTATTTAACGGGCTTGCAGGGCCCCCAAAGCCATACTCCTCGCCCAGACTCCCCAATGTCCTCCACCGCTCTCCCAGCACGCACTAACGACATGCTCGTTGACGCGCCACTCGACGGGATCGAGCCCAGCAACTATGCTGATGCTCCCAGGCCAACTCGGCCTGGTCGAGGACGTCCCGGACGTTACCATAGAGGGAGAGGAGGGCGTGTCCGCCCTCCTCAACAGCGTGAGCACGACTCTGACGCCCTTGGCGCGTTCACGTGCTTCTTCCGTGCTGAGGCACAGGCCAAGGAATTGGCTACTAGGAAGGAGTCCCACGCCTTTGACGCGCTGGTGCGCGCCGAGCGCGCCCAACGCTCCTACGAAAGGTACTACCCTCGTACCCGTAACCTATCGCTGGATCACCGGCGTGGTCCTCGTGCTCACACACCACCTGAAGAACCACCACGCCGAGTACGCCGCGCACAGTCCCCTCCTCATCGCCGCGCATCGCGCGCCAGCTCCGTCCCAAGCAACCGTTCTGCACTTACCCCGGCTGCTCAGCTGATTGCTGAGGTATCCAGCAACGCATCTGTTATCCTCACACCTACTCCTATCCCCACGCCTCCTGCAGTCGACCCCGGACGTGACGTCGAGGACATAATCGCAGCTGCTGAGCAGCTCGACCTCGAGCAGGCTGGCCATATGCCTGGAGTCACTACCGAAGATGTTCTCGGTAGAATCCTTCCTGTTTGCTCATTGTTAGTCAATGTGCTCATCCTCATGCTTCTCATAGCTGCGTTCGCCTCCTTGGGACCCTCCCCGCGAACCTAAGGAACTCGCATCACCTGAAGACAGGTCCTCTCGCTTAGAGGACCTGGAGGGCGTATGTAACGCTCGTCAAAAGCTGTCGACGATACGTCGACGGTAGCAACCGAATATTAGACTTTATCATTCTCTCTAGTTACTCATTTAGTTTCATTCTCCTTTAGTCCCTGACTTTCTTACCCTTCAGTATATAAGCCATCGCGTATTTACTTGTAGGGTAGTTGATTTTCATCCCCCCCCCCCCCTTGAATAACATTTAGTTAGGACAGTTATCCTGTTCGAACCTTAAGACAATTCAAACCAATCGACTCTTTCTCGTGTGAACGTTCACTGAACGCCACATAAAGGCTAAACTTAGTTTCGACAAACGGCATCTCGGCAAGAACTTTCGTTCCAACGACCTCAATGAACTCACAAACGCAGAGTGTTCAGTCATTGCTCAAATCTTTCCCCCAACGTCCATTTGATCAGAAATCATTGCATGAACTAGTAGGAAAAGAGGTCGAGAAGTTTCAAGGCAAGTCTTCTGCAGACAACGTCAAAAGTCAATGGGAGTTCCTCCTTAAGAATGAGGTGTTCACCTTAGCAGTACGTGCTTGCTTTCTTGGTTTTCATCGTTCCTGATCAATACTTTTGTAGGCAACTGAGGGTAGTGCATTGAAGTGCGACAGCACCTCGTACTATAACGGTCTCCGCGACAGACTCGACTTGGTGTTGACATTCACTGAACACGGTTTGTGGTCTCTGACTACAGTTTGTATATGAAGTGCTTACTCCGTAACAGATGTTTGCGAGGCAACCTTCCCTTTTACTGTCCTTCAGGATCTTCTCGAAACACAGACTATCACGTCTTGCTCACAAATATTCTCTTGGATCGAGTCAAGTGCTTCTCGACTCACCAAGGACATGGTCCCGCAGAAGGGCAAGGCGCTCATACTACTGCGCACCCTCAATGATCTTCTGCGTCGCCTTTCAAAGATGGGCTCTACGACGATATTTTGTGGTCGTATATTGACCTTTCTGAGTGGCGTTTTCCCTCTGGGTGAAAGAAGTGGTGTCAATTTGCGAGGAGAGTATGGGCCCATGTGGGAAGGTGTCAAGGACGTTGAGAAAAAGGACGAATATGTGGAGGCAGGGAGGGGCCTTGAAGACAGCCAAAAAATGGAGGTAGACGCTGGAAAGAAGGAATCTGCAGATTCTAAAGATAAGGACGGTAGGTTAGAACTCTGTCATGATGTTCTGTGCCTCACGTCATTCTCAGGTTTCTACACTACGTTCTGGTCCCTGCAACTGCCTTTCTCCCGACCCCCATTGTTTGCTTTTCCCAATACATTCGGAGAATTTAAGGATGCTGTGGACAAGGTTCTACCTGTCATCAAGGAGGCGACCACGAAGGAGCGCGCCATGATGGGCAATAGAGGCACCAGTGGTACAAGCAACAACCTAAAACGCAAACGAGAACCAGAGTTGGGTGAAACGAGTAATAATAGCGAATACTTCTTCGCAAAGTTCTTGACAAGTCCAGACCTTCTCAATCTAGAGGTATTTATCCGCTTTCTCAAACATGCAGATCACTAAAGTTTCGTAGATTGCGGATACCCATTTTCGTCGACAAGTTCTGTTCCAACTCCTTATCCTCCTTCATCATCTATTATCGTTCACTAAAGTCGCAAAGGCTGTGTGGTCCACGCCCAGGAATAGATCTCTCCAAATGGACTTCACGCTCGAATCTGCAGATGCGCAGTGGGTCCATGACACCATCACAAAGGTGTCTGCGGAGCTGCGGTCCACCGCTCCAAACGGTCCTACATTTGCCGATACTGTGAATGTTATTCTTGACCGGGAAAAGAACTGGGTGAAGTGGAAGAATGACCTTTGCGCACCTTTTGATAGGGAGCCATGGTCGGCTGAAGTGGGTGGCAGAAAGGTAGGGATGGAAGAAGCCACGAGGGAAGCTCGGTCGAATAGAAAGAAGGCTCCTGAGTCGTGGAAGTGGAACCTAGGATCTGAGTCGCTGACTGAGATATGGGAGATGGGGTACAGGGATCTGTCTGACCTGCAGAATCCCTTCCAGTAAGGATTTCACATCTATCCAATGACCTCATACTGACTGACCGGGCAGGCCGGGTGATGTCAAGGATTTCGTGAAGAAAGTCAAGCAAGAAGATGCTCGCATTGACATGCGCAGAAAGCAGCTTGTGAAGAATGCTGAACGCTTGGCTCAAGCGCGAGCCAAGGCAGCTGCTTTACAAGAGTCCAGTGCACGGCAAGAGACACCAGCTCCCGCATCGACACCAGCAGAACCATCCAAAGTGGAACTGCCAGCAGCTTCGTTCTCTGCTTTGCTATCGACACCCAGTATCTCCAGCTCGCCCTTGCATCCATCCCTACCCCCAAAACCTGGCTCATCCCCAGTAAAGTCATTCCTAGAAGCGGGCGCATCGAGTCCTGCTCGTCCCCCAATCACTCTCGCACCGCCGTCCTCAACGATAGCAGCACCCACACCAACTCCTTCAGCTGCGGCCTCAGTCTCAGAAACTCCCTCCATCTCTGTTCCACCACCCGCCTCTTCTCTTACTGATGACCAGATAGCTCGATATGAAGAGGTACAAAATGCAGTTATTCTTCCATGATCCCACTGATAAGCTTGAACAGAACAGACAACGCTGGTCATGGCTTGCATTGCGTACAGCACGAGATCAATATCTGCAGCATTTTGGCAAGATCGGTACGGGAGATGTTGTTTTACTTGCCAATGAGATAGAGATAGAGAAGGAACGAGAAAAGAATCAGAAGACGCAGAAGGCCGAAGAGATGGTATCTTCTCTGTCGACCATGCAAGGGCACGAGGACCGCAAAGCCGGCAAGGCAGGTGATGCCACGGGGACTGCAGGGATTCCATTGGATGCTGAAGGAGATGTAAAGATGGAAGATCGGTGATGGGCTAGAAGACAATTCGAAATTTCGGAATTCGCTTCGTAGTACGAATTGGGAGGATGCATGCAAGGCTTAATTGTACTATTTCGCTGTCAAGAACTTTCTTAGTACCTTTTATTTTTCCCTGTCGTATTTAGCCCATGATGCACTTAGAAAAGTCTAACAGTGCTTGCCGAGGCGCGGCCGTGATCGTGCGTCTCAGAGCCAAACTTCGGGATGAATTCACATTGCAAGTCGGTTGCCAACATTCCGTAAATTCTGCTTTCTTCAACCTTCGACGATGTCCACATCCACCGGTTTGCGAGTGCGTACTTTCACTGCATATCTCATATTTCGGGTAGGCTCATATTTTGTCGTTACAGCGTGTCCTGGTGACTGGTGGAGCTGGCTACATTGGTAATTATCTCGAGGCACGACTTGTTCAGCTTGCGTTTTGAGCAAAGTTTTATCGATTATCCAGGTTCACATGTCATCTACGCTCTACAGCAGACAAGAAGATACAAAGTCATATCTGCCGACAACTACCACAACTCATTCCCTGGGTCGCTCACTCGTGTAGCCCAAATTGCGCAAGACACACTTCCCGAAAACCCGTCGGAGGCAGACAAGGAGAGCACAGAAATTGATGTATTTCAGTGCGACTTGACCAACTCGGAGCAAATAAAGGGCATCTTTGAACGCTATGGCAAGGGTGGAATATGGGGTGTTGTTCACATTGCCGTCAGTACTGGTTTTTTTCACGCAAGTTGGATTGTTCCGAATAAAAATTTTCAGGCGTACAAAGCGGTCGGCGAGTCTGTTGAGATTCCCTTGACGTACTATGCGAACAACGTTGCTGCTACGGTATCGTTGCTGCAGACCATGTCAGACTTCGACTGCACTCGCATTGTCTATTCATCTTCTGCTACTGTCTACGGAACACCCCCTGTGATCCCAATTCCCGAAACGACGCGTCTTAAAGCAGACAGCCCTTACGGCAAGACAAAAGTCATGTCTGAGATGGTTATCGATGATTTATGCCACGGTAAGCGTCCCTTGCTGTACCTGAGATCCCACTAACACCCCTTCAACAGCTGAACCGAATAGATGGCGTGCCATCTCACTTCGCTACTTCAAGTGATACGCTCTTGTCTATTGATATATACTGATACTGACTTGCATACAGTCCTGCAGGTGCGCATCCCTCCGGATTGATAGGCGAGGACCCCCGCGGTCGCCCAGGGAACTTGTTACCTTTGCTAGCACATATGGCTATTGGACGTGTAGACGCTGCCACTCTGCAAGTGTTCGGAAATGATTACCCCACTCCGTGAGTGTATCCAATACCATTCGTCAACGTTCAGTGTTCATGTAGGATTGTAGGGATGGTACCTGCGTCCGAGACTACCTCCACGTGCTTGATTTGGCCTCCGGACACTTACTCGCTCTTGACGCACTTGCGCCTGAATCTGCTATCTTTGATAACTGCCCTGATGATGCGCGCTACAAGGCTTACAATTTAGGGAAAGGAAAGGGTATGAGTGTCCTCCAGATTGTCGAGGCGATGCGCAAGGCTACAGGATTCGATTTCAAATATGAGGTCATTGGGAGACGGCAAGTTTATTTCTGGTTTATAGTAATCATCCCTTATTTACAAATTCTGAATAGCCGCGGCGATGTTCCTGATCTTACTGCGGATCCTGCGCTGGCCGAAAGGGAGCTGGGCTTCAAGGCACCGCAGCCTCTCGAGGTTATGTGCCGAGATTTATGGAACTGGCAGTCGATGAACCCTCAAGGATATACCCAACAGTAATTTAGTGGTACTAGAGTCTATCTACACACTTCTAATCACGGATATATAGAAGATCAAGAGCGAACTTATTAGGATACCTGTCGTTGTAGCTTACCTGATAATCAGCTGTTGCATGGGATATTGAAGCGCTGTACATCATTCAACACTGACAGCCTGGTTCGTTCCTTCACCATCCTTTCCCTATATTTCACGGCTTCATCCATATCCATGAGTCCGTCCACTTCATCAAGTACTTTATCAACGAGCTCCACTGCAAAGATTCCACGAGTCCCCTTCTCGAGACCTAACTTTGTCCACGTCTTCTGTTGGGGTGGGACTCTCTGCGTGGATGCCAGCGGCACAATACTTGGATCAACCAAGTACAGCCCGATGATGCGTTGGTGACCCTCCTTTGACGGGTCGGCCAATGAGAATGGTGTGATATGATATTGATAAATATTAGGAAACGCGATGCATAGTCCTTCGTGAATTGGGACAGCGCCAATATACTGATGACAAGGTTTTCTTGCCTGTAAACCCCAAGTCTTCATTGTTACGTCCTGGTATCCTGTCTTGGGAAACGCGGGCGGTGTTTTGACAGCCATGCGAAATTCAATCGAGTTGTGGGTAATATTCTCCTAAAAATGGTTGAGGGTTTGCTTGACAAATCAAGAGATGACATACACTTGATGAATTATAAAGGACACAGGCGACGATACGTTCGTTCTTCATGCCCTCCACGCGCCATTGAGAGCCCTGAAATGCAGGGCCGCCTGGTTTCTAAATGAATTCGATTTTAGGGAATGGCAACGGTGCGAAAAGTGAACCATACAATGCAAATATCGTAAACGTCATGTATGACTTGAAGGGTCTTCCCCCTGAGTTGCACAATACTTCCGCGTTCTTCAAGCCCACCTGGGTAACCAGTGATCGGGACGTCAGGCCCAATCGACCGGCGCATCATCCACTGCCGCTTCTTACTCTCAAACGCGGACCAATCCAAGGAATCGCGCGAGAAATCTGGAGGCTCCGGTTCTTCCCACTCTGCCGACGAAGGTCCTTGTATTCGCACTCTGGTCGGGTTGTCTACATGCAAGTCCGTGAGGACGTGCTCGAACATTGGAACACATTTCGAGAGCAACTCCTCGAACTGGCAATAGAGTGCAGAGTAGCAAGGGTGGAGGTTGTTTATATACGAGAGAGCCTTTGCTGTGCCGTCCTGAGATATGATAAAGTCGCAAGGCAAACATGCAAATTTTTGGGAGAGAAAATCTGTGCCGGTCGCGTCTGTAACGTCGGGCACTAGCTCAGGACGAAGAGACTCTTCCATGGCTGAGTCGTAACCAAGCGTCCGACCATAAATGAGAGGGTACAGGTATGGGTCTATAATGCGGCGCGTTAGTTCGTCTCCCTCGCGACGTGCCAGTTTGTCTGGAAGGGTGTTCAGAAAGCGAGAGAGTTGACAATTTAGGCTTGCGCGCGCTGAATTGTCAAGTATTGCTTGAGACTCCCAAATGCGCTCAAAGCAGGAAACCTGACTGGTAGCATGTGAGTATGCCAGCGCCTATTGTTGATATCCAGAAAAGAGGGCCTGCCAATTATTCTCGACGTCGCGAAGGCTTGCATAGCCCTGCAACTCCTCTAGAACATATTCAACCTACCCCAAAACGAAACTGCATTATTAACTCTTCAAAAAAATCAGCAGGTTTGCCAACCTGATTAGGAGTCAGCCAGACTTTGAGGTTGTGGTCTGGTGCTCGTACAGTCATAGGCTCACCGAGGGCTTCGGCAGCCCACCGAGCGCGGGTTTCCGGACGTTTAAATAGATTCCACCAGTCATCTCGACGCCGTACACATCTAGATAGCTCTGACATAGCCAAGTCTACCACCTGTGTGCGATTGAGGACCTATTTGAGAATGTGTTAAATCTGCTCACTGTTCTGGCGGGATCGACTTCCTGCAGAACCCGTGCGTCGTTGGTAAAAGAGTGAGGCCCGAAAGGCTCACGGTCATACTTAGTCCTTCTGATCATTCGATGACTGCGGTCTAGACAGACCAAGGATAGAACTCTCACTGCGCCGCAATTCGCCCAGTATTAATATGAGTACTCTCAGCCTTTCAGGCAAGTACTCTCCCAGGGAGATTGAAATAGCGGCATAGCCAGAGACAAAGTCTGGGCCAAAGTAAGTCTGGCCCATCGGCACCTCCAAGCGGAGTATGAAAGCTGATGTTGTTTCTCGCGCACTGTCTACAGCAGCACCGAGGACTTACTTCCATGGACGTTTGGGAGTCTTTTTGTTGCTATGCGGCAACACAACAAGCTCGCCGCTATGTCATATATCGGTCTCGCGATGCGCTGGCCTCCTCGAGGATGACATCATCCAACCTCAGCCACACATTGTCAGCATCGTGGCTGCCCTGATATACTTTCCCCCTCAATAACGGGCAGGCAAGGAGATGTAGGCAGAGTTGAGGCGGTCCACGGTCCATGAACATGCATATTGCAACGAGATGTTAGGCAGCGGCGGGCGTGTTGGTAGGATTGATTTAATTTGATTGGCATGACCGTTCGAAACGTCGAAAGGGATTTAAACTCCGTTGGGAGTGCTGTTGGCTGCCGTCGTGTCCCATACTTTAGCCCAGACGTTGTTCCAGACCGGCCAAGTCTCTAACATTCTGTCTCCCAGACTTCCCAATCCAATCCTGAGACACAGGGGCCCATAGGGCCCCACCGTATGACAGAAGTCTACTGTGTTTTTACATACTCTTGTCCTAAAACAGTGCATTACATAATGCTGAAATGAGCACAGTTTCAGTCGTCAATCGAACCACGAACACAACAAAAGCCACATCCTCCTCACATCAGATAAATCTCGTGATGGTGAGTAACCACAGGTTACTACGTTCAACCACGATCTTGTCTCATTGCTTCCCACCCAGTCGTCTGGCTGGGAAATTCGCATGTCCAACTCGAAGGGCATACCATACTACTTTAACGCTGCCACCAAGCAATCAAGCTGGGATGCCCCCTCAGAACTATCGGAGGATCAGATCAAGTCTCTTCCCGGTTCACAGCACCTGAGCGGCGGTAGCAGTGGAGGGGCTGGGACAATCACGGCGAGCCATTTGTTGGTAAAGCACAAAGACAGTCGGCGACCGTCGAGTTGGAAGGAGGTGTGCATACATCTGCCTTCCGAAAAGGGACCCATGTTGACATTGTGTACTCCTAGGCGAATATTACACGCTCTAAGGAAGAGGCTACTGACATCCTCCGAGGATATCAGGCCCAGGTTGGCAACTCGCGGGAGAAGTTCGAAGAACTGGCGAATATTCATTCCGATTGTTCGTCACATTCCCAGAAGGGAAATCTCGGGCCTTTCTCGAAGGGTCAGATGCAGAAGCCGTTTGAAGACGCTGCATTTGGTCTGCAGGTCGGAGAGTTCAGCGACATCATCAGCACGGACAGTGGTGTGCACATCATTTTGAGAACGGCATAGCACGATTGAATGAGCAGTGGGGAAGTTTATGCAGATGAAGGTGTTGTACGTCCATCAGATTGTAGCATTGTGCATGGTAATACGTTTGAAGTATATGCGATTGTGTCACTGTGTCGCCGACTCTGATTTTTGAAACTTCAAGCTTCAGGTCTAGGTTGAGCTGAAAGCCTGAAAGGGATCAAATATATATGCCATGGTGCCAGCACACCGGTCTACTACCACATCATTTTCAAGAAGAGACGTCCGTAATTTGGTTATACTATGAAGCTCTGAGAATCTCCGCGTTGGCGCTGCATGACGCGGTGGCATAGGAGCAAGTTGGCCGCAGTGTACTTCGTTCATTACCGTGACGGTGATAATCTTACCTTGATGATATCGTCCCGACTTCCGAGGCTCTCCGTGGCTCGGCAGTAGCAGTATCCCGGGATATCATGTGTCAGATGGCAATGATTAATGACTTCCTGTAAGAAATGGAGGACTGACTCGGTTCTGCCTTTATTATGGGCCCTCGTGAGACAGTCCTCTGAGAGTTTTTCCACTTATTCCCACCAGTACTTTCATTGCGTACACTACAGCGAAATCATCCGAGTCTTTGGCCAGGTTTGCTGTTTAATTACCAAGGTTGTTTCCCATCTCCCAATACAACTTTCACCCGAATTCCTGGCCAATTGAACATTGCAGGGCCTCACAGGGCCAGCAGCTGTGGCGTAACGAGGACAACAGCCTTCAAGAGCCAACTCCATAAACGAAATGAAACCGATGGTGGACTTGCCAACAATTTGGGAACACGGTCGTGCCACGTTGCAAACCTTGTGGATTTCGATCATCCTTCTCCTTGCGCCCTTTGCCTATCTAGTTCTATCGCAGAGATCAAAATCAAAATCAGTAGGTGCGCCATGTTCCTGAGTGCTTCTGTATATTTTTGGAAGGTTGTTGGGGCGCGCGCTTTGTGCCTTCAGTTGCTCGAATTAATATCTAATCTGTTCTTTGAGGATTAGCTGGTCGATCAGACAAGGGAGAAGCCGGATCTGCTGCCCCAGATCACTCGAAGTTCGATACGTCAAATATACGTGTAACAAGGATTCTCATCCACCCCATCAAGGTGTGTGACGCTGATTTCCGCTTGGTTAGCAGTGTTGATTTTGTAGAGCTGCAAGGGCACTTCTGTTCCAGAGGCAAATTACACTCTTGAAGGGTTCGATGTCAGTGCATCAAATATGTTTCTGATAATCAATGTTGACTGTGCTGTAGAATGATCGTAGATGGTGCATAATAAAGACACATAATAACGCAGTCGTGACTGCCCGAGATGTGGCTAAGGTACGTCCTATGCCGTCAGTAGCACCGCAGTCCAGTAGACGCATAATTCTATACAGATGGTTCTTATACACCCTCGCATCATTCCGGCCTCATCTTCAGAGGCTGGCCGGCTCGAGGTGTCTTTCCCAAAGGAGTCGGGCTGTGAGACCTTCTCTGTACCATTAAACCCCACCGAGGAAGAACTTCAGGATTGGGAAAAGTGAGTACAGCTATGTGTCACTGCGGCCCGATGTCTTTTATCTTAACCATGTGTTTTCTAGTCTCAATATATCGTTGTGGGGTAAGGATGACATCGAGGGGTACGTATGCCAGACCAACATAGGAAGGTCACCCTCAGAGATACTTTCGGAATATATGGGGTTGCCAGTACACTTGGCTGTGAAGGGCCCACGTCAGCGGATCTGTCCGCCGACTATACGGTTTCCCAACCTAGATGCACCCTCATATTTTCAGGATGGGTACCCTTTATTGATAGTATCCGAGGAAAGTGTCGCGGCCGCGCAGGAGCATATCAGAGGGATGGTGGGCACGCAGGGCATAGAGGAAAAGTGGTCCAGCGACACTCTACAGATAGAAAGGTAAACCCATCCCTTTTCGGTCCGAGCTTGTACGACTTCGGATCGTTGTGCTCATCTTATTTTCACTTGCAGGTTCCGCCCCAACATAGTGATTAAAGGAGCCGGCGCACCTTTCTTCGAGGATATACTCACTGAATTCACTATCGATTCCCATCACGAAGCTGTCGACGGGGTATCGCCAATCGTTCGGCTTGTGCGTAAATGCACTCGTTGCGTGGTACGAATATGCTATTTCCTTTCAAAAATGGTTGCTGATTATCTATCACTTTCGCAGCTGCCAAATGTACATCCCGAGACGGGTGTACGTGACAAGGCCGTGCCATTAAAAGTTTTAATGAAGCATAGAAGAGGCCTGGATCCCGGGCGGCCCAGGTTACCCTGTATGGGGTGCAACGGGATTTTCACTGCGAATGGCGTGGTGAAGGTCGGGGATTGGATCCACGTATGTGAGACGGGATTCGTATAACTTGAGCCATCTTTGATGGTGTTGTCGTGTTTCATTTTTAATTAACTCTTGCGTACCACATAGTTTGGCTTCAACGCCAAATAGAGATTTTGATTTGACTTATGCTAGACATTATGAAATGCCTGCGATAGTTCCTTCTGCCACGGATGTACTCTTGGCAGCGCATGATGCACAAATGGTTGCCTATTCGACTCAAATCAAAGGGTCTGATGAGCAGGCGTGAGATAGTCAAGCGTCAAAGAGCATGAACACACCAATGAGAACATTGATGAAGAAGATCCAGGGTTTGTGATCAGCGCTATAGCTACGAGTTTCAGGCAATGATAAGAGCAGTACAGAGCTTGAAGGAGGTGAAAGAACAAAGTTTCGGGGGGCGAGGCACACGGGCACGGAGATGGACATGTCATGGATTGGAATGATTGGGTTACGTACATGGTACCTTGAGCTCATTTTGGAAACCAAGCCATGGGGGCCGTCGGCATGCCACACCGGTAGACCAACTTAGATAACATGAAATCCGCGCATGCCTGATGCGCAGCCATCAGTGGAGCTGGTGAGCGCTGGTTGCAATATGCTGCAGCACATGTCAGCTGAGCCTCTGCAGTGCCTTGGTCTGCCACGCGAGAAATTACCTTTTATAGAACCGGAGAAGGGGGCCGGGTCGCTTGTGGTGGAAATCCATGTCAGTAACTTGTTTGATGCTACTCATAACGAGCTTTCTCTGCCGTACCAATCTTCCCTCAATTCCGAATTTGAACCGCCATCTTCTTCTATCACAGAGCTCGTTACCCGAGCTCTGAACTATGGCTATAGGGAAATGGAACCCTTTTGGTCAACCTGTGTTACAAACCACCAGCGACCATTCTGTCCCGCAGCCGTTGCCAATCCCTTGCGCCGATGGAAAGCAGTTTGGTCTAGAGAACGTATGTTATCTAACTACTCCATCTCCACAAATGATCTTTATTTCCATCATTCCTGTAGTTTGGCAACACCTGGTACGACTTATTTCGTTCCCACACTCCAACCGCCCGCTGATGACTTAAAAGTTATGCCAACTCTGTTCTACAGGCTCTATATTTTTGCAGTCCCTTTCGAGATCTCGTAATTCAGCATGCAGATCCGTGCATCGCCATCCAAGCAGCCCTATCCTCGCAGTTCGCTCCCAGTGCCGCTCCCGCTTCTCCCGCAGCTGCCGCCCGTTCCAAGCAAACAGAGCGTCAGTCTGTACAAGAATATCCCCCAAAAACCGGTATCGTAAACCCTCCAACACCACCGATCCCCTCATCACCACGGACTTTGGTGTCTGCACTTCGCTCCTTGTACATTCACATCTCGCAGAACCCAGCTGACAAAGGCACCGTTGCCCCCCGAGCATTCATAGATAAACTCAAAGAATTAAATGAGGCGTTTAGAAATACAATGCACCAGGATGCGCACGAATTCTTAAACTACCTCCTCAACAAGATTGTTGAGGAAATAGAAGAAGAAAAGAAGTTCCTGCAGGTTCCTCTCGACGATTGTATGTGGAAAAATCAGAATTTAGAACACTTGTCTTTTCCACTGACACCCCAAATGTTGCTCTATTTTCTAGCGGATCATTCAGTCAAATCATCATCTACAACCTCACAACCGTTGGTAATGACAGCAAGCACGTCGAGCTCAGGCAATCCGTCGACGGGGTCTACATTTATTCACCAGATATTCGAAGGTACACTGACTAGCGAAACTCGATGTTTAACATGCGAGAATGTGTGTTGTCGTGTTTCTTACTGCCGCGCTTACTGATCGCGCACAGGTATCTTCACGTGACGAATCGTTTTTGGACCTCTCCATAGATATCGAACAGAACTCGAGCGTGACAGCATGTCTTCGACAATTCAGCGCTAGTGAAATGCTCTGCCAGCGAAACAAGTTTTTCTGCGACGGATGTTGCGACCTCCAGGAAGCGGAAAAGAGGTATTTATCGGTTGTTCATCTAGATTCAACACTGAGGCCCACATCAGGATGAAGATAAAGCGACTGCCCAATGTTCTCGCTCTACATCTCAAGCGCTTCAAGTATCAAGAAGATGTACAAAAGTACATTAAGCTGGCTTATCGCGTTGCATTTCCCTTCGAGCTCCGCTTGTTCAACACTGTCGATGATGCTGAGAACCCTGATCGACTGTATGAACTCTTCGCCATAGTAGTTCACATCGGAAAGTACGTCCCTTGTCGCGTGTGACGCTCGTTATCTGTAATCGCCGCTGACACGCTTTTCTTCCCTCGTTTGTCCCTGGTAAATATAGCGGGCCAAACCATGGTCACTATGTCAGCATCATCAAGACGTTGGGTTCCTGGCTTGTATTTGACGATGAAACGGTGGAGTCGATCAAAGAATCCGACATACCCAAGTACTTCGGCGAATCCAATTCGGGTTCCGCCTATGTGCTATACTACCAAGCTGTGGATCTAGACCTTGTCGCCCTTGATTTGTGTCCGACAAGTCCACATGTGCCTGAGGAACATTTACATCAACGACTCCCTACAGATTCTCCTGCATCGCTTTCAGAACCTATACCATTGCCTCCCGGGCTGTCTGCAGAACCTGTAGAGGCAGAAAATGCTGAGACTGCGCCTATACTACCCCCACCATCTTTACCCATGAATATTCCCGTTTCTCCTACTGAGAGACCATTGCGCAAAATCCCCTCGGAATTTATGAGACCCAGCCCTCCCTCAGTACCTCCGTATAATGCAACAGTCGGTCGTGGCTCGTCACTGAAGCCGTCCTCGCCCGCTCGTACTGGCATACTTAAACATGTCCCCTCACTGAAGATCGGTTTAGACAAGCGTGACACGGCTGCAAAATCCACTGCTCCCTTCCCCAGGTCCGAGCCATCAGATCCGCTGCCACCTGTTATACCTGACCCTGCTCTACGGAGTCCGAATGACAAGGAAAAGGAAACAGAGAAGAAGAGCACCTACTGGTTCCGAAGGAAAAGCCTTAAATCAGGAGGGAAAGCACGTCCAACCTTGGAAGTTGAGGCAACTAATATGCCATTGCCTCCTGTCGTGCCCTTGGATACGTCGTCATCTCCATCGAGGTTCCACACTACCGGGTTGACATCGAGGCATTCCAAGGATAATGGTTTTGGACATCCGTCGGAGCCTGCAGGTCTTGATCGTCCTGTAGCGCCTTTTATGGTTCATCGCCGCCCTTCGTCTGCTTCTGGCCCTGTTCGGGCATCATCGCATAGTACGAGCAGTCGACGAGATACTTCGAGTTCGCCTTCCATCTCAGCCACTACATCATATTCTTCCACTACAAGCACCTCGTCATCGACATCTCCTGACCATTACTCACACACCCTTCGCCCCTTGCCAATGATACCTACTTCTCTGCAAAACTCAAGTATAGCACAATCCCCTCCTTCAGTTTTTCCTCGAGGCCACTCATCTGAGTATACACGGCCGCACAAACGGCCAATGGCGTCACCTCATGACTTAGAGCCACCAAGATCACCTAAATCCCCAGCTCGGCCAACGACTGCAGGTGCTACGCTTGGTTCACGTTCCTCTGCAACTATACCCCGGGACCATAATCTCCCTCCATTGCCAGGTGCTGTGGGTAATCTACTCAACGGGACATTACCCATGACACTGCCTCGTTCGGACAAGGGCGAGACGCAGGCGAAAAGTAAGTTGTACGAGGAAGGCGCGACGGGCTTGCCTAAACGGCCAAAGTCAATACGTGCATCTACCGCCCTGGAGGCAGTTCCACCATCTAGCGCTTCCACTAATACCACTAGTGCTATGAAGCGGGCGAGTCGGAAGTTGAGCTTCACCGCGTCATTCCCGTTTGGCCGCAGGGATAAGCAGCGCTAGTAGGGGAAAGAGCAGGAATGAGTGTCCCGGTCCGGTAATTCGATCACCTCCTCCTCTTCTCACTCGTCCAGAGCCTGATGCACGCTAGAATTGTATTCCATGGTAAAGATGTGTTTACCTATATCTTGTTTAATGATCTTGTTTACCATTTTCTTGCTTGAGCAGTTGCCTCATGGAAAGGTTTCAGTCATCTATCCTAATTACAATCGCATACACAGTTTTTATTCCGCGAAGTGGAGAGTTCCTCTTATCCTACCGTTCCATCATAGCTCGTACATCTCTACCTCGTTGCGTCTGTATCAATTTTATGTTGTACATTAGAGTAATGACCAGATACAAACAAAATGAAGTTATCGCGGACTGGGTATACTAGTATACAATCGGTCAATTTTACGATGCAAGAAGTAATGAGCGCTTTAGTTGTGGTTCATGCGATCGAGTCCAAAGTGTCCATTGGGTGCTATAATTCACAAATCGAGCATGCGCTCATCCTCCAAAGGGATGGGATGACGCTGCCCACTTATCGCTACAAAATAACTTTAGGTGTATGACCAATTTAGCACGCGAACTTCAACTCACTTTCCAATGGCGTTTGTGCCATATCAAGTATGTGCAGCATCGTCTCGTGTGGCTTGGAGTAAAAGATACGCCCAGTGCCCTCGTCCCAGGCTATCGCTGTCACACCATCACGAATATGATCAAGAATATATGAAGGCAGATTAAACTGTCCCAGCATAGTCTCGCGGTGCTTGGGAACATTTCGGAGGATATTCTGTAGCGTTTCGCGCCGCATAATACTATAGGCATCATCGCCTCGTTTGGATAGAAGATGGCCGGAGAAGTTGCGGACCGAAAGCGTGTCTGATCGATTATCGCGTGGAATGGAGTAGAATAAAGAACGCAGACATCCTGGGATGACGAATGTTCTGCATACTGTTCTGGATTCGTCGTTTTTGAAGGATAGGCGGTGCATCATGTTGGACCTCAGGTTCGTGATAGCGTAATGTGGTTTTCCTGTAGATCTAAATGCCTCGGGCGCGCTCTCTCGTGGGGTTGGCGAAATGATCATGTGGCAGATACGACCCCCGCTTTCATTCCTGTAGAAGATATTGATAGGAGGCGGCAAGAAATTTCGACCTTGGTCATTGGGCACATGTGGGTCGCTTATTTGAAAATCTTCAATGTCTTTCCCGTAGAAGGAGGCAATTGAAAGCGGGTTAAACTCTCCTGCTTCTGTATCCCCAGGGTCTGGCGTGGGAAACATGGCGACAGTGAACATAACATCAGGAATGATAGGTGGACCACCAGGCGAGGGATTGGGCGGTGCTAATCGCGGACGATTAGTGGAGCGCACGACGAGAATTTGCCCTTGCAACGGTAATAACCGGAAGTTACAAATAGGTTGCTCCTTTGAGAAGTTTAGAGTAATCTTCACAGCAAAAAAAAGGACTATACCTGTTGTGAAAGTGTGATTTCGCGCGCGCATTTAAAAGTAGATATGGCACCATCAAAAGTTAGTTCCTTCATCACAATGGTTTCGGGCATCTTGGCGACTACCATGTTCGGAACGCCATCGACTTCGCCAAGATCGACATTTCGAAGCTCTGAATCGCTGCGAAGGTGTCCGAGAAAGCGAAATGGCGGAGGTTGTGATGCAGCAAAGTCGAAAAACTCTTGAGAGCCAGGCACGAGGATAGGATTTCCTAACGCATCTAGTGCATCAAGGGATATCTGTAAACACGTCGCGACATACTCCAGCGGCATTGGAGCATCAATCTGACACCGTGGGTTGTTCAGGTACGGATTGTATATGGAGGGATCAATGCTGAGCCGACAGTCAGTGTTGGAAGGTACACTCGAAGGCACAATCAGTTTCTACCTGTTAGTACTTTGATGATTTTTCAACGTCTTCCTGCGAATATATCCGATAACAATGCTTGGCGTGCCTTCCACGTTCATATACTTGGCACATATATTATACGCTTTCCCTCGGACAGGTGTTTCCGCTAGAGGAACAATGCCACAGATACGGTGATCAAGAACATATACAACCAAGCTGTAGTGAGTTTTGGCAAGATTGCATGCAGAAGCGACAAGGTATTTTCCACCGGGAAGTACGACCATTGATAATATGTGCCTATGTGCCTGCACAGGGAGATAGGACGCGGCAGGCGGATTTGGCAGGATCCAGTTCTTGTGGACCGTAATCGCGCGAATGACTAATCGTTCAGCCTCAAACGAGGTCAAGAAATTAGGAGAATAATGCTGCGAAGGCGGTAACGCTGGTACATTGGGTCCAATCCTCCGCAGAAACCGTTTCCATATTATGCCATGGTGTGTAAGATTGTAGAACAGTCTGTTGACCTGAAGCAAGTCTAGTGACAGCAGATAGTAAATGCAAGATAGACATTACCATTCGTAGGCACAGGATATCTTCCACCATCAGGTAGTCGAATATATGATCGACCAATATGTCGTCAGAAAGTATATTCAAACTTGGAAGACCATTGAAATCTTGGTGGACTCGCACACCCCACGTTCCTGTTCCTATTCTGCTTCGTCCATTGGCGCCAGAGTGAGACCAAGAGAAGGCCGGAGAGATGAGACGAGAAACCAGAGAGAACTGGCCATACATGATTGGGAAAAGAAACAAAACACCTTGAGGTGCCACGAGTGATATTTACTAGTCTATTAGTCTTGTTTTCATGGTCGCGAGACTCTCAACGGAGATGTTGGCTGTTGTATTAGAAATTACGGCCATGGCGACGGCTCAATTGAAATACAAGGGTTGGATTGCAGCTGCAGAAAGCAAACTCGAAGAGGTCGCGGTAAAAATTACGCGAACTACAACACTTTCCTAAAACAACTTGTCCACAGTGACACGTGACCCATATACTCAAGTCTGGCCCCTCGATCGCGTTGTCACTTGCACGACCAAGTGGGCCGGCCTGTGCATAGTGATAAATGAGAGTATTGTTCCATAGGGAATTGATTGCGCCATTTTATCATTTGTGTCCTACAATTTTGACTATCATATGCAAGGACGGGACACGTTTGATCCCGCGGAAGCAATTCGCTGTCGGAAAAAGCCGCAGGCTTATAACTCTATCATGAGATGCCTTATAAGTCCCTTTTGAGGCGGGCGGAGGGAAATATAAGGACTTGGCATTGTACACTGCTTATGACTTCAAATCCATGGCGGTCAATGTTCTGGGAATGCCCCGCTTGGCAGCAAGAAGGATAACAAGGATAGCGCATATAAAGCTATATAGTGTCCATATTACAATACCAATTGCACGTACCTCTTCTGATTTGAATACAAACCAAGGGATTTGGTTGCGAATAAGTGGGGAGAAATATAGTAAAATCTGGTGCAGAGCAACCAATCATTCATACCGACTAACTCTCAAAGGCACTCCAATACCACTCTCTCCAACAACCCGTGGACGAGGTAAGATGCCCGTCACAACTTCGACTGGAGTATTCGGTCCATCCCGCATCTCAAACACGAAGTTCTTCACCAGAACAGATAAAACCGTCTATATCACAGTGAATGACGTCCAAAGTTACTGATTCGCATTACTCACCTTGAATTCCATGATCGCAAAATCTTTTCCAAGGCACGTCCTCGGGCCATCAACAAATGTCAGCAGATGCCTATGACCTTGGACTTCCTTGGCCTTCCCACCGATGCCGTCTTCAGTCAACCAACGATCAGGCTTGAATTCCTTTGCGTGAGGTCCCCAGATGGCCGAAGAACGATTGATAGCCGCGGCTGATATCGTGATCAATGTCCCTTTCGCTATAGATATATTATCCGTCATGTTGCCGGACACTGTGCGCACAGGTGTGCTCAAGGGAATGACGTCATCTGCCGCTGCCTGTAAACTTAAAGTTGTCGTGTCTACTCACATGTAGACATACACACTCACAAGACGAACGAATTCCGGCACCGGAGGATGGAGTCTTAGAATTTCATGGACAATCGCATCCAAGTATGGGAGGTTGGCCTTTAATTGGTCATATGTCGGATCAGGGCCAAAGGCAAGCAGTTCCTCTCTGAGCCTGGTTTGGATATCGGGGTGTCGTGATAGCTCGATCAGCGCCCACTGATCATCACATTAATAGCGTGCAGACGTAGTCGTGCAGTAAACTCACAGTAAGACTGACTGTCGATGAAGAGTCAGCCGGTATGACAGCAGCGGGCAAGAAATTGACTCACTGGATGTCGTCTCATAACCCGCGAGAAGCAAGACCTTCATCTGCGAGACGTGAGCTCGTAAATCATGGCTGTGATACATCGTATTCACGGACCTGAGCCATCACTTCCTCCTCCGACATATGCAACTCGGTATCTTGACCTTCGGATTTAACTTATCGCCGCGTTAATCAAGAGACTACGATGAATCTCTCGGGGAGCGTACTCAACAATCCTATGATAGAATTTTCCTGGCCTCTCTCGTTTATGTTGACATCCTTTTCCCGGCGGCTGCGAATCAACAATTCGTTAGATATTTGTTCCACGGTGACGGCAAGTTTCTTGAACAGTTTTTGCCGGTTAGTGGGGATGTTGAGAATGATAGGAAATACTGATGCGAGCAGGATAAAAACTTCGTTCACTGCTGAAGCCTGTTGGTTGCTTCCGAATGTATCAAACACTTCGGTCACGCTGGCGGGCTTTCCGTCGAGCGAGCCAAAATCATGGGAGAAACCAGCAATGCCAACCGTGTCCAAACTGATGTTCCGTCAGTTTGAGGCGTCATTGACAAAATATCTTCGCGTACGATATATGATTCATCCTTTGAGTCGGTTTGATTAGGAACGCCACTTGCCAAGTTAGAAAAGCTGCGCACCAGTTCTGGACCTCAATTACAGCGTCACCATCTTTGCTCGATTCTATGGCAGTATCCCATTTTCCTTTGGCCTGTAACGGATCAAGTTCAGAGATGCTGCATTTCCCACATCGCAAATCCTTACCTTGTATGCTGAGTCATAAAACACCGATGTGAGTTTCCGAATGGCTGCATTACTGAATGCTGGCGTGAGGGCCTTCCGCTGCCTAATTCGCAGGTGGTAGGTAAGTCGCTTGTGCAAGGACAAGAGCTGAACAGTACCTTCTGTGGGCTTCGCCCTCAGCCCATAGTAGCCCTTTGCCAATCTGACAGGAGATATGAAACAGACGAGGTAAGATGATGACATTAACATACTGATTCCTCCAAAAACACCAACGAAAGGGGCGTGTGCACATATGTCCAAGTCTCGCGAGCGTAGAAATGTGCAATGGCTTTTGGGTCACACAGCACGACTCTAGTCTGCCCGAGGACGCTCGGAATCATATACACTACCCCATATTCCGTCGCCCAACGTTCATAGATTGTAGCACTATCTTCAGACATGGCGAGGTCGCGCGAGACGCCATATACGAGGCTGGTACGAGGCGGACCCAGTAGTTGAGTCGTCTTCACTCGCCAGCGAAGCATCCTTAACACTTTGACAAAGGCCCATAATGCAGCAAATGAACAAGCAACGTTAAATGCACCACCCGGACGTACGGTTGTCCAGAGACTTGATGGAGAGGGGATGGTAAAGAAGTTCATCGTTATGTTTGATTTGAAGTGGGATCTATTGGGAGATCATTTATATGTTGCCGCTTCTATGGATGCTGACAACTGCCTTGGCTACGAAGTTGAATGGCTAGTGCAGACACAGGACTATGCCCAATTGCGCTCGGAGCCGGCGCCGTTGTTTTTCGTCAGCAGGGATTATTCATAACAGCCGAAACCTGTGTCCGAGTCTGACTCAGAATAAGAATGTGAGCACTACTTGGACCTGAGTATGTACCTAAATGGGCGGGGGTGAATGATAGAACACCATCGTGATGGTGCAAATATTGAGCGGAAGTTGAGCAGAAGCCTATTAAGCTTGAATGTATCACGTGACTTCTCCGAAGATAAGTTCGTGCCGCATCCACAGTACTGTATGTGGTAATTCACCCTCATGCTTGGTGGCAGATTACCACAGCATGTCCGAGGTGCACGGAACGATAAACTGGCTGATCCCGTCCATTCTGCAAAGGCGGAGAATGGATGTCACTGTATGGAATGCAGAAAGTATTAGGATGCCCTCCCACGACATAGCACGGGCCCCAAGAGAACCAAACTCGGCTACCATCATCATGAGCGTGCACGATTTCTTTGGCGAATTCATAATCAAACGTACTAGCACCATCAATCACGGGGCCCATACTAGTGGCACCACAGCATGGTTTTGATCTTGCTGCGCAGAACGACAGCAAAAAATGAACGTGATTCCAAATTGTCTACATTGATACAGGGGAGTGAATGAGCCATCCAACAAAATCAAATACCCATGCATTACCCGTGATAGGCGTCCCTGAGAGCCCTCTTCGCGCACTCGGTTGTACCAGGGACCGTGTGACGACAACTGGGATAGCGATGACAAGAAACATGGGCACCGATAGTACTAGGAGAGAAAAAAGTTCAATGGAAAGTAGAACTGGCCAAACAGCGAAAGCAGACTGACCAGAGGCGTTGATGTTCGTGACCAGGATGCACATCAACCTACATAACAAGCAGCCGAAGCAGAGTAGTAGCTGATCCGTCAGAAGAGGAAGTTAGCGCCCTATAATAGGACGCCGTCGCGCTTGCCTGAAGAGTCGAGGAGTCACTGTACGGACTGCGACCGCTAGCCACTTCTACTGCGCCCCATGGAAGGCTAAGTGGAGGGCAAACCAGCAGTCTAATTCTGTAGGCGGTTAACAATGGTTTGTGGCTATCGGGCCTGTAGATTGAGTGAGTCAAGAATGGACTATACCATACTAAGCAAAGCAGACATGAGGTCATAAGTGGGCGGGCGGGCCATCAGAGAACCTGTGAGAAGAAGATATCGTCATATATCGTTATATATCGTAATATATAGGAAAGGTTTTCGTCACATTGTAATATAAAGTGATATAAAGCAATATATGACCATGTAAAAGCACCATAATCAGCATAATCCCCAGCAAGAACTCACCGGTTTACTGATGGCCCAACGACTATACTGCTCCTTTATGCGTGCAAGAGTGGTTAGAGAAAATTATGTAGGTATGTTGCGTAGGAGGGAGCTGACCATGCCGTAGTGGTGCAACGTGATTGGAGACACCGATGAGCATGCCATGGATGCTTTCGCAAATGAATCATGGCTGAGAAAATGCGAATGAGAGATGGAGAGATGGAGAGGAAGCGTGTGCTGGGAAGATCTCGATAGGAATGAGAAGAGAGGGCAAAAAGCGTCAAATTTTCAACCTGACAACCCATATAAAATAGATTAGCAGCCAGGAGGAAATTCAGAGCATGAAACTCGAGTCTACGGTGATATCGCACTAAACTATAAGCTGAAAATTGAAGGTCATCATAGTAATGATCCTGCTTGAAATGACGAAGAGCTGATTTGACCTTATTTGAATGCTCATTGAATTCGGTTAGCTTCGCTTCTTGAACAGTTCTGTGTAGGTCTGGCCGAGTAATGTGCAAACGCAAGGCGAATAACCTAAACTTGAATATGAGTACTGAACGTTTGACCGGTCGAACGTTAATAAAAGCCAATCGGGATTCGGATGCTAACTAGAACTAACGAACCCAAAACAGTTTTCCTTTCTCCTTCCATTGACATACACGCGCACCAAATTTTGCTGCATCCACAACGACTGTTCAGAATCTATTCTGATGGGTGTTCATACCTCTGTCATCATATCCACAATCATTACAAAGTTCATGCGAGTATTGCCCCGTAGAGACCCCTTCAAAATGACGCAGAAGATTTTCGACACGCAGCGCGCCACCGCAAGCTGTAAGGCTCACCGGTACTGGCGAAGAATGGGCAGGTCACGAAAATCAAGTGTATATGATCTTACCCATGATTGAAACATCAGTAATGAAAGCCTTTGAAGTGGGACCGTAAATGATCGTGACCGGAATATTACCTGGTCGACGTTCGGCCGCACTCCGAAAGTCTGCACCAATGCGTTCGGTGTACATCGCAAATTTCAAAAAATATTTCCTTGTTTTCAGGTATCACACTCTGCTCACCAAGACCACACATTTTGTAGCCAGTTAGTCCCTGCGCATGCTGTCGATCCATCCGATCCACTTCCGGACTCAGGCTGCACGAGGACATGCGGATGTCGCTTCTGCGCTGTGTCTCGAGCCGTAACGGTGTAAAAGAATGCCAGAGGCGGCTGTTAAACGATGAAGGAGTCTGAGATCCCTTGCCATCACCATATCGCCCGTCCTTCCGGACCAGAAAGATGTTCCTTGCAATTGGTATTGTCTTGTTACTTTTCATACAGGCACTAAAGAGCAATCAGTTGTAGGCTCTCAGTAAGGTGGCAAAGACACATCTGCGTCAATCGACCAATGTTGCAAGACTTCAACTTCTGTAGTTTCGAAAATAGGAAAGTACAATTACGGTCAACTCTATGTCTTGATGAAAGGAGTCACGTTCCGCCATAATCTATGACAGGATACTGCGATGTAATCAGGAAACCAAATATAAGTGTGAGTACTCATAAGGAAAATCAATAAGAATATTCTTATCCATGTCGCTTCGCGGTTGAGTCCTCTCGAATCAGATGCTGGTGAACTGTCTTTAAATCATGCGTTTACAAGGTGTTACGAATGGTGTACCATCAAGTCTTGGATTGTGCATTGCACCTTGCACAGGTTCGTTCTGTTGTTGACCGGTTCGCCGGGTAAGCTGCCTCTCCCAAAGCATCGACGTGATTCATGGACATCTGATCGATCTCATCACTCATGCAAGTTATCCTCATATCTACGATTATTCCACTATTCACGGTGCCAGACACATAGGTTGTGGTGCTTTGATCGGATTGTCGGCCCCAGGAGGGCACAAACATCCACAGCGCATCCACAACCCGCTTCTAGTCTTTGCTTTGCGGACTTGCAACAAGAATGAATAACTCAAGCGTGGATGCAAAGCTGAGTCGTCGGTCCAAAGGACCATCATCCCATTTAGTAAATCATAGTGGTCCACAGGAAATGTTCTCTGAAAGGAAGGCCCCTGCAGTGGAAACACACCTCGAGGACACCTTCAAAGCGGCTCTAGGTGAGCATATAAATATTGCTTCGGTGGCCTCTGTCCTCTATCTCTAACTCACTGCAATTACTGCCACTGCGAACGCGTACACATCCACTTCATATTTGAATTGACTATATGCTGGCCACGGTACGTGTATCTCCAGCTTTAATACCTACGCTTCCTAATTATATACAACCTCTAGATGACCCAATACACCCCCCATGTCTCCTCATCGAACGGTTCCGATTCTTCCAATGCAACCCAATACATGCCAAACACCAGCGTGTATATGGGTCAATTTCCCTGGCCCCAGCCTGCATGCATTCCTAATTCAGGCGTCTACTATCCGTACGGTATGCTAGCTAATGGGACGCATAGTGTCCCTCTCCCATACGCGCCCGTCGCACCTTCGCCTGGTGCGGGTGCTGGAGTGGCGCATCACATGTCTCAAGCGGGACAAAACGGTTACCAACCCCCTGCACTAGCCAATGTCTCGTATGCCACTCATGTTGGTCCATACCCACCACTGACTGCTGCTGCTGCTCCCTCACAAGACGCATCCGCGCCACTCCTGTACCATCAATCCTTCCCATCGACTTCTTTTTTAGGAGGCGCAAACCTTTACGCTGCACCCATACCGCACCAGGGATACTTCCACCAGCATCACGGGCCTGGACTAGCAACGGGCTTTGCTTCCTCGTCTCTCCCTCAAGCACCAGGTTTTTCGGCCAGTCCAAAATGCATCGCGGAGGACATAGACCGCCACATCAAACAAAGCAAAATAGTCCCCGGCGGGATGAAGAACGACCCGTTATTTGTAAGTTTTCTTGTCGTCTTGTGAGGTCGGATTCTCAAACATTGGGACAGACGCCTGTGTTAGACGAACTTGGTCAGCCCAAAGGGACATTCGTGTGTTCTAGGGACGGCATGATACTCAATCCTGAGAGCTATCTGAGGCACGTCAGGACAAAAAAGCACCTAGGCTTCAAACTAGAGAAATTCAAATGCAATAATTGCTCCAAAACGTGCGTTTTTCGACTTTTAAAACCAACGCGTCTCGTCATTAATATCGATGTGATTAGGTATACGAGACGCGATGCCTACAAGAGACATTTCGTCAATGGCAAGTGCGAACACTCGACAGCTGTGGGCGCTTCTCCAGGATACTCAGCTAGTGAGAACTCCATGAGTCCCGCTTCAGCTGCGCCTGTGACAGCACCTACCACGGCGTTCACGTGTTCTTACTCATACCCCATGCTCACCACGTCGATGTCCCAGAACATGCAGATTGTAGCCCCAGCAGCTTATGTTACGCAGTCGTGTGGAACGCCCACTGTCGTGAATCCTGTTCTTTGCCTCTCTCAATCATCAGGGACTAGCATGATCGCAGAACCCGAAGAAGAAGACGACGACGACGCTGAGTTTTGGGAGGCTAATGAGATAAAGGGTATCTAGGAGACGTAGCTATATTTCCATTCTGCTGCTGAATATTTTCTTGTTGTATTATCTGCTACCAACTACACACTTTCATTGTATTCTTCGTTCATTCACACAATTGTGATCGCTATTATCCTTATCATTATTGTTATCATCATCATAGTGATTTGATGATTCGTTGGTCGTGATACACATATTACTTGCATGTACGCGCTAGCTACAAGATCTAACGAGTGAGCAGGTGGGATGGGCCGTTTTGTGGCATATATCTCTGAGTCCGTAACACAGAACTTGAACTCGACGGGCATAAAGATTTAACATACTGTCATTTTTACCCGATTTGCACAAAGCTGTGGCGCAAGAAGAGATGCGAGCTCGTATCTTATAATAGAGGTTGGTTCATTTCATGACTCGATGTTCGGCCTGAATCTATTGAAAGCGGTTCGGATTCGGCCGTGTGCTGCATGGGTTCGTTTGAAGAAATGGTAGTGAATATGGAGACAATATCGGAGCAGGTGTTCCACTTGAAAGGCCCTGGAGTTTGGATAGTAAGAACTCATACAAAATGAGGAACGCGGAGGAAATAACACCTACCTAAAACCTGCGATACTTTCCTGCTATTCGCCAAGATATAGCAGCGCAGTTCATAACACGATATGGGTCGTTGATAAGGCACTGCATGTGGGAACCGAACTGGTACTCAGTGGTGTACAAAATATTCGTCAGCAACTAGAAATGTTGTGCACGGACCGGAAAGGGAGAGGTAGGCTTGCTGAACTCAGGCACTCAGGCCTGGGGTGAATGTAAGCAGGTCAGACTGCCGCACGCGCATAACCGCTACACAAGAGGTAGATTGCTGAAGCTTAGCCTTCAGTATCAGCAACCTAGTGCATGTACTGCTGAGGTAAGCCGACGTGCTTACTACAGTGAACTTTAAAAGAACATGCTGTACGACACACAGCCATCATGAAGAAGAGTAAATATATAGAAATGAGACACGCCATGGCATACTGTGCCCTTCATCGCTCTTCGTCCTTCCTAGAATCCTGGTAAGACCAAATCCCATGTAAGCATCACGCACGGAGGAACTGACCATTGATTTGAGCAGCAAGTGCAGCAGCTCTGAAGCGAATGAGAGTTTAAATCGACCCAACGCCAAGCCTGGCCTTACAGAGCACAGGAAGAACTCACCGAACACGTCCATTAACTGACATCTTCTGGCCAATACAAATGTGATGGCTTCCAACTCGATGCAACCCGGTACAACAGAAAATAAATCAATTATGACGCCAGTCACGACTTTAGAGGGACATCGACCATGGAGATATCGCCAGGATTCTCACGAGCACAAAGATGTTTCGTGCATTTCCTATTTTCCTGATGGCAAGCAAATGATCAGCGGATCAGGCGATATGACGATTCGGCGATGGGACTTGTGAGAGGGTAAGGAGATTAAGGAGGCTCGGGAGGTTTGTGATAATGGTATAGATGCGATGGGGGTATCAAGGGATGGTCGATGGGTTGTCACTGTTGATTGGGAGGAGCTCAAAGTCAGTGAGGTTGAGACGGGGATCGTGAGGACATTCCACATTGGGTGGATCTTTTGCATCGATATCTCCGCGGACAGCGCGTTGGTAGCGGGTGGGTCATACGATGGGACACGTATATGGAGCTTGGACACAGGCAAACTCGTGGCTGGTCCATTCAAAAATAGCGAGGATCATCTTGGCTCGATGACTGCACTTCGACTCTCAGAAGACTCTCGGAAGCTGGCGGTGTCTCTAAATTCAAGTTCGGGGCATCTTCAGGTGTGGGATATTCAGGCACAGAAATTGCTTGTACAAAAATCTACTCCTAGCAGGCTAACATCCAAATTGCCGGTCTTCTGGACAACAAAAGATAAATCCATTGTAGCCACATTTAATTTCACGGATGACTTCCCCAGGACGATCTATGAGTTTGACGCATCGACGCTCAAGACTGTTGGAGCTCCTTTCAAACACGATTTCATTAATGGTCTAGCACTCTCGTCTGATTATGTTCTTCTGGCCAGCTCTTCCCACCGCTTCATCAAGCTGTGGGCCTTCGAGTCCCGCCAACTCCTCGCTTCATTCGAGGTCTCGGGATCTCCCAGCTGCAGGAACCTCGTCTTCTCGCCTGCTTCACGCCAACTAGCTTACACGACCTTGTATGACGCCAAAATCTACATATGCAACATTCCAGCCAACATCCTTGCTAGCATCGGGCTTAAAGAACCACACCCTAATGTGTGTATCCCCCATACATCCATCATGTATATGCTAATGTTCTTACAGAACAATAAATCTGAGCGTTCATGCCATGTTGGTTTACTTGACGTATGTGGTCTCGCCTTTTCCTTCATCTACATCACACTGTCATTCATCACAGTCTGATGCAACATCTCGTCCCGTGCGTCGTAAACCGATAATACCTGCCGTGTCTCCTATCCCTCGACCTTTGCCTGCCAGGGATCCACACGCTCGCCTCCGCTTTCTACGCAAGCTCTTTTCCTCATCTTTTCGTACAGATGCGGTTCTCACCGACGAGCCTCGTGATCCCCTGGATGTGTGTTTCTTGTAGCTGTTTGTTTTACAGTTGAATTGACGAGTCCCTTACAGTTCTCTGCTACATTGCCTCTACCTCGTGCACTTCCAAAACATGGCGATAATGTGGGTGCGGACCGCCATAATTGCATATTAAGCTTACGTTCTTCAAGGCTCGACACACACCAGCACCATTCACCACCCAATCCTCCACCATCGATACTTCCCCAACCCTCAAATCCCACTTACATCGACTATCAACTTGGTGGCCCCTTCAGACAAATCATGCATCACCCGCTATCGTCGATGTTCCTCTCGCGCCGGGTAGACTGGTATGCACGTCTCATTTTTCTTGTTGTATTGCAAATCTCATGCATCCATACATAGCGGTACGCTGCAGCGGGTGCTCCCGGCCCTGAAGATGACCTCATACGCGACGAAGACTACATTCCTCCTCCTCCTTCCCCCAATCCCGGCTCACGCCTATGGATTGGCAACTCCGGACAGCATGGAAGAAGCCGGTTCTGTTTCTGCTTCTAACTGAATTTGATCGGGTATCTCATTACTGTAATTGTTGCTCGCCATATGCGTTGTCCTCCCTACACGATTTCGCGATCACTATACCCCCTGATTTATATCGATAGTCCCGATGGTCGTGTCTACAACAGTTTGAGGTATTGCTCCATTCATTATGAGCATTTACTATCCAGTCTCTAGAACATTTCAATCTCCATGAATACCCTCCATACTACCGCATAACTAGACTCCGCCGAAGGGACTGAGTGAATTGTGATCTGCCCTGTGTTGAAATAGTTTACCTCGTGTGGTAAGTACTACCATGTAACTTTGGTTGAGGCTCGGGCCTATTAATGATTTGCGTGTCTTGATCTCCACTTGAATCTTCAACAACCTCTCGATATTCTACGGTAGAAATATATCGATGTTTTGATTTTAACATTGATGCTTGTCAGGTTCGTCTTTGGAAGGGACTGGGAGATGATGTCACAAATCTGTTCGTCTCACCTGGTCGCTTGTTCCTCAGACCCATCCAACTAGTGCATACATGCAACGAATGTGTATATTGTCACCAATCAATGACCAAATGACTATGGTCATGATCATAGTCAGAAGAACGATAACAGTGATTGTAATAGTGGGAACGAACGAGAAGCGTGTTGTGCCATAGGGAATAGAAAGAATGGGTGTAGTTGGTAGAAAGAACGAACAGTACATTGTGTCCGTAGAGAATACAAAGAATGCATGTAGTGGGTAGAAAGACAATACATAAATGAATGACAGTAGATAATATACCAAAGAAAATAATCAGTGGGGTATGACTACATCTCATGAATGTCCTTGATCTCATTAGCCTCCCAAAAATCAGCATCGTAAAAATCAGCATCATCGTCATCTTCTTCGGCGGGTTCTGCAATCTCTGATGATTGAGAGAAAAGAATTTGTAAAATTGGGTGTTCCACACAACGGCGTGATACAAGTTGCTGGTAGTGCGATCGGCATGTTCTGGGACATCGACGTGGCGAACATGGGGTGCGCGGCAGAATCGGATTCTGACTAGTTGAGTATGATGGAGGAGCGCCCTACAACCGTCGACTGTTCGCGCTTGCAATTGACGAAGTGTCTCTTGTAACGGCTATCATACAAAAGGCATGTCGTCAATGGCAAGTTGTAGGCGTCGCGTCTCGTATACATAATTACATCAATATTAATGATAAGACGCATTGGTTGTAAGTGTTGGAAAACGCACGTTTTGGAACAACTATGGCATCAGATTCTCTCTAGTTTGAAGCCTAGGTGCTTTTTTGTCCTGATGTGCCTCAGATAGCCTTCAGGATCGAGTATCATGCCGTCCATAGAATACGAATGTCCCTTTGGGCCGACCAAGTTGATCTAACACGGGTGTCTGTGCCAGTGTTTGAGAATCCGACATCACAGGACTGACAAGGAACTCACAAATAATGGGTCATTCTTCATCCCGCCGAGGACTATTTTTGTTTGATGTGGCAGTCTATGTCTTGACTAATCGAAAAAAATGGTGCTTCGCGGGGGGCGAGGAAGCAGAACCCATTGCGAGTCCAGGCCCATGATGCTAATGGAGGTATCCTTGATGCGGTATGTTTGCAGCGTAAGGGTTCGCGCTTCCTGAAAAAGAAATCGATGGAAAGGGTTGATGGTACAGGGGTGGGGCGGATGGGTCTTGTGGGGGGCAGCAGCAGCAGTCAGTGGTGAGTATGGACTAATGTGAGTGGCATGCGAGAGATCGGTTACTGCAGGAGGGCAATAATCATTGTGTCCCTACTTAAGACGCGTGATGCGCCACTCCAGCACCCGTACCAGGCGAAGGTGCGACGGGGTATGGGGGAGGGCACTATGTGTCCCGTTAGCTGGCACACCATACAGATAGTAGAAGATGTTGACGCTTATACTTATACGCTTACATTATAAACTGTACAGTTCCTTCCGTGCTTCACATCATCGATGGCATCACCAAGCCACTGATGGTTACGTAACTCACCGATACTTGTCATACTCGTTCATAATACCTCAACGTTGTTCTTGCCAACTGCTGAGGTATGTATTCTTGTACCCGTGCGCTTGTACTCATACACCCTTAGAGAGATTGCTCTCGCCTACAGAAGCCTGGATTATGAATGCATGCGGGCTGGGACCAGGGAAAGATAGCGTCTCGAGAACTGTTCCGGTTTTGAGAACAGCGAACCGCTCGGAGTGAAATACGTCCTTGGGAAGCGTGCAATGGTACCCCCGTACAAGTGACTCTCTACCGTTTCTCTATCAACCACTCCTTTGACCCCGATCAACTACGGTTGTTTGTTGATTATACGCCCAGATTTGCTATACAGAAATAGTCGAAGGGGAAAAAACAGGCGGAGTCCGATGCCAATGAGTACGAAGCCTGCTGCTTTGCTGGTCTTCGGTATAACCCCTAAACCAATGACAATGAATGGCCAGGAGAAATACGGTATGAAACCGACAATCTTCCTCAACGAAAATGTGGTCGCAAATGGGACCTCCGGGAAGTCCTTCCATCTGATGGCTGCCGCCCGACAGCCATCCAAAACGAAAGCTCCGTTCTCTGTTACACCAGCGACTTGGGTTTTGACTCATATACATGCCGGTGTTTCAATTTTGGATGTATTGGTTGCATGGGAAGAATCGGAACCATTCGGTGAAGAGACACGGAGGCAAAAAATTGCTCATTGGTGTCATCGACTCCAGGAAGCTTGCGCATTGTTTTAAACTACCTGAGCCAGTGGATACAGCACGGAACCAACATCCACATGTCCTAGGCCGGCCTGAGTCCGGAAGTCTGATAGGATGGAGTGACAGCATTGGTGAGAAGGTGATGCCTGAGGACACGGGGCTATGTTCAACATCCGCAGTGCATAACCGGCGCATTGGTATGGACTCCCTAAGTGCGGCCAAATGTCGAATAGGTAATATTTCCGGCCACGATCATTCGAGATTTGAAGGCTTTGAATACTTATGAGTTACAACAATGGCTGAAGATTAGTCGTTATTTGGTTGTCATATGACCTTCCTATTCTTCTGCTGCCAGTGGGCCTTCAAGCTTGCAGTGGGGCCTCAGTGGGGCCTGGGCGGTGCGTGCCGAAAATCCTCTGTATCATTTTGATGATTCTTTCCAGGTCATCATGCATACTACTCGCATGAAGTTGATAATGGTTTCGGACATGACGATGGAGGTGTAGACACGCATTTGAATGAATTTTAGACTACGTGAGTGCAGCAGAATTTGGTGTGCGTGTATGGAAAGGAAGAAAAACTGTTTTGGATCGCATTGGCATCCGAATCCCGATAAGCTTTTGTTCCGAAGGTGTTGAAAATTTCAGTTTGTTCGCTGGCAATTCGCTGGCACCCCACGTTTTCACACTACTTGGGCCTACACAGAACTGTTCAAAAATGCGACCCGACGCGAAGTTGAATATCCTCGATGACGAGTTTCATGCTCGACTGACAATCCATTGTGCCCTGGCACATAGGCGGCCCTACTGGCAAGAACTACACGAGATGCACGTGGGTGGATGTCGCTCAAAGGTCTCCATCTTAAGATTGTATGCTGTGGAATGGGGAGTGAAAAAGGATATGCTGTATGATGCACAGCCTTCTGGAAGATAGAAATAAGACGCGCCCATACTTGTACCCGTCATCGCTCTTCGTCCTTCCTAGCATCCTGGTAAGACCAAATCCCATGTAAGCATCACGCACGGAGGAACTGACCATTGATTGAGCAGCAAAGTGCAGCAGCTCTCGAGCGAATGAGAGATTAAATTGATCCAACGTCAAGCCTAGCCTTACAGAGCACAAGAAAAACTCACCAAACACGTCCATCAACTAACATCTTCTGGCCAATACGGCTGTGATGGCTTCCAGCTCAATGCAACCCGGTACAACAGAAAACAAACCGATTCTGACGCCAGTCAGGACCTTGGAGGGACATCAATCATGGAAATATTCCTTGCAAGATTCTGACGAGTTCAGCCATATTTCGTGCATTTCCTATTTTCCTGACGGCAAGCAAATGATCAGCAGATCACGCGATAAGACGATTCGGCGATGGGACTTGCGAGAGGGTAAGGAGATTGAGGAGGCTCGGGAGGTTTGCGGGAATGGTATAGATGCGGTTGGTGGTCGATGGGTTGTCAGTGCTGGCTATACCCTCGGACTCAAAGTCAGTGAGGTTGAGACGGGGATCGTGAGAACATTTTACATTGGGTCGATCAGATACATCGATATCTCTACGGACAGCGCGTTGGTAGCGGGTGGGTCATACGATGGGACAGCTCGGATATGGAGCTTGGACACAGGCAAACTCGTGGCTGGTCCATTCAAAACAGGCGATGGCCCAATAACGTCAGTTCGACTCTCGGAAGACTCTCGGAAGCTGGCGGTGTCGTCTAATTGGAGGCAGAACCTTCAGGTGTGGGATGTTCAGGCACAGAAATTGCTTGTACGAAAATCTACTCCTACCAAGCCCTGGTCCGAATTGCCGGTCTTCTGGACAACAAAAGACAAGTCCATCGTAGCCGCATCCAGCTTCACGGATGATTTCATGGTCACAACGATCTATGAGTTTGACGCGTCGACGCTCGAAATTGTTGGAGCTCCTTTCGAACACACTGATGACATCCGTAGTCTAGCACTTTCATCTGATTGTGTTCTTCTCGCCATCTCGTCTGCTTACACCATCGGGCTGTGGGCCTTCGAGTTCCGCCAGCTCCTCGCTTCATTCGATGTCTCGGGATTTCCCAGGACCCTCGTCTTTTCGCCCGCTTCACGCCAACTAGCTTACACGACCTTGGGTGACGCTAAAATCTATATATGCAACATTCCAGCCAACATCCTTGCTAGCATCGAGCTTAAAGAACCACAGCCCAATGTGTGTATCCCCCACATACATCCATCATTTATATGCTAATATCCTTACAGAACAATAAATCTGAACGTTCATGCCATGCTGGTTTACTTGACGTATGTGATTCTGCCCTTTCCTTCATCTACACCACACCATTGCTTCCTTACAGTCCGATGCAACACCTCGTTCCGTGCGTCATAAACCGATAATACCTGCCGTGTCTGCTATCCCTCGACCTTTGCCTGCGAGGGATCCACACGCTCGCCTCCGCTTTCTACGCAAACTCTTTCCATCCTCTTTTCGTACAGACGCGGTTGGCACCGACGAGCCTCGTGATTTCCTGGATGTGTGTTTCTTGTAGCTTTTTGTTTTCCAGTTGAATTAACAAGTCCCTTGCAGTTCTCTGCTACATTGCCCCTACCTCGTATACTTCCAAAACATGGCGATAATGTGAGTGTGGACCACCATAATTACATATCAAGCTTACATTCTTCAAGGCTAGACACGCATCAGTACCACGCACCACCCAATCCTCCGCCATCAATACTTCCTCAAATCTCAAATCCCGCCTACACCAACTATCAACTCATGCATCACCCGCTATCGTCGATGTTCCTCTCGCGCCTGGTAGACTGGTACACGCATCTCGTTTTTCTCGTCGTATTCAAAATCTCATGCATTCATGTATAGCGGTACGCTGCAGCGGGTGCTCCCGGCCCTGAAGATGACCTTATACGCGACGAAGACTATATTCCTCCTCCTCCTTCCCCCAATCCCGGCTCACGCCTATGGATTGGCAACTCCGGACAGCATGGAAGAAGCCGGTTTTGTTTCTGCTTCTAACTGACTTTGATCAGGCATCTCGTCGCTGTAATCGTTACTCGCTGTATGCGTTGTCCTCCCTCACTTCTGCCGAATTCTTACTCGACGATGAATATGTTTCTCCTTCCTCCAAAGCTGGCCAGCACGGAAGCCATTGGTTCCGTCTCTGCTTTTCACTCGTTCCCTGGTACCTCGTTGCTGTAATTGTTGCACGTTGCATGCGTTGTTCACCCTATACTTATATCGAATTCATGGTCAGTGTGGTCACTATACTCCCCAGAGCGCTTCAGATATCCCAATTGTCCATTCTGTCCATCACAGGTCACAAAGGTGTTTTGTTTCACAGCAAACAACAGTGCGAGGACCTCAGACATACTATCGTGTCTATGCATCAATCAGAAGGGCGGTTGGTTGTGATCCTGCTTGTAGACTAACTCCAAACCTGTCCCCGGGTATCTCAATTTCACTAGTCGTTGAACTTACAGATCTGTGATATGTAAGCAAGTATTTTTGGCGGTTCGGTGTCGATTTGTCCACCCGTCATCAAGCTTTCAACATTGTTACTACTTTTCCCCTTCATCGATTCATATTGGTTACAAGCTATGATTTTCATGGATTAGTCGGTATGCAAAATACATCCAGTCTAAGTACCTGTGTATAGCAAAAAATACGTGGCTATATTGCCTGGTAACGCAGCTTCCGTCAAGAACAGCATTTTATCTCAGGCCTACGTACTCACGTCATGATCGGTTCTGCAGTTACTGACAAGACATTACGTTAAAACATTCTTCAACTTCCTCTCTTCATCACGTCGTCCTCGACCTATACGTACCATGGTTGCAGCATCTAAAAGATCAATCTCCTGCTCCCATTACTCAAATCGCCATGTAAAATCCTAATGCGGAAATGGATTTTGACTGCTTCCTGTACACCTGTCTTTGTACAGAAGTTGTTGAAACCGGAGCCTCGGTGGCAACCTGAATAGCATTAGCGTTCGTCCGTCGTATTCTGTTGTTGCCGTATGCCGCAGCCGGGCGGTATTCGTGAGTTTGCGATGCCTTCGCTATGCGACATACTACACACTAGCAGACACTAGCCTTGGTGGTCCTAGTACGGTAACCAGCGGTTAGGCGCTTGAAGCACTTATTCCTCCAACTGTTAGCTTCATCAATATCAGCTAAAAAATTTGTACTAAGCATGGCGGTATTCATCTTGTCTACGGCACTCAGCTCAAATAACGCTAGTCTGAAGATGGGCTAAACTGCTATGCACGTTGACGTGCTATAAAGTGCCAGTGGACAACGGTGAAGCTAAAGCCCTGATCGCTACAACTTCAACAATTCCAGCCATGGTCAACACTACTACCGCAGCGGGACTCATCGGTGTAGTTCTTTTGGCCCGCCACGGTGACAGGACGGCATACTACCAAGACCCAGCTACATACAACTCCACCCAAGCATACATCACTCCTCTTGGCGAGGTGAGAGCTCTGTGCTATAATGCTGGATCTTGCTCACGAATATTTAGCAACAAGAATTCGAACTCGGGAGCTTCCTTCGTAACATATATCTCAATCCCGATTCACCATCTTTCATCCAGAATATCAGCACTGATGTCGCAGACATCAACCAGTTGGCGGTCCGCGCAGACGCTGGTGGAGGAAATGTTATCCTGAACTCCGCGTATGCTCTGCTTCAGGGTCTTTACCCATCCACACAAGAGTCAGAGATAACTTTAGCGAATGGTACAACGGTTCTCTCTCCTCTTGGGGGATACCAATATGTTCCAGGCAAGTCAGTCCCAGCTACTCGCTGGTCCTCTAACTAATGGTCTGCAGTGCAATCTTTGGAGTATTGGCAGAGTCCGTCTCTCACGAGCTGGATGGATTGCGAGGTATGAAATCCATCTTATCTTCAGCAGGTCACTTCGTAACGCCCAAGAACCTAGTATTTCCAATCTCATCTAAACCGAACTTACGCTTCATCTGCATGGTTAAACATGTCTGCCACTGCTGCGCCATTCCTGACTGCATTGAAACCTTACTTGGGGAGCGTCAGTAACAACTTCACGAACATGGTATGTCACTCCATCGCATCTGTGAAAGCTTTTCTGACAAAATTGTGTAGTGGAATGTAAGGGTTCGTTTGATTTTTTTTCGGACTGAGCTCATTGTCTCGCAGATATACGACCATGTCAATGTCCAATACACCTATAATAAGACCTATTATGAGACCCTACCTCCCTCCTTCCTCCAGCAAGCTCGCTATTATGCTAATTGGGCCCAAAACAGTGTCTTCACTGATTCTACTTCAGCTAGCATTGGACAAGGTAAGTTTAGATCAATTACAAAAATGCATTACACTAACCTTGCTGCAGTTGCCATTCGCACACTCCTCCCAGAGATCTTTTGGGCCTTGGGCAACATGACAAAGACCTCTAACAAAGTCAAGATGAATATTCAGGAAGTCGATTACAAACCATTCATCAGTCTATTTAACGTCACCAACGCTACTCTGACGGACCCTGACATTAGTGGTATCGGTCAGTATCAACAGTGTATGAGCTCAGCACTGCAGACTGATACCAATTCACAGCCAACTATGCTTCTGTTGTTGCCCTTGAGTTGTCGCAGGACTCGCAGGGTCAGTACGAGGTTAGCATGAAGTTCAAAAATGGTACGGAGGACAGCCAATTCCGTCAACTTGAAATGTTCGGCAACACGAGCATCACGTTTGACAAATTCGTTCAAGTACTTGATGTGAGCTGCTCTTTACAGCACGTATGACTTCTTGCTCACAGATTCATTCATATAGAGTACCACGATCAACTCTACTAACAACTGGTGCTTCTCCTGCAATCAGACTGTCCTGCGCGGATGTTCTGTCTACAATTACAGTAGCGATCCCTTCTTGGGTGGCGTTGGTACTGGTTATTAGCGGTAGACCACGGCAATCTTATAAGTTCTGTAATCTAACATTATCTAATCGTTTTGAATAATCTATCGTTCTCCGGAACTTGACTTCAACGAGCGAGGGCGTTTAGACTTCAAGTAGCTATGCACGTTGAGTAATGACGTTGCTTGCAAAGCACTAGAATTTGCCTCGCCCTTCCTTTGTGCCATCCTTTTGACGACGAATAACTCTCGATTGAAAACAAGGTCTAAAGTCCTCTTTGTATCTACATAATTCTATCGCTCGTAAGGGTATAAGTAAGTATAACCCAATGTCATCACATCGTAAAATAGGTACCCAACGACTATTTGTCCAAGTAGCAACGTAGCTCTAATATTTCATTATTTCAAAGCAAGGAACAAGAGCAGCATATGCCTCTCGCTGCTGATCTGTCAAGGACACTCCGCGAAATGCAAGGCACTCCAGGGAACATTTCGACCTCGTCAAAAAGGCTTGAAACTCTTCTTGTGGCCAACTTCCCATATCGGCGGCTTGGAGTACACGAAGGTTCGGGAGCGTGAGAACCTTAAACAGGCCAAGTTCCCTGTCCCAGTTCGAACACAAGCTCGGACACATGTATAAACACTGGAGGTTGGTGTGCGTGACTGGTTCTTGATTCTCGATCGGGTGAAATATGCCGAGGATCGTCACGGAAGAGAGGTTGGGACACAGGCGGAGTATGCGGGGGAATGCATCTAGTCGGTATATGCTGATCTCGAGATGCGTGAGATGGGCCCATCCGGAATCAGCGACGAAGTCTAATTGCTTGCAGCAGATCCATGGCAGATCCAATATGTCCATCTTGCGAAGGTTGACCGGCAATTTTGAGATAGTGCGCTCAATGGCTAGTTTTGAATCGTCAGCGTACTTGCGTACGATGAGCTCCTTGAGTCCATGGAAGTCTTCCATCATGAAGGGGTCTCTGCAGTACCAAAAAGTAAGCTCTAGAGACGAGATTTGCTGGATGTATGGCTGGAGTAGGCTTCGTGCCTCGCTCAAGTCAGTGCAACATTCGAGTTTCAACGAGAGAGGACATCCTCTCGATCGCTTGAGCCAGAGGTCGTAGGCATAAGCTCTCTCCCGCAAGTCGTCGTCCGCGATCAACCGTAGCTGGGTCCATAACCATGGCAAGCCAATAGCAACCTCCCTCCATTGTCGACATATTCTTGTGAATATCAGGGGAGCTCGCCTTTGCGTGGGGGAAAAGGACAAGTCATCGGACAGAGAGTGGAGGAAAATTTCCGAGAGAATTTCTGCTGGCAGACGCGGGATACGCAATGAAGATCCCCCGGACGAAGTGTCGGACTGGATGAGATTTCATTATTATATCAAGATGCAAATATCTCCAGAACCAAGCACTTACAGGTTGCTGCAGCTCCCCAATGCTAGCTGAGATCGGTGGTGAATCGACGTTTGAATTAGATGTCTGCATGTTAACGCGAAGGAGGTTGAGATATTGGAGATGGAGATCTGAAGGAGGAAATAAGTCTACCGTTCCGCCAACAGTCGCGTCCCTATTTAAATCTAACACCGGGAAAACCACAAGTCCACAAACCACACGCCTTCCTATTGTCGTCCCAAATAGCCTTAGGTAAACAACCGCCCTCCACAACTAGAGACCTTGCATTGTATGTCTTCTCATTTCCATGACCACTAAGGTCCAGACCTGTCGGCCGAGCTGTGACCTTTATTTTTCCCTATGTTGGTCTTGCATTGTTGGTTTTATATTTGATAGGTGTGGACTTGAATGTACTTCAAGGAGAAGTCAGGTTTCGAATCTCCTTGGCACCTCTCCACAGGAGTCCCTGTAATAGTAATACCGTGCGTACAGCCTATCGAAGGGCTGATTCCCTTGTTGTTAACCATTCGTTCTCAACTACATTCTTACTACTGACGCACCTGAACTTCAACACAGTCATGCCCTTTTTCAAGACGTTTCCTGCTCAATGGTAAGAGCTCATGCCAATAGTAAGAACACTAACTGAACATTGACAAGTAAAGTGACTCGATGAGTATCGGGAAGTTTATAGTACCGGGGGCTAACTTTGACATGTAGTTGCACCCTGGCATACTAGTAGGGAGCTTCGAGCAAGCGTTACGTAGATTATTAGATTGGAAAGTAGGTTGGGATTAGGTGGAGTGAGATCAACACAGGCAAAGACATCGCAAAATGGATGGGACAGCGTCGTTGTGCTGCAAGTCAAGATGGCACGTGGTCTAGTGGTGAGCCCTTTTTGTGCTTTAAAGTTTACAGCACGTACATATGACTTCTTTCAGATTCATTCATCTAGAACACCACGATCAGCTTTACTAACAACTGGTGCTTCTCCTGCAATCAGACTGTCCTGCGCGGATGTTCTCTCTTCAACTACAGTAGCGATATCTACTCGAATGGCGTTGGTACTGGTTATTAGCGCAGCTAGCGCTGGACCACGCCAAAGTTCTGTAATATAACATTACATGATTGTTTCGAATAATCTATGTACCCCGGAACTTGACTTCAATGAGCGAGGCGTTTTGAACTTCAGAGTGATAACATCGATTGGAAAGTACTGAAATTTCCTTCACCTTTCCCCTGGGCCATCCTTTCGACGACAAATAACTCTCGATTGAAAATAAGATCTAAAGTCCTCTTTGTATCTACATAGCGTCTATAGCTCGTAAGGGTATAAGTAAGTATAAACCAATGTCATCACTTCGTAAAATAGGTACCTAACGACTATCTGTCCAAGTAGCAACGTAGCCTCTAAATTTTTATTATTTCAAAGCAAGGAACGAGAGCAGCATATTCCTCTCGCTGCTGAACTGTCAAGGACACTCCGCAAAAAGCAAGGCGCTCCAGGGAACATTTCGACCTCGTCAAAAACGCTTGAAACTCTTCTTGCGGCCACCTCCCCATATGGGCGGCTTGGAGTCCACGAAGGTTCGGGAGCGTGAGGACCTTGAATATGCCAAGGTTCCTGCTCGAGGTCGGATACATGTCCCCACACATGTGTAAGCGTTGGAGGTTGGTGTGCGTGACTGGTTCTTGATTCTTGATCGGGTGGAATATGCCGTGCAGCATCAGGAAAGAGAGGTCGGGACATAGGCGGAGTATGCGGGGGAATGCATCTAGTCCGTGTACGTTGATCTCGAGATGCGTGAGATGGGCCCATCCGGAATCAGCGACGAAGTCTAATCGCCTGCAGCTGATCCACTGCAGATCCGATATGTCCATCTTGCGAAGGTTGACCGGCAATTTCGAGATAGAGCGGTCAGTGATTTGCTCTGGACCGTCCACGGTACTTGTGTACGACGAGCTCCTTGAGTCCGTGGAAGTCTTCCAAAATGAAGGGGCTTCTGCAGTACCAAAAAGTAAGCTCCAGAGACGAGATTTGATGGATGTATGGCTGGAGTAGGCTTCGTGCCTCACTCAAATCAGTGTAACATTCGAGTTTCAACGAGAGAGGACATCCTCTCGATCGCTTGAGCCAGAGGTCGTAGGCAGAAGCTCTCTCCCGGAAGCCATCGTCCGCGATCAACCGTGGCTGTGTCCATAACCATGGCAAGCCAAGAGCAACCTCCCTCCATTGTCGACATATTCTTGTGAATATCAGGGGAGCTAGTCTTTGTGTGGGAAAAAAGGGCAAGTCATCGGACAGACTGTGGAGGAAAATTTCCGAGAGAATTTCTGCTGGCAGGCGCGGGATACGCGAAGAAGATCCCCCAGACGAAGTGTTGGACTGGATGATATTGAAGTAAATTTCATTATTATATCCAGATGCAAATATCTCCAGGACCAAGCACTTACAGGTTGCTGCAGCTCCAAAATGCTAGCTGAGATCGGTGGTGAACCGACGTTTGAGTTAGATGTCTGCATGTTAATGCGAAGGAGGTTGAGATGTTGAGATGGAGATTTGAAGGAGAAAATAATTCCATCGTTCCGCCAACAGTCGCGTCCCTATTTAAATCTCACACCTGGAAAACCACAAGTCCACAACCAACACGCCTTTCTATTGTCGTCCCAAATAGCCCTAGGTAAAACAACTGCCATCCACAACTAGAGACCTCGCATTGTATGTCTTCTTATTTCCACGACCACCGTGACTAAGGTCGTAGAACAGACGTGTCGATCGAGCTGTGACTTTTATTTTTCCCTATATTGGTCTTGTATTGTTGGTTTTATATTTGGTAAGCGTGCGTGGACTTGCAGGTACTTGAGAAGTCAGGTTTCGAATCTCCTTGGCACCTTCACAGAAGCGGGCTACCGAAAAGCTGATTCCCTTTTTGTTAACCATTCATTCTCAACTACATTCTTACTACTGACGCACCTGAACTTCAACAGTCATGCCCTGTTTCAAGACGTTATCCTCAGTTTTCTGCTCGACGGTAAGAGCTCGTGCCAACAGTAAGATCACAAACTGAACATTGACAAACAAAACTGAAGAAGGTGACCCGATAAGTTTATAGCATTGGGGGCTAACTTTAACACGTAGTTGCACCCTGGCATACTAGTAGGGAGCTTCGAGCGAGCGTTACGCGGATTATTGGATTGGGAAGTAGGTTGGGATTAGGTGGAACGAGGCTGTGGGACATCAACACAGGCAAAGTCATGGGTGGGACAGCGTTGTTGTGCTGCAGTCGAGATGGTGGTCAAGTGGTAAGCCGATCCTCCGATAGATCATAGCCTACAGGCAGTGGGAGGTGAAGAACGGAGAGACGATAACCGGTCCAATTGAGACAGGGCACGATCAAACGAAGACAGTCGTTTACCGCCAGACACAACCATGTTTGCGACTGGTGGATACGACCGGCCACCCTCGACTCCTGGGAACCTCAATATTCAATGGGATGCGTAGCTTGATCACAGGCGAGCTTCAAGCTTTAATTTTTATTTATTTGTCGTACTTGTTTTGCAGTGTTTTTGCCTTTACCGCAGATCCCCGATCACTGGAATTGCTCAGATTATATCCAAGGTTAGGGTCCCTGAGGTTTACCTCCGACTCCTCAAACTTCATAATGCGTTGGGCCTAATCTGACAGCTAAATCTGTTGGGAACTTTGGATGTCGGTTCAGGTAAAACCACCGGGTCTTTGTGCGAGGACAATATTTACAAAATCTGCTCCTTCAATACATAACTTAGTATCATTACACCGTTACGAATAACTTCGTTCTTGACTGAAACATCGTACAACGTCCCATTAATCACTGACTTTGACTACAAGTTTTCCGGTAGTTTTGCCACTTGTCAGGTCAACTTGTGCCTGTCTTACCCCCTCCGTAGTGAATGGATACTCCTTGAAGATCCGCGTCTTTAAGGTGCCGTCTGCGAGAAGGGAGAATAGGGCATTTCCGTAGTAGAGCACTTCTGCTGAGGTGTATGTATAGTTGTTCATGCTAGAATATCTAATCGTTAGCATAAAATTGGACCATGCAGTGGTCAAGCGCACGTAGGCCGGAGAAGCTTCACATTCTTTTTCTGGAGCCTGATAGGAGGAAATGGTGGGACGGGCCCCGAAGCATTACCCACTGAGACAATAGTGCCCTTCCGCTTGATCATTATGAGGTCGGACTCGAACCTGCACCAAAGTCAACTCAAGTCATGCAAGAGAAGCCACAGGTTCGAATCTTACGTGTCTTTACCCACACCATCAAAGATTGCATGGACACCCTCTCCATTTGTAAGTTCCAGGACACGTGCAACCGTGTCCTCGTTCTTATACAATATCACATGGTCCGCCCCATTAGCTTTCGCAAGGGAGGCCTTCTCTGGCGTCGAGGTCGTCCCTATCACAATCGCTCCTCGCGACTTAGCCAGCTGGGTCATGAGCAGTCCAAGACCACCTGCGACGGTGTGAATGAGGATGATATCACCCTTTTGCACGTTGTATGCTTCTTCCATGAAGGAAATAGCCGTCAACCCTTGCACGAGAGCCGAGACAGCCGTCAAACTCGACACTGATTCAGGAATCACGTATACCGTTTTCCAAGGTGCAGAAACGTATTCCGCATGCGAACCCAAATAATCCTGTCGGCTCGTGAGTTATTGCAAGAAGTATATAGACAGTATACCGTACGAGTGCGACGCGGGAGCCTTGTTTGTACCCACACTTCTTGTAATCCGGGTCGTTCAAAACGGACTCATCTGTAGGAAGTGCGATGACTACACCGCTGGCTTCCTTCCCGATCACGAATGGGAATCCAGATGCTGGGTATATTCCTTCTCTGTCGCACACTTACTTAACGACGCTCTTCGGGATGCTTGGGGGGTTTAGACACTTGCCTGTAGTATGTGTCGATGAAGTTGATACCAAGATATTGGACCTACTCAGCGCAGCACAGATTAAGTGTTAACATTTGCATAGGAACTTGATAATGATTTTACCTTTACAACCAGATGATCCGGGGCTACTTTTGGGAAAGGGATCTCTCGTTTCTCAATGACCTCAGGTCCCCCTGTCTTTGAAATCGCGATGGCTTGAATCGTTGATGGATAAGACATTCTGGGGGTTGCAGTGGAGAACTGGCGAGCAAGAGTGGGAAATTGAAAAGATAAGAGTCGTCAGCTCAAGTTAGTCAGCGTAGTGACGCTTACAATTGCAATATCCTGGTCATACACGGGCACCGTGGGTGCCCCACAAACCGAATGAAAGTTCGAATAATGTCGTTAGAATGAATAGAAGAGAGAACATGTAAACTATTGGCTCCGTGGGTATAGATTTTGGGCTGGATTCGACATCCGGCGGCAAATACATTTACAGGTTTGCAGTAGACTAATAAGCGTAACCGATATCACTGGTGTCATCATGTACTGTAGTGGTGGAGTAAACAATCGAAGGTTGAATGGATGATCAAACAGTAACTTTTAGACTCCTTTCAAAAGCCTGGTCCAAGATGTCATATATGAGATGAATTTGTTCATCCCTCTGGACCATCCCAGGTCTTTGCTCTCGTAAACTGTCAATCTCCTGTGCTATCAGGTCTTCCTGAAGCTCCTTTGGTAGGGTACCCAGCGGAGGGACAGGCAAAGAGCACAGAGGTTGTGGAGGAGGTGTCAAGTTCGGGTGCGGGCTATTAGCACTCAAAAGGCGATATGCGCGTAACAGTGACGACATCGCAATGAATGATCCAGTTCGCCCTATGCCAGCGGAGCAGTTGACCATGATAGGAGGGTCTGGATCTGGTTCCGGAGATGATGGGAATGAAGAGGCATCCGTGTTAACGCAATCCACCAGACGAACAAAGGCGAGAAGGCTAGCTCGGTCTTCATCCTCAGGAACTCCATGGTCCGGCCATGCAGCATACAGCATATGGGTGAATACCACAGCATCTTGCGGATTTGTTGAGGTGACTGGAATGATGGAGACTTTGCTGTACACGCAGCAGGCTTCGTTTATTCGCTTTCTCTCTAGTAGCGTCACCTTCAGTACAGGTGCATCGCTTGTTGGATCTGGGTTCGACAGCATTGATTGTCCAGGGGTGGAAGGGAAATAGATATGAGCTTTCTGTCGTCCTCTCTCCGTATTTTGTGTGAGCTGAACGATGGTACGAACACGACTAGGAGAGTGCACATGAGGAGAATTGAGAGATGCTGGAGGAGTAGAAATTGGTTGCATGATGGCACTGAGGAACACATGTGCCGTGCGCGGAAGGGGTGCTTGGGTAGCAATCCATAACTTTCCGCCATACAGCTCCCGAACCCAGCTTGCATTAAAATATCTTCCCTTGCTACCCTCGGCTCCGACGCTGCAGCGACTGCCCTGCAGATCGCCCACAACAACCCGCGTCCGATCATATGGCTGAATATTGGAATATCGATTAGCGACTACATTGTCTGGATGATGGGCTATCATGATGGAGTAGTGTGCGACTGGATCGGTCTTTCCCAGTGCAGAATTCAATGCCTGCTGCCCACGCGCAAGAAGCGACGCAGAATGTGGTTCTGCCACGAGAGATTGAGTCCGTAAGTGATCGCGAGCATATTCTCGTTCAGACAATGTGATGCAAACAGTTTCGGAGATAAAGCGGGAATCGTTTGCCAATGCTCTGGCAAGCCAAGTAGGTATCACTGATAATGTTGCAGTCATTGAGAAAGATGAAAGCTAAGGCGGAGGTTTGGAGAGATTTGATATCTTCCTGTGCGTGAGAATAAACTGCCAACTCTGTTCAAAGTTCTGTAGGGATCACAACATAGCAGTTTGCTCATGAAGAGCAACGATGGATAACAGCTATGTATCGTTGATATCAACTAATCCACAGGATGTCAAGTTAGTGATTATTTCGCAGAGCAACAATCCAGTCCTCACAGTTTTGGCTACCAGAGTCAGTTCCACGTTGGAAAAATCCACGGGGAAGAAACACTTGACGGACGATAACCCAGAAACGTGCTGGACATCGCGACAGGTACAACAATGTTCCCTTGGTTGGAGACATCATTGACCTCAGGAGATGGGTAGGGCCTTGGGCAGTATATCCATCTAACGTTCGGAAAGCCAGCAATACCCAAGCGTATCATCATCATTTTCCAGGGCGGATTTGTCGGAACCAGATGTAGAGTCGAGGTCTCGGAGTCATCAGATAGGCCCGAATGGCAGACGTGGACATATATCCATCCCAGAGGATGCGAACCGGCGTCAAACTTTCGACTTGATAGCCCACAGTGACGGACTGCCAGGGGAGGGAATTCAGAGCATGAAACTTGTTTTCGAGGAGAGTTCTGATTTTTACGGTAGGATCACAATCTATGAGTTGAAGATTGAAGGTATCCTGCTTTGAAATGATGAGGAGCTCGCTCAACCATATTCAAGAGCTCACTAGAGCTAAGCCTGCCATGTGCTTGAGCGGGTCTGTGACATGTGTGTGCCGAGCTCAAAGCATCCCAGTAAAAATGTTTAAGGGCCGTGAACTCGGAACAACAAGAGCCTCATCAGATGTATTACGTACATAACGGAACGAAGTCAAATTGTACACACGCACCGTTTGAACTTTGCACCATCCAACGATGTCGATGAGGACCGTTTAATATTCATTCACAGTATGTTTAGACTGCTGTCATGATACCCGAAACCACGAGCAAGTTCATGCATACGAATCTGAGCCTCTGGCCCAATGTCTCGTCAAACTCTCGTGATTTTTGATACGCACCGCAAGCTTTGGTAGGAACATCAACACAAGCATTCGAACCGCACACATTTTGTATCTTCCGTTTGGTCTGTATCTTCTACTCTGACAAGGTGGTGTTCCTCTCTTATCCTTTCCTGTCCGCTCCCTTATTCAACTTCTACAGCGAACAGCGAACGTATTACCTGGTTGATGTTTCGTTACAGAGTATTAATTGCGCATACTACCAACGCTTACGCGTCCTCGAATATCAAATTTTGCCCACCAATAACGCAGTTTCGTGACAAGCTATGTCCTATGTAGGCTGTCGCCTCATCTCATCCAGACTTCACGCGCGAGGATATCTGGCGTTTCTGTGCTATGTTGCAGGAGCCGTAGTGGTGCAAATCAATGCCTGAGACGACTGCCCAACGATAAGAAGTTCTTCGATGTTCCCTGAAGTCGATGCCATCGATAAGAATTTTTTCTCTCGCTCGCCTATCCTTCACCGTATCAATCGTCCTCCCGGGCCAGACAGGTTTACCTTGCATTTAACATTGCCTTGTTGATCTCCATGACCGCATATACAGGCACTAAAATCGATTGGTTGTAGGCTCTCAGTAGGGTGGCAAAGACACATTTGAATCGATTAACCAATGTTGCAAGACGGCGATTTCCTCCAACTTGTGTGGTTTTGAAAATAGGGAAGCAAAATTACGGCCGGTTCTGTGTCTTCATTAGACGAGTCAAGTTCTGCCAGGATATTGCGATGTAGAAACAAAATATAAGTGTGAGTACTCACAAGAAAGTTTGATAAGAATATTTGTATCCATGCCGTTTGGCGTTTGGGTCTTCTCGAATCGGATGTTGATGGGCCGTCTCAACAATCATGCGTTTACAAGGTAACACGAAAGGTGTAGATCAAGTTTTGCATTGTTCATTGCGCTTCGCATAGGTTTGTTCTTTGTCACTGTCGTTGACCCGTTCACTGAGTATGCCATTTCTCCCAGGCACCGACATAACTTACGGAGATCTGATGGATCTTATTGCTCATGTGATTTGGCCTTAGATCTACGATTATTCAACTGTTCGTGGAGCCAGAAACATAGGTTGTGATTCTCCGATCGGGTTGTTCCCTCCAGGAAGGCACAAACATTCACAGCGCACCCACAACGTACTTCTCGTCTTTGCATCGCGGACTTGCAACAAGAGTGGACAACTCAAGCGTAGATGCATCGAGCAAAATGGTCACTGCTCCACCTAATGCACAATAGTCGTCCACAGTAAATATTCTCCGAAAGCGAGGTCCTCACAGTGGAAACACACTTTCAAAGTGGCGCGCGAAGACCACATAAATATTGCTTCGGTGGCCTTTATCCTCCATCCTTTACACGCTACATCTACTGCCACTGCGAACGCATACCCATTCTCATAACGTCTTCAACGATTATCTGCTGGCTCAGGTACATGTATGCCCAGCTTCGATGCCTACATTTTCTAACTATATCTGCTTCTTACCTTTAGATGACTCAATCTCCCTCGTATCCCTCATCGCACGGTTCCGACTCTTCCAATGCAAACCAGGACACCCCAAACACTGGCATGCATATGGGTACAATTTCCCTGGCCCCATCCCGCACACATGCATCATCCAGGCTATGCCCCCGCACCCCCCTGCTTCCCGTACGGTGTCCCTCCCCCATACGCGCATGCTGGAGTTGTGCATCACGCGCCCCAAGCGGGACAACATGGTCAATTCCCTCCTGCGGTGACCCACGTTTCGCATGCCACTCATGTTGACCCACCGTTGACTACCGCCCCTTTTCCTCCACAACACCCATCCACGCCCCCCATGTACCATCAACCCTTCCCGTCGGGGCATTTCCCAGGAGTCATGACCTCCTATGCAACTCACACATCGTACCAACCATACCTCCATCAACATCACGGGGCCGGGCTGGTAACGGGCTCTGCTTCTCCATCTCTCCCTCAAGCACCAGGTTTGTCGGTCGGCGAGAAGCGCATTCGCGGAAAACTTCCAAGGTCGTAACGTCAGGCGAATTAAAAAGCGCTCCGGCAGGATAGAGGACGACCCGCTCTTTGTAAGCTTTCTTTTTAATTTTGTGAGGTCGCATTTTTAATCCTTGGGACAGAAACCTATGTTAGCTCAACATGATCAACACGATGGGAGATATGTGTGTTCTAAGGATGGCCAGCTCGTCCGTCCTGCAAGTTATAAACGCCATCTCAAGACAGAAAAACATCTTGGTCACAAACCAACGGAATTCATATGCCCTGGTTGTCTGGAAACGTACGTATCCCCTACTCTCAACTAAGCGCGTCTCATCATTGATATTGTTGTGACTAGTTATAGCCGACGTGATGTCTGCAAGAAGCATTGGGACGACAGGTGTGGCAAGCTAGCAGCTAATAGTCGGCTATCCTACGAAGCCGCTTGCCAAGCTTTAACGAGTTTTAATTCTGCTTTAGCTACAGCGTCGTTCATGCCCCCTTTACCCACGACCGCCACGACGATGTCTCATAGCTCACCACCCGAGATCATCCCGACAGACGCCACAAACCCTTATTCCCGGGCAGCTAGTGACATACAGGACCCTCCTTTGGTGTCACCTGTACTTCCCCCATCCGAAGGGCAGGACATTGCACTCGCAGAGGTCCACGATACTTTGGCGCTGATGCGGTGCAAGAACCTCCTTTGGTGACACCCGTGCGTCCCCCATCTGAAGTGCGAGAGATTACACTCGAAGAGGTTCGCGGATGCGTTCCCTTTTGGAGGTGGATTAATGACACGGAGGGCCTGGTGGATCCCCTCCCTCCCATCGCTGAGCCTCCGTCCTCTCGCCTGCCAGAGGCCATGCTCGCAGACGCCGCCGAAGACCTGGATGTTTGATGCCTCATTAATGGGATAGACGACTTTGTAGATCCCAAAATTCCTCTCTGCGAATCTCCCACAGACGCTGCTGAAGACCCTGACTGTTACAACTTCCCAATCACCACACATTCTTTTCCTTCTCCCTCGCATAACACCACTTCTCATTCATTTCTTTACCAACTATCCACCATTCTTTGCTTGTTTTGCTCCTTGCTGTCGCCTGTTCAGGTATAGCACTACACGCTCTTTTCCTACTGTATGGCATAGCCCGCTACCACGTTCATTTCTTTACCAACTACCCACCATCCTTTCTATGTTCCCCTCCTTGCTGTCGCCTATTGACGTATAGCACCACACGTTCCTTTCATACTCCATGACATAGCGCATGTCCCACTACCTCTCGTTCATTCTTACTGTTACTGTTACTGTTATTGTCATCCTTAGGGTGAAATGCACACATTCCTTGTATATACGTGCTGGAAGATCTAAGGGTGAAACGTCATCGTACTCACGAGTCCGTTCAAAAGGCGGGACTTAGTACTCAGTAAGAGTCAGTACTCCGGCGGCTTGACAGGGCCGCGGCGTATGGGAATGCTTATGAATTTCAAATTTCAAAGCGCCAATCATTACATAATAGGCATGAGGCTCAACCAAATAACATAGCGGCCTACAACGCGAGGATAAACTATTCAACACGGAGCGGACCCACAATTCGCTCAACACGATGAAGTCCCTACAGCGGAGGCCAGCTATGCAATTATGGAAGGCTATTACCTGTGGTGAGTCCTCTTGCCTTTGGTTGTACCAGAGGTCTTGGGGGGCATGGGGGATGCGGCGGCAATCGGGACGGAGATAGGTGGCGAGACTGGGAGAGAAGGAATCGGGACAGGCACCGATACTGGGAGAGAAGGAAGCGAGACAGGCACCGGTACCGGGAGAGAAGGGTTTGGGATGGGTAGTGATACTGGGAGAGCAGGAACCACAGCAAGAGCAGGCTTGCCCGAGGCGCTAGCTAGGGGGACACGCACTGAACCAGAAGCGCTGGTCAATGAGGCATGCGCCGAGCCTGAAGACAATGGTGCAGATGCTGAGGTTGTATCACGATGGTGAATGTGGCGTCCACGACCTGTGTGCACACCAGCCTGCTGATGAGCACCCAACGCAGAGGCGACGGCGTTTGACGCCTGAGAAGGGGAGGCAGTCGAGTTTGCCTGAACAGTCGACGAGGAAGAGTAAGAACTGCCGACGCCGACCGCTTCTACTGCGTTCCGTGGAATTGGCAAAGCTGAAATTGGTAAGGCTGGCAGGGGGGGCAGACTAGCGGTCAGATTCTGTACATGGCCAATTGCGTCCTGTACTGGTTGCACTGCTTCCACTGGAAGATTAAGTGAGCCAAGAATGGACGATATGATGCCAACCACAACAGAGATAAGGGAGCCCGCGGCGTCGCGCCTATGCACCTCCGCTATATGGGAAAAGTGGTCAGAGGATATTGGTAATGATGCGCAGGAAGGAGCTCACTATGACGTGGTGGTGCATTGGGATTGGAGACACTGACTGGTATGCCTTGGACACCCCCGGAAAGCAAGAGAGCAAGTGAGAACGAGATAAAGACGATATAGAGGGAAAGGAAGCGCATTATGAGGATATTTAGAAAGAAAGGTTCGTAAAGGTCGTTAAATGGAGCGCTAGAGTGGTCTGATAAGACAGAAAGCAGGGAAAGATGTGGGTAAGGATTGCAGAGGCATGGATGGGTCTTTATACCTTTGCAGAACGGTGGCTGACAGAGATGGTGAAACCTGTCGACGACGACGTTTGTGCAATAATTCCAGACCAAACCACAGGCTCGAACCCGAATCGTGAGCACAGGTGAGGCATAACATGTCTCAGACACGGTTCTTTCGCGGGGAATTTTGTGCCTGCCCAGAGCTGACGACACTTGCATTATGATTGTGAATAGGTCTGCAACACAGCCCAAGTGCGTGTCCACGTCACGGTCATGACGCATGATCATGAGGTGCAAATGGGTTAAAATAGTAAATGATCTGGTCCAAGACACCTCCAAGTCCAAGACCATAGTATTTTCCATGCCGCAGCAGTGCAACTGTAAATCTGTGAGGGTGTTTTTACGGTCCTCTTCTGTAATCCGTCATCTCCCATAAATTATCCTCCCCAAGTGCTCTCCGTCTTCTCGAGCTGGCAGTATCAGTTACTAAGCCAGATATAACCATGAGGTTCCATAGGTCAGATAAGGAACGAAGCAGGGGTGTTCCCATGCATGACGACAGGAAACACCATCCTAAACATGCGAATCTGAACAAGAATTTGAGCAGGTAAAAGACACGAAGAATTCGAATGAACACACATGAGGATCGCAAGAACGAAAAGTAAGGACATCAATGACGAATCGTAACCTGTTTCTACCATTAGGTCAACAAGCAAGTTGTCGACAAACCTTCGGAAAAATGGAACCAAACTAAGTATGTAATAATAAGCTGATAACCGTTATCTGATAAGCCAACCCTTAGCCTCTACACTTTTTTTTCTCACCGCATGTCTTTGGAAGGCTCCACCGTGGCATACTGCACTGCCCAGAAGTACATAAGTATCGTGGTCCTCGGACGCCTACACACATTCACCTTGCTCTGACTAAAGGCTCGCTCTTACTCCTTGTGTAGCGTTGGTCTGACACCAGTTTTTCATTGACCGAGTCGACAAGGGTACTCGCAACATCACATTTTCACATCTCGCAGCGCTGAACACTATCAAATTATCAAATTGTTGAAGATGTCTAATCCCAATTCAACTTCAGTGAGCCTAAGGCAAGCATCAGAGGTGACCATTTCACGCGCACGTGTCCTCGAGTCCCCCCCACTCACAGCCTAGTCGTAGAACTCCAACGCACAAGTATCAAGGAGGAACGAAGATATCGAGGTGGCCCCAAAACTTCAAGGTAGCGATCTTCCCGACCCATACAGGATCCGGATCGGTCTCAAGACAGACGACGAGCTCTCACAGCTTCGTCGTCGCCGTAGGACCGGTAAACGACTCGAGAAATTTCATAGAAAGCAGAATGACGTGAGTTTTTCTCTTATATTGTATCATTTCGATTTCGTGCTGAAGGGTAAATGATTAGCTCATTCAATCATTGCTGAAGCCTATGGAAGAACATACACAAGAGGCGAGAGAAGATGAAGCGCACTTCCATTTTTCTGTAAGGAAGCGTTGTGGGGCTGCTTATCTCTGCTGAATCAATCACGCATTCAGGTTAGAGTCGCAGTCTGGGCAAGTCTTTTTGCCAACTTCATTCTCTGCGTACTTCAGCGTACGTCTTTGCAATATGTCCGTGTTGCTTTCGCTAATTATTCCACACTAGTATACGCTGCTGTGTCGTCCGTCTCCTTATCCCTCATCGCAACAGGGATTGATGCTACTTTCGATTTTGGAAGTAATATCTTTCTATACTGGACTCACAAGAAAGCACTGTCAATGGATATTAACAAATGGCCTGTTGGTGGCTCCCGACTCGAAACCATTGGAAATGTAGTCTATGGTGATTCATTCGTTCACTCGGCGGGAAATGATCTCATTTTCTTTCAGGTTCACTGTTCGTTCAGCTATCAAGTCCTTGAACCTGATTAACATTCTTGCAGCATGGCTTCGGTCAATTTGGTTGTTATCGTTGAATCCGTCCGCGCACTCATGTCTCAAGAAAAAGACAACGGTTTTCACATCCAGGCAATCATCGCAGTGGCAGCTGCGCTTGGTATGTAGCCTGTACTGGAGCCCTTTGCAATCATTTAATAAAATCTCAAATCAAACAGCGGTCAAATTCGTCCTTTTCTTATATTGTTTTGCCCTCAGATCAAAGTCTAGCCAAGTGCAGGTCTTATGGGAGGATCATCGAAATGATCTTTTCATTAATGGATTCGGTAAGACGACTCGCCTTCAAGCAATTTGGTACCCTGAAGCGATCATACTCCCCAGGTATCCTGATGTCTGCTGGAGGAAGTAGATTACGATGGTGTTCGTGACCTCGACCCTTGCATTTCTTGTGAACTTACATATTAAACAGGGCTGGACCCTGCTGGCGCTATCATTGTGCGCTTCATTCGTGTACCCTCATGAACTTTCCGCTCATGTGATCGCTACAGATTGGCGCTGGAGTCATCATTACCTGGAGTCACACTATCTACGAACAATTTGGATTCTTGGCTGGGAAGTCTGCGCCACACGACTTCCTGCAGCTCATCATCTACAAAGCTATGACCTTCAGCGATGAAATTGAGAAAATTGATACTGTACGGGCGTACCACGTAAGTGTTCAATCCCATTGCGTATGGTTGCATATTGACTTGATCCAATGACACAGAGCGGACCTGTGCGTGCCATTGGTCTGATTAACCGACGTATTGTGTTCACTGACAGTTTTAACTAGGACTATATCGTCGAGGTGGATATCGTCATGGACGCTACTACCCCGTTGTGGAAGGCACACGATATTAGCCAGCAGCTACAGGATAAGATCGAGGTGCTTCCGAATGTTGAGCGTGCCTTTGTGCACGTCGATCATGAGACCACTCATGCCCCTGTAAGTAACACCTAATCCCATCATTTTCAACCACTCAATCGCTTGTACAGGAACATCGGAAGATTTTGTAGGCGAAAGGCAGCTAAACGAACGTGGAAGTGCTATCAGTATCTATGAGAATGCGATGTCTTGTGTACTGGATACACTGTTGATTGTCTGTTGTGTCCGTGTAATCGTACTGCTGCGAGGCTCTCCTTCTGTAGTGTCCTTATATAGTTTGCCTGCTGATCGGACTTCATGCACATGATGGGAAGATCGACAATCTGAGTTCGCTTACTATCACCGACGTCAGATAACCACCAACCATCAACAACTTGAAACCCCCACCCTCTCTGCAACTGACACTAATTATACCAAACAAACTTTGATACCAGTCCAACACCTACTCAATATACCAGAACCATTTAACCATTCACTCCCAGTCAGTGCGTGTGCAATAAATGATGGTGAGCAGGAGAGAGATGGCGGTAAGGAGTTAGTTCATGAGACACTACCAGGATACTAGGAATCAAGACCCGGAGGAGTTGTATGTCAAACAAGACAGAATCGGTACGTATCAGGTCCTGTTCCTTACCACAGCCAACTGACTATCTGCGTCAGGGAAGGGATCCTTTGGAGAAGTCTACAAAGGGTGTGTTATGACGATACGAGCTTTTCAGCGGTCCCTCTCACGCGTTTTCTAGGTACGACAAACGAACTCAGAAGACCGTCGCCATCAAGATCATAGATCTCGAAAGCGCAGAAGACGAGATAGAGGACATTCAGCAAGAGATCCAGATTCTATCACAGCTAGACTCACCACACGTCACCAAGTTCGTACCTTCCTCACCGTCTTGCTCTTGTCTGGATTCGACGAGGTTAACATGCAGCGTTTTTGCACGCAAGATATCATGGATCCTTCCTCAAGGGTTCGAATCTCTGGATAGTCATGGAGTACGTTCCTAGATTCCATTACATTCTCATTGCCTCATGGATACTATATAGATACTGCTCGGGCGGCTCGTGTTCCGATCTGGTATGATCGCAGTCAACTCTGGTAACTTGCGCTTATTTCACATTACGCAGATGAAGCCCGGCGTATTTCGGGAAGAGTATATCGCGATCATCGTCCGAGAGCTTCTTCGCGGACTTGACTATTTGCACACAGAGGGCAAGCTTCATCGGGATATCAAAGGTCATTTCACTGCCTCGCTCCTGATTCATCTGACACTTATGTCATATCACACGCAGCTGCCAACATACTGCTTTCCGCAGGAGGTGATGTCAAGCTTGCCGATTTTGGCGTGTCCGGGCAGCTTTCTGGAACACTGTCCGCCAAGAAGAACACTTTTGTCGGCACGCCATACTGGATGTCGCCTGAGGTAATCAAGCAGAGTGGTTATGACCATAAAGCAGATATATGGAGCTTGGGTATAACTGCAATTGAACTAGCAAAAGGAGAGCCACCCTATGCGGAGCTCCATCCGATGAAGGTCAGCGGGACTGGGCGGCTGTCAGATTCCGAGATGTTGCTTACACCTTGTCACACAGGTACTATTCTTGATACCCAAGAACCCCCCGCCGCAGCTGGACAGTCACTTCTCCAAGCCATTTCGGGACTTTGTTGCGTATTGTTTGCAACGGGATCCCCGCGATGTTAGTATGATCTCCATTCTTTGTGTTCGTTTCATGTTACCATAACTGAAATGGACAAATATATCACAGCGCCCGACGGCACGCGAGTTGTTAAAGCACAAGTTTGTTCGTATGGCAAAGAAGACTAGTTACCTCACAGAACTAATCGAGAGGCATGAGCGATGGAAGGCCGAGGGTGGAGATCGCGTGGAGGAAGAGGAACAAGTTGTCAATCAAGAATTGTGGGTCGCTCCAGCTTTTCCAATATCCTCTCATATATCTTCTCTAGGCCTGCAAACGCTGACCTAGAAGATCTCTGGGACTTTGGTACTGTTCGACACACAGGACGGTCGGGGACGATTGGGCGTGCACAAAACTCGATCAAGGTATCTGGTCCCCCCCTAACATGGGAGATGAATGGATCTTCTCGCGAGGCGTCATCTTCGTCCTCGATCACAGCGAAAAAGGCGTCCGGGTCATCGTTAAGGTCCAAGACTGAGCTGCCGCCGTTACCTTCGTCCCCTCCGCTGGCGCCAGCGTCTGCACCACCCGCTCGAGCACCAAGCGTGTATGAGCAAGCCACCGTGAGGCACATGCCGAGTGGAGGGCCCAGCAACGAGACACAAACTGGCCACGAGCGGGAGTCTTCTGATGAAGATTATGATGACCAGTACTTGGACACTTATCCTAGAGGCGCGTCTGTCCAAGAGAAACAGCATGAACCAGAGGACGATGAGTTACCTGATACTACTATGCTTGATTCTGTCATATTACCCGCAATAGCTTCGGTAAGGGTTCCGTACTCCTATCCAGACAGGGCTGATCAGCGTGTTCAGCTGTTCCCTCGAGTATCGACACAGGAAGCGCGAGTCGCGTTGAGCGCCCTACAGCGGGCATTCAATGAGGCTGAGCGCATCATCCCAGGTGTGACTATGGAGCTCGTGAACGAGATCGTAGATTCCGTGGAGCGAGTAGAGGATGATCACCAGCAGTAGGTTAAATACCACTGACATTGTGAGATTTTGATTTGCAGTCATTTTTTCCTTGCTTTCGTTGCTACATTCTTAGGACGTTCTCACCCCACAAATACGAACCCACAGATGCATTCACCCCACCTTACCACACCGATCCGTGATGTACATCATATATATCATGTAGCTCTTATTAGCATGAATGAAGAGTGTGAAGCGCCAATGAATTATACGCCGTTGTCCTGCCAGTTATCCTGTCCATCCTGACTCTTTACTATGTCAATGTACGCCCGCTTTAGATACTTAATGTGTCGCTGTCCAGTTCTTTCCTCGCCGATATGTTCCGACACAAGGCCTCCTGCACGGCGTTCGCTGTCTCATGATGTAGAGCACACCAAGGCAGATGATCATCATTATCTCAATTATGTGCCAAATTGATTTTCTTCTGCCATGGCTCGTCACGCGTCATATCGAGAGGAACTTCGGACCTTTCTTCCAAACAGGCTCGGAATCCACTCACAAAGGCACTGCCTACTGGTTAGATTAATCCCTGTCCAACATTTGTCTCCCAAGGGAGGCCTGGCATGTCACATCATGATCAATGCATCACCTAGCTATGATATCATCTCTTCTTTGTCATCCGCTCCTGTATTTTATAATCTCGTTGTCTAGGGTCATTTACCCCTCAGCAATTCTTCTCAGACGCTGAAGTATGTCTCACGTTTATTCTGCACATCGACTTTGTCTTACTAAAACTCCTCCCTTAGTTCATTTCTAATAGATTTATCATGGCACAATCCACTCCTCGAGTTTGGTTGAGTAAGTTGGTGCACTGTAACTCCTCAGCGTGCGGGTCACTGACTGCTCGCAGTTACCGGATCTTCTTCTGGGTTCGGTAGGGCGATGACGGAAGAGGTCCTGCGTAACGGCGAGATTGCTGTCGCGAACTCTGCGCAAACCCTCCGTCCTTGATGACCTCGCTGCCCAATATCCGCGCACTCAGCTCCTAGTACTCCCCCTGGACGTGACGAACGAAGCGCAGATAAAATATGTCTTCGCACAGGCCAAGAATGCCTTTGGGCACATCGATGTCGTGTATAACAACGCGGGGCAGGTGTTTTACCAGGAGCTGGAGGGGACGTCAGTCCAACTTGGCCCGTTCCAGGGCTGTGATGGATGTCAATTTCTGGGGCGCGGCAGCGGTAAGCCTTGAGGCGGTTAGATTCTTTAGAGAGGAAAACCCGAAGGGTTGTGGGGGGATGCTCGTTCAAGTATCGAGCGTGGCAGCGATCAACGGGGTCCCTCTGCTCGGGTTTTATAACACTACGTGAGTGGGTGGATGCTATCTGGTCAAATCTTGCTGAGGCATTTGGTATTCGTAGGAAAGCAGGTAAATTTGTCATGTTGTTTATGGCACCCTGTGTAAAGTTTGCTCACCACCGTTAGCCTTGGATTCGTTCACCGAAGTCCTGGCACAGGAAGTGCTCCCTGCTTGGAACATTCGTGTGAGTACTTGATGGAAGAGATGACAGTCGCTCATCACTGAGCGGCCATACAGTTCGTGAATATCCACCCAGGTTGGACGCGCACGCCTATCTCATCAAGTGATATGCTTGAGCCTCCAGCAGCTTACGCATCAGAACCGGCAGCTGTAACCACGAAGATGCGTTCTGGGCTTGATGCGTTCATCAAAAGCGATGCGCTGGCTGACGTTGAGGTTGTGACCAAACGCATTTGGTCGGTGATACGGATGGATGATCAACACCTGCGAAAGGGTGTACAAGAGGGCATTCCAGGCCTCGTGAACATGTATGTGGGCATGGACTCGTTGGACATTGTGCATGCAAAGATTGGGCGGCTGCAGGGCGAGTTGATGTGGAGTACGAAAGTCCATTACGAGTACTAGTCTCGTGTACGTCTTTAAAACGAACAGTTGGTTCCGCAGATGGCAATGGTTTTGCATGAACTCCCAAGCTGAGTCGTAGGAACAAATACCAGGTCATCGTCGTTTGTCAACCACATTGCCGGCAATCTTAATAGGGCAATTCGGACTAGGACGCCGTGCCTTGTGACTAGGGGTTCGTTGAACTTATGACCTTGCTCCGGACAATTTTTTATTCGTGGGAACTTTATAGTAGGTTATCATTATGTATGGGAAGGTTTCTTCTGACAACAACGTCCTTGTTTCCTCGAATATGCCTGATGACTAGATTGTAAAGTTGATAGCATTTTTATTTAATACTGTGTTTTGATATTGACGGGTTTCTATCAGATAATTTTTGCGATTTGCGTTGACTGTGTCTCGCGTGATTGCACGACATGATGATTGTCTCAGGTGACTGACAGATTATCTCCCCCCGAAACATTGCATGACCAAGTAAAAGGTTGCATTGGTCCATCTCTCACGAGCTAATGTGCCCAAGACAAGCTTGGTCGGCGTGTCTAGCACGTGCCACGTCGTGTGATGCATTGATGCATTATGATTTGTGCTCAGGAGCATCGTTGGCACATTCCTAAACTCAAAATCAATCTATAACATTTCTCCTCTTATGCTATGGAGAAGGGGTACAGCGATGGTTGCACATCTGCCAGTGATTCAAATGAGTCTCTACTAAGAATCTACAGCGACTTGCAGGTCGTTATCGATTAATTGGATCCCGGGCCAGACGGTCGGTGTCAGTCCCAACAACTATTTCCAGGGTGTGTTTATTTTGATACGAGCCTCCAGGATGGTCGGTCCGGATCAGCTTCATATTTAAACTTCATTATAGGATACTATGCATGCCTAACCCATCGCTCAATTGGCCCTCATTAGCCATGTCCACACCTTCATCCGGTGATGAGATTGCAAAGCAAACTCTCGAGAGCGTCTCGAAATCCGTCGAAAATGTTGGAAATACCAGCCTTGTCGACCCCTCGGATGCGCTAAGTTTTCCCGAAGGTGGTTTCACCGCTTGGGGCACAGTGCTGGGCGCGTAAGTGCTTCTGTCCACCTATTTATCATTGCATCCTCACCATTAACTGCGACCGTTAAGCTTGTTGATCCAATTCTGTGGCTTTGGGTAAATTCGACTTTGCATTTGTGGGCCCAAGCTAATAACATGTTCCAGATATAGCAACGCTTACGGTGTCTTCCAGGGCAAGCATATATGTGAATTATCTTACGTGGACGGACTGACAACCAGGATATGTAGACTTTTATACTCAAACATACCTAACCAATTCCACACCATCTGCAATCGCGTCAGTGAGCTCTAGATCTGCCTAGGTAGTTTCTTGGTTGTTCGTGTTTCTGACCTCTACTGCGGTGTAGCTGGATAGGAAGTGTTAATGTGTTCTTGGGTTTATCAGTTGGCATCGTATCAGGAAGGATGGCCGACCGAGGGGCATTGTATGTGTGCAAGAAGTCCCCATGAAGGCATCCCTGATCATACACTTTCAGTTACCTTGTGATGAAAATCGGCTGTCTCCTCCAATGCTCCTCCCTCTTTTTATTGTCCCTGGCGAAACCAGATCAGTACTATCAAGCAAGTCCCATTTCTGTTAATGCGCAGCTTCGCTGACCGTATTGCTATGTGTGTAGATATTCCTTTCTCAAGGCATCGGTATGGGTATTGCAACAGGCCTTACGAATGTTCCCTCCTTCACCGTAGTATCGCATCACTTCCAGCGACGCAGAGCTTTTGCGATGGGAATTGTCGCCACGGGGAGCGCTCTGGCTGCAATCTTGCACCCCGTCATGCTCAACAATCTTATCAATGGAAGACTCGGCTTTGCGAACGGTGTCCGTGCAAGTGCGGCCCTGAGTGGTGGCTTGCTTTTCATCGCAAATCTTTTGATGCGAACAAGGCTTCCACCGCAACCAAAGATCGTTAGCTACACCCGCGTTCTGCAAAATTCGTCGAGAGATGGTGCTTACATTTGTGCTTGTGTAGGGTGCGTAAGCTTTGCAATACTCGATGACATGAACATCAAAGTTGCTTTCACTGATTAGGATGGCTGCTTTCGAATTTGGATACTCTTTCGAAAATTTTTATATCCAGTTAGATTCTACCCTGCATGGTCTGAGCCAAGGATTTTCGTTTTATTCTGTACGTATCAAAAATCACTCAAATAATCAAGAACTACTTATCACGCCGACAGATCACAATTCTTTATTGTGGTTCTTCCATCGGAAGACTTACTGGGAGTGTTGTCGCTGGATACGTAGGCATCCCGAACACGACCATTGTCTCTTTATTAATATCCTCCGCCGCACTATTTGCAATGATTGGCTTGCACTCGGCCGCCAGTGTAGCTGTTATAGCTGTTAGCTATGGGTTTTTTTCCGGAGGCTGTGCGTAGGTTCGTGATGCTCCTCTGACACTCACCAAGTTTCGACTCCAGTTATAGCAATGATGAGCCCGTTGATATCGCATCTGACTCCTGAATTCTCACATATTGGGTAACCACTTACCATGTGCCTTTGGTTTTGTCTGACACTGCTCAAGCGCACGGATGGGAATAACGTATGCAATATCTAGTGAGTCTCTGGGTCTTTATTTGGTGACACTCGGAGTCTTGAACACGTTTTCACAGGTATCGGATCACTCGTGGGCACGTGTGCCGTTTACATTTCCTCGACAGTCACTCACGTTCGGCTTAGGTGCACCGATTTGTGGGATTGTCCTGACGTCGCATTACATCTGGTGGAAGGCTGCTATCCTTGCTGGGGCGAGTGATTCATGTGAAACTGCGCTGTCAGTTTTTGACTAACACGTTATGTAGAGCGTCACAGCTGGCGGCTGTATCTTGTTAATATTCATGCAGGTCATCTTGAAGATGCGTCAAAAGACTTCAAGTGTTTACTCCAAGGAAGCTGGTGTCTGATTTGTGTCACCTGAGCATGTATGTAGAACTATTTGCATTGCACATGAGAGAATTTATATATCAATAAACGAAACTGTTAGGACGTGGTGCTCTGCGAGCTGTCTTGGGGAATAGCGTACCAGAAAAAAGTTGTAGTACGAATGACCAATAGAATCTGTTTTTGATGTTGGTGTTTTCTGGCTTGCAGATGGGCGGCATGCATGTTGATTTGATATAATACAACCCCCTCTAAACTCCGGCAATCCCCATCCTCTACTCATCACTCGACCTGCCCACTACTTCACCTATGTTCAAGTACATGGGTACAGACTGCCGATGGATTGAGAATAAACCTTGAACCTTATGACATCTACAGCAACGCTCGGTTGCAAGGCTTTGAGAATGAGTATGATGACACGTTTCACCTCACCTGCTCGCTAGTTCCTTATATCTTCCAGCACGTATATACAAGAAATGCGTGCATTTCACAATAAGGATGACATTAACAATAACAGTGATAGTAAGAATGAACGAGAGGTAGTGGGACATGCGCTATGCCATGGAGTATGAAAGAACGTGTGGTGCTATACGTCAATAGGCGACAGCAAGGAGGGAAACATAAAAAGGATAGTGTGTAGTTGGTAAAGAAATGAACGTGGTAGCGGGCTATGCCATACAGTAGGAAAAGAGCGTGTGGTGCTATACGTGAATGGGTGACAGCAAGGAAAGGATAGTGGATAGTTGGTAAAGAAATGAACGAGAAGTGATGTGTTATGCGAGGGAGAATGAAAAGAATGTGTGGTGCTATACGTGAATCGGCGACAGGGAAATTACAAGACATGGAAAGAATAGTGGATAGTTGGTAAGGATGTGAAATATGAAAAGAACTCTACATCTCATGGTCGACGGGGGCAGAAGAGAGAGGTGGTAATTCAGAGGGAGATCGTTGGTGTAGATCACTCCCGTAAGAATTGTCTAGCCAAGAGCATACCAAAAGGGTCCTGATTGGAAAGTTGCAAAAATCAGGGTCTTCGGCAGCGTCTGTGGAAGACTCGGAGAGAGGGATTTCGGGATCTACAAAGTCGTCTATCTCATTAATGAGACGCCAAACATCCGGGTCTTCGGCGGCGTCTACGAGCATGGCCTCTGGCAGGCGAGAGGATGGAGGCTCAGTGATGGGAGGGAGGGGATCCACCAGGCCCTCCGTGTCATTAATCCACCTCCAAAAGTGAATGCATCCACGAGCCTCTGCGAGTGTAATCTCTCGTACTTCAGATGGGGGAAGCACGGGTGTCGCCAAAGGAGGTTCTTGCATCGCATCAGCCGCCAAAGTATCGTGGACCTCTGCGAGTACAATGTCCTGCCCTTCGGATGGGGGAAGTATAGGTGCCACAAAAGGAGGGTCCTGTACGTCACTAGCTGCCCAGGAATAAGGGTTTGTGGCGTCTGTCGGGATGATCTCGGGTGGTGAGCTATGGGACGTCGTCGTGGCGGTCGCGGGTAAAGGGGGCATGAACGACGTAGGAGCTAAAGCAGAATTCAAACTCGTGAAAGCTCGGCAAGCGGCTGTGTAGGATAGCCGACCATTAGCTACTAGCTTTCTACAACTGTCCTCCCAATGCCTCTTGCAGGCATCACGTCGGGTATAACTAATCATAATAATATTAATGATGAGACGCGCTTGTTTGAGAGTAGGAATACGTACGTGTGCAGACAACGAGGGCATGCGAATTCCGTTGGTTTGTAACCAAGATGTCTTCCTGTCTTGAGATGGCGTTTGTAACTTGCAGGACGGATGAGCATGCCATCCTTTAAACACACATATCTCCCATCATGTTGACCATGTTGATCTAACACGGGTTCCTGTCCCAAGGGTTAGAAATGCGATCTCACAAAATTAAAAGGAAAACTTACAAAGAGCGGGTCGTCCTCTATCTCGTCGGAGCCCATTTCAATTCGGTTGAGGTTACGGTCTTGGGAGTATGGGTGGTACGATGTGTGAGTTGCATAGGAGGTTGTGACTCCTGGAAAATGTCCCGGCGGGAATGGTTGATGGTACATGGGGGGCGCGGATGGGTGTTGTGGAGGAAAAGGTGCAGTAGTCAACGGTGGGCCAACATGAGTGGCATGCGAAACGTGGGTCACCGCAGGAGGGAAATGACCATGTTGTCCCGCTTGGGGCGCGTGATGCACAACTCCAGCATGCGCGTATGGGGGAGGGACACCGTACGGGAAGGGAGGGGGTGCGGGGGCATAGCCTGGATGATGCATGTGTGCGGGATGGAGCCAGGGAAATTGTACCCATATGCATGCCAGTGTTTGGGGTGTCCTGGTTTGCATTGGAAGAGTCGGAACCGTGCGATGAGGGATGTGGGGGAGATTGAGTCATCTAAAGGTAAGAAGTAGATATAGTTAGAGAATGTAGGCATCGAAGCTGGGAATACATGTACCTGAGCCAGCAGATATTCAATTGAGATGTTATGAGAATGGGTATGCGTTCGCAGTAGCAGCAGGTGTATCGTGTAAGGGATGGAGGATGAAGGTCAATGAAGCAATATTTATATGGTCTTCGCGTGCCGCTTTGAAAGTGTGGTTCCACTAGTGGGGACCTCGCTTTCGGCGAACATTCACTGTGGAGGATTATTGTGCATTAGGTGGAGCAGTGGCCATTTTGCTCGATGTGTTCAGCTTTGCATATACGCTTGAGTTATCCACTCTTTTTGCAAGTCCGTGATGCAAAGACGAGCAGCACGTTGTAGGTGCGCTGTGGATGTCTGTGCTTTCCTGAGGTAAACGATCCTGATTGGAGAACCACAACTTATGTTTCTGGCTCCACGAACAGTTGAGTAATCATAGATCCAAGGCCAAATTACACTGAGTGATAAGATCCATCAGATCTCCGTAAGTTATGTCGGTGCTTTGGAGAAATGGCATACTCAGTGAACGGGTCAACAACAGCGACAAAGAACGAACCTATGCGAAGTGCAATGGTCAATGCAGAACTTGATCTACACCTTTCGTATCGCGTTGTAAACGCAGGATTATTGAGACGGCTCACCAACATCCAATTCGAGAAGACCCAAACGCCAGACGCCAAACGGCGTGGATACGAATATTCTTGTTACACTTTCTTGCGAGTACTCACACTTGTATTTTGTTTCTTGGTTCATACATCGCAATATCCTGGCAGAACTTGACTCGTCTAATGAAGACACAAGTCCGACTGTCATTTTGCTTCCGTATTTTCAAAACCACACAAGTTGGAGGAAATCGCCGTCTTGCAACATTGGTTGCTCGATGCAAACGTGTCTTTGCCACCTTACTGAGAACCTACAACCAATCGCTTTTAGTGCCTGTATATGCGGTCATCAAGATTAACAAGGTGCAAGGAAAACCTGTCTGGCCCGGGAGGACGATTGATACGGTGAAGGATAGGCGAGTGAAAAAAAATCCTTATCGACGGCATCGACTTCCAGGGAACATCAAAGGACTTCTTCTCGTTGGACAGTCGTCTCAGGCATTGATTTGCACCACTACGGCTCCTGAAACACAGCACAGATACGCCAGGTATCCTGGCGCGTGAAGTCTGGATGAGATGGGGCGACATCATACGTAGGAAATAGCTTGTCGCAAAACTGCGTTATTGGTGGGCAAAAAGTGATATTTGAGGACATGTCAGGGTTTGTAGTATGCGCAATTAATGTTCTGTAACCAAACATCAACCAGGTAATATTTTTGCTCGCGGTCATTCGCTGTTCACTGTAGAAGTTGAATAAGGGAGCGGACAAGAAAGGATAAGAGAGTAACACCACCATGTCAGAGCAGAAGATACAGGCAAAACGGAAGATACAAAATGGGGCGCGGTTCGAATGCTTGTGTTGATGTTCCTACCAAGGCTTGCGGACCGCGGTGCGTATCAAAAATCACGTCAGTTTTGACGAGACATTGGACCAGAGGCTTAGACTCGTATGCATGAACTTGCCCGTGATTCCGGGAATCATGACAGCAGTCTAAACATACTGTAAATGAATATTAGACGGGTCCTCATCGATGCCTCATCGTTGGATGGTGCAAAGTTCAAACGGTACGTCGGTACGTGTGTACAATTTGAGTTTGTTCCGGTATGTACGTAATATATCTCTTATTCCGGTACCCCCCGTTTAACCCCACCTTGAATTTTTACTGGGATGCTTCGAATGCAAATTTCTCGGCGCATACCCACGGCAGGCTTGGCTCTGAGATCTGAGGGGTTGGTTTACAAAAAACAAATAAAAAAAAGAATATGGCCGAGCTAGCTCCTCGTTATTTCAAAGCAGGATATCTTCAATCTTCAACTCATAGATTGTGATTCCAGAACTCTCCTCGAAAACGAGTTTCACACTCTGAATTCCCTCCCTGGCAATCCATCACTATGGTCAAATCAAAAGTCTGATGCCGGCCCGCATCCTCGGGGTGGATATATGTCCACGTCTGTCATTCGGGCCTATCTGATGACTCCGAGACCTCGACTCTAGATTTGGTTCCGACAAATCCACCCTGGTTCGAAAACGACGGTGATACCCTTGCGTATTACTGGCTTTTCGAACGTTGAATGGATATACTGCGCAGGACACTACCCATCTCCGAGGTCAATGATGTCTCTACCAAGGGAACATTGTTGTACTTGTCGCGATGTCCAGCACGTTTCTGGGTTATCGTCCGTCAAGTGTTTCTTCCTTGTGGATTTTTCCAACGTGGAACTGACTCTGGTAGCCAAAATTGTGAGGCCTTACTGATGAGGAATACGGGCGCCGATACTAAGAGAGAAGGAACTTCGTAGGACTGGCCCCAATTGTAGAGATAATATTGAAAACACTGGTGAGCGCTGTTGTAGTCCCGTTTAATTACTAGTATCATGTTATTTTCGTTGTGCCTCGTGCGTATTCGAAGCAAGCGTGATTTGCGCTAGCGTCCACATTTAAGTCTTCCAAAGCTTTCTAGCTGTCTGGAGATTCTTGCTTTGTCAAAAACACTGCGGAACATTTTTATGGCGTGAGATCGTCATTCATATCAGGTATGCATATGGGATCAATCTCAAACCTTGAGTCCACCTTGCGAGCATGCCAACACATATCAGTTGAATAAAACCCTGTTTCAAGTAAACGAAGTGGGTTTGAAGAAACGAGTGCTGCTGCTGCTGCTGATCTGGGCCCAAGTATCAACACAAAACATGTTGAAAACGAGCGCCAGGGCCATTGACAGTACGATATTATATCAACGTGTAACTACTGTGCCTCCATCCCCTACCTTCGCATCTGGTTTCACTGTTCGTTTCTTCTTTACTGTACTTGTTCCCTTCTTCTTTGCACGCGTGACCTTGATAGGCTCTGGAGTGCTCGTGCGTAGTTCGTCATCAGGAACTTCGTATGATTGGAAAGAAGGAAGGGAAAGTGGAGGCGTTGCGGTGGTGTCAAATAGGTTTGGAGTTTGGCGCCGTGAGGATGGCACGGGAGTTGACGGTTGCGATGTTATGACAACGCCCGCAGGCATCTCGCCCTCCTTTTGCACGACAAATAACGGAGGAGCCGATCGTATGGACGCGCTGCTTCTCAGCCCAGGAAGGCGGGGTTCCTCTACAGGGGTGTCAGCCATGTTCATGTGCGTGTAGAGAAAAATACCTTGTGACACTGGTAGGGACCATCTAGTCGGACGACGGGGATTGAATCAACATCCTCTGCAGAAGGCTTTGGAGATCGGTCGTCCATGATGTAGTATGGGTCGTCCCGCATTCGTTCCAATCGCTCGGCCTTAAGCTGTGTAACGTTAGTTAAGTCAAAGTGATGCGGAGATTGTGGTCAATGCCTACCCTCTCTCGTTCAGCCTTTTCTTCAGCTGTCTCTTCTTCCTGCGGTGCAAGCTCCTCCTGGTAGCTTCCCTCCTTCTGCTTCTTCTTCCCGCCCTTAACCTTCGTTCTGCTGCCAGACTCCTTCTCTTTCCCTTTCTTATTCCTCTTGATCTTCCGCTCAGTCACGTCACCGTCATCGCCCTCTTCTGCAACGCGATCTTGCATTGAAGGCACAATCCACGCGTCCAGGTCAAGCCCGTCAGGAACGGGCACACTCGCTTGCGCGATGGATGCAACAGGATTAAGTTCATGCGACGAGAAGAGTGGTTGAATAAGGTAGAGACTCTTTGGAAAACTCGGTTCTGATACGGGGTCGAAGGCAGCTGCACTCGGGTCCGAGAACCCGTTGTCCTGCTTTGGTTTGTACATCGCGACATCACGCTTGATGAAAATAAGCAGCTGAAGAACGTTTGCAGCCTACAAAAATGAATTGAGTAATTTGCGAATCTCCGATCGTTGCGATCCTTATCACTCACACGTTCTTGGACCTCGATCTGGGTGCTCGATGCAAGTTGTTCCATCTGTTCAATCATGATATCAACGGCTTGCTTGAGGTCTTCAAGGAAGCTCTCCATCCACTGCTTTGCCGCTTCAGAAGCCCAATATCCGAAAAGCTTCGTGGCCGATTGTATGCACACGGCGGCGATGTCGGGTCTCAGAGAGGCAATCTCTGGCTGGAGTAAGTAGGGAATAAGCTCGTCCGGCGCAGAAAGCTCGCTGTAGTACGATCGTTCAGCATATCGGAAGGGAGTTGATTATTGAAACGCACCTGCAGAACTCTCCACATATCCAAGCCGCTGCCCACAGCACCTCGGAACAGCTACCCTGCTCACCTGCGTGCAGCAAGAAAGTATCGTCAGACAATACCTTCACCATCAACTTAACTGCATAGCTCCTAGCCGCTCTCACGCGTCCAACAACGTCTACGAGTTGGTCGCGAATTTGCGTGCCAATATCGACATTCGATACGTATGCGAGGTCAACGAGGACTGAGAGGTACCATTCAAAATCGGATACATTGTCATAGGTGTTTTGAGAACACATTGTCATGATCCTTTGTGACAGAACAAGGCGGTAGGCGGTGGACTGAGATGGTGCACCCGGGGACTTGGCAGGAGTAGAAGGGATGATGTGTTGAGATAAGGATTGTACTGCAGACGGAATGGCGGAGGACTCGGGCTTGACAAGATGCGACAGCAACTGCTGCACAATTGATTGTAGATTGTCTCGATTGACCTACAGAATTTATGTCATACAAGCAGAGGAATTTTCACGATAACTTACGAGTGCTGAGAGCAGATCTAGCGCACGCATACGGATGCTGATATCTTCATCATCGACACTGGAAAGGATTGTATCTTGGTGCTCTGCAACCAAATGGGGGTGTGTAGGTACAATCTTCACCATTGCAAGCAAAGCAATGTACTTTACTGTAACTCAGTTAGTCGCACTCATTCAAAGGACAAAGTAAATCACAGACGATTCTGATCTGGATCCTCGATGAATGCTGCGAGTTTTGACACACACGTCCGTGCAAGCGAGTCGCCAGTGATGCCCTGTAGCATATTACCGATGATACATGTGTGTACACACTCGTATAGAAGGGATATCGCAGACGTTGTGGATATCAAATCAGTGATCGGCGGTTGCAGTTTCTTCACTAGCCGCGGTTCATGAGGTGAGAGAGAACCAAACTAATAAGAGTAAGTGGGTTCGTAAAAATAAAGTGAGGTCCATACCAACTTGACAATTTTGATGAGCATCCAGTTGTTAGACGATGTGGTTAGGAGATGGAAGAGCTGTGGGGCAAGCGGAAGGTAGTCTTGGGGATTTCTTCGAGCGAGCTCACACAAGACATTTACTGTCGCACAAACCACAGCTGGGGGTGCGTGCATTGGTTAAACAAGCAGCTTGATCTCGTCTAGCTTGAGCTGACCTGGATCAGAATCCTCTAGTTTTTCCTGCAATCGACCGATACCATGATGGAGGGCATCAGGATACTTCTGAAACACTCTGTACATAGCAGCAACTGCTCTCTTGCGTATGTGGGGTCGGGAGTGGTTGAGCATGCCGATCAATTCAGGGCTGAGGTCGCGTGCAAGATCTGCGGTCATGATAGAGGAAACACCGTTTAAAGTGACTGCGATATCTGCAGGCGTTGAACTTAGATCCTGAACGTGATTCAATGGCGTGTTTCACAGTAAAGGGCTGGATCTTCTGCCTCTCACCTTCTTAAGCAAATTGGTAGTCAACATCAACACGTCCGTGTCTTCGTTGAACGACTGGACGGCACCAAGATATCCTACACTCTTGATATGGATCTTTGGGGACGACATGACTTCTATGATGTGAAAGGAAGCCCAGTTCATGTCATATCCTAGCATGTCCAGCTACAAAAGGATGTCAGGCTCGAAGCTTATCGATAGTAAAAGCAGCGCACATATGTGAGTTTCATGACAGCACCAGCCTTGAGCTCCATATCCTTGCTCTTGATTTCATGCCTGATCTCGTCCATGGCCTGTCCAATGAATTTGCTTTCATCGTTCTTGTTGGCCCGCAAGCCGCGAATGAGATCCTGGAGCGTGCGCTCCCACATGACAGGAATCGACAGTTATCAGCCCCGGAGAGTGTGAAGCAGATGTGTCGAATGACGTTGGACTTGAGCTTGACAGGTGGGTACTAGTAGACGAGGGACAGATCACACGATGGTGGTCAGTACATCCCCTGAATAACCAACACGAAGATCTTACAGAATAATTCGCCTCTCTCACAATCCTCTTTCCTGAAATTGACACTTATAATGTATACTCGCGGTGTCGCTCCAGAGATGTTTCTCCAGAAGTAGCACAGCAGTCTACATTACATAATAGCTCATTACGAGGATTTATTTTGGTCTCGTGATCAGTTAAACAAATAGGACGCGTTGTTTATCACAAACTGACGTCCCATAATAATTACTTACTGTCTGACGTGCACGCTGGGAACACCATCTAACCTACAAATCCTAGTTATGTCAACTGGCTGCAACATCGCGTTTTTACTGTTTGCGTCCAGAACAGGACTGGCCAGAGTAATTTGAGGTAAGTATTGTTTCATTCCCCCAGAACCTCCATGGATCCCAGCGCGCGGTTGACACCATCTGTATGCTGCTTCTCACTGTCTTTTGGAATCCTGGAAACATGACAAAACCTGCCAACAGAGTCGAGATGGCTGTAGTTATCCGTTTACAGATCCACGTGGCAAACACCGTGAACTTCACGGCCATCGAGTGATTTGCAGAGGTTGTAAGCATGGTGATAGCTGCAATATAATCTGGGCGCCGATCCAATGGCAATGAGCTATGCCTTAGTTGGCTACTAAGGTTAATGATCTCTTACTCACTATAACCGCATTGGGATTCATAAAGAATGCATTTAATTGGTTCCATTAATGACGCGAACAATGGCAGTGAGAGTGAGTACAACGACGTTGAGGCAGTCGCAATATATACCAAGAGTTCCAATAGCAATGCAAGTCTGATATCAAGACAAGGAAAATTAAGAACGAAAGCACCGGCAAGGAGGGGAATGGGAGGGAGGAGAGAAAGCAATGCTATAGAAGGGCTTCGCTATCCTTACCTGAAGCGACGAGCTCGACCCAGTCCTGACGCCACTGCGCCATCTGTAATCGCAGCTTTTTGTCACCGAGCATGCGTTCTATCCAAGATAGAAGCGAGTCATCGTCTTCAGGTACGAAGAAAGAGGATAGAAGGGATAGGATGGTTTCAAAATTGGCGGAACTGGATGTAATGTGATCTATTGATTGGATTAGAATAAGGATCACTGCATAAGTAGAGAGCGACATGCCTCGATAGACCCATACGA